TTAAATGTTTAATGTTTTTTATTTGCTCTGTTATTATATTAATCTGTGAGACACTGTGTCTGAGTTGTGGATCAAAAGCAGCAGCAGTAGTAGTAGTAACAGTAGTAGTAGTAGTAGCAGTAGTAGCAGTAATAGTAGTAGTAGCAGTAGTAGTAGTAGTGGCAGTAGTAGGAGTAGTAGTAGCAGTAGTAGTAGTAGTGGTAGTAGTAGTAGTAGAAGTAGAAGTTGTAGTAGTAGTAGTAGTAGCAGCAGTAGCAGTAGTACTATCAGTAGTAGCAGTAGTAGTAGTAGAAGTAGACGTTGTAGTAGTAGTAACAGTAGTAGTAGTAGTAGTAGTAGTAGTAGCAGTAGTAGTATTAATAGTAGTAGTAGTAGTAGTAGTAGTAGTAGTAGTAGTAGCAGTAGTAGTATTAATAGTAGTAGTAGCAGTAGTAGGAGTAGTAGTAGCAGTAGTAGTAGTACTAGTAGTAGTAGTAGTAGTAGTAGGAGTAGTAGTAGTAGTAGGAGTAGTAGCAGTAGTAGTAGTACTAGTAGCAGTAGCAGTAGTAGTAGTAGTAGTAGTAGCAGTGGTAGTAGTAGTAGTAGTAGTCGTAGTAGAAGAAGTAGAAGTTGTAGTAGTAGTAGTAGTAGTAGTAGTAGTAGTAGTAGTAGTAGTAGTAGTAGTAGTAGTAGCAGCAGCAGTAGCAGTAGTACTATCAGTAGTAGTAGTAGTAGTAGTAGTAGTAGAAGTAGAAGTTGTAGTAGTAGTAGTAGTAGTAGTAATAATAATAGTAGTAAGTGTAGTTCTCGCAGTAGTCGTAGAAGTGGTAGTAGTAGTCTGTAGTACTGGTTGTAGTACTAGTTGCAGTGGTAATTGTAGTAGTACCAGGGCAACAGTAGCTCAGTGTTTGTCTCACAAAGATTCACACAGTTGAATCAGGACTAAACCAGGACTAAACCAAGTCTAAACCAGGACTAAACCAAGTCTAAACCAGGTCTAAACATGGACTAAACCAGAACTAAAACAGGACTAAACCAGGACTAAACCATAACTAAATTAGTTATACAATATATCTGTACTGGGGCATATTTTGCTCAAATAAATCTGAAAAAATGTTTCAGCTGATGTGAGACTATGGTAAATATTTAGGTACAATCCCACTAAACTCAGGTGACTTTAACCACGCCTCTGTCTGCTCCAATCAGATGTATCGGTGTCTGTGGGCGGGACTGTGGAGCTGAGAGGGGCGGGGCTTGGTGTACTGGGGGCGGGGCTTGCTGACGTGCACTGGACCTGGATGATGGGTGAGACTGGTGTGGTGAGGCAGAATATTGCACTGGGCTCCTGCAGGGGTCGCTGTGCTCTGCTGGAAGACGGAGCTCTGCGATTGAAAGACGCTCGTACCAGTGACAGTGGAGTGTACAGACAGGAAGTGTTCGACGAGGATGGGGTCTGCCGCAGCAGGAAGGACATCACACTGACCGTATATGGACCACAGGTAAACTCTTTAATTTAAAGCAGACATTCTGTGTTTGCGTCTGCTCTAATAATCTACAACCCCTGAGAATCATTATAATTTTTTAAATATGAAATCACAATATTGATCTAAAACGACTTGATAAAAGAGACAAATCTGATGACTTCCGTGTTAGGATGTTTTTAAGGATGTTAAAGAAAAAAATGTATTGAAATTGAATTGAAATTGAATTGTTATTGTATTGATTTATCGTTCCTCCCCTCACCTATGGTCATGAGCTTTGGGTAATGACCGAAAGACGACATCGTGGATACAAACGGCACAAAGGAGTTTCCTCCGCAGGGTGTCTGGGCGCTCCCTTAGAGATAGAGTGAGGAGCTCAGTCACATGGGAGGAGCTCAGAGTAAAGCCGCTGCTCCTTCACGTCGAGAGGAGCAGTTGAGGTGGTACGGGCATCTGTCCCGGATGCCTCCTGCGTCCTTGGGAAGTGTTCTGAGCATGTCCCACCAGGAGGAGGCCCCGGGGAAGACCCAGGACACGCTGGAGGAACTATGTCTCTTGGCTGGCCTGGGAATATCTCGGGGTCCCCCCAGAAGAGCTGGAGGAAGTGTGCGTGGAAAGGGAAGTCTGGGAGTCCCTGCTTAGAATGCTGCCTCCTCGACCCACCCCTGGATAAGTGGAAGAAAATGGAATGTATTGAAAAGTTTTCCCAGGATGATGGGACCTTTAAATCTGCAGGAGATTCACTGTTTTTGAAGAAATCTTCAAACTTCTGATCCACAAATGTTTGTTTGGGACTGTCTCCACAAACTTACCATATTAATCTTATGGCTTAAACGGCAGGTTCGGTCTCGAGGCTGGACTCCACTCGGTTTGAGTCTGATCCTGTTCCTCCTCCTCATCGTCATCTTCATCAGGAGGAAGAGCGCTTCATCAGCGACCAATCAGAGCAGAGATAAAGGTGAACAAGCCAATCAGAGCAAATATACAGGTACATTTTATGCCAGACTCTGGAAAATTATAGTTATAAGAACAGCATTTTAACAGAAACAAACAGGAGGCTAAATAAGAGTCAGGTTTGTGGAGATGTGAGCCCCCTCACAGTAAGGAAGCAAATTTTTTAGTGCAATAAAAACATCCATAATAAAAAAATATATACTTTTATTTTTGTTAAGTTTTCTGAAGTTTTCATTTGAGATTGTCATCTCTGCAGATCCTCAGTGTTTGGAGGAAAATCTGTACATCCCAATGTTCAGAGCCAATGACCCAGAGAACCAGAACCAGGACCAGAACCAGACCAGAACCCAGAAAAACCCGGGAACCAAGTCCGAAAGCCAAACTCCATCTGACCCTGGTGACTCAGAGAAGAAAGTTTATATTTGATCACCCACAGGTTTTTAAGGTTTTCATTTGAGTTTGTTGTCGTTGCAGATCCTCGATGTTTGGAGGAAAATCTGTATGTTCCGATATTCAGAGCCGAAGGCCCAGAGAGCCAGAACCAGACCCAAGACCAGACCCAGAATAGCTCCAAAACCAAGTCCAAGAGCCAATCTCCATCTGACCCTGGTGACTCAGAAGGACATTTATGTTTGATCCCTGACAGCTTTCCAAGGTTTTCATTTGAGTTTGTTGTTGTTGCAGGTCCTCGATGTTTGAAGGAAAACCTGTATGCCTCAGTATTCAGAGCCAAAGACTGGAAGAGCCAGAACCAGACCCAGGACAAGACCCAGGACCATACTCGGACCCTGAATAGCCCCGGAACCAAGTCCGAGTCTCCATCTGATTTTGGTGACCCAGAGGAGGACATTTATGTTTGATCCTCCACAGCTTCAAGACTAGGAGGATTGTGGGATATTGTTAGTTTTCAGATTCAGGGGCAGGAGACAGAGTTCCCTGTTGATTATTGTTCTTTACCATGAAACATCCAAAAGGCAAATGTTGAAAAAATAATTAGTGACTAGACCGAAGTGACGAGACCAAATTACGGTATTTTACTTAAAATCTGCATAAAACAATGGCCTTAAGTGATGTCACCCACAGTGTTCAGCTTCAGCCAAATGAACGGAGTTATTGTATTTTGATATATGACAATAAGGAATGGTTGAAACTTCCTGTTGCTCTGACACATGAGATCTTTAGCCCCACCCTCACTCTACAAAGGACAAAAAATTGGGGAACAAAATGACGAAATAATTGGAGCTAAAATGTGGTAGTTCTGTTGTCTCGTTGCAGCAACTTCATGAATTAAATGTGAATTTTGTGTGGAACCATTGACAATGTGTTTATGGACTGTAGAAAATATTGTATCATTTTGGTGGGTCTTTAGTAGAGTGTCCAGACATCCTTATTTACCCGGGACACTCCCAGTTTTGAGCCCTGTGTCCTCTGTCCCTGCAGATGTACAAAACCGGTGATTTGTCCTAGTTTTATACAAGAAATGTCCCAGATGTCTCTATTTTTAACAAATTTGATATCTGCTGAACAAACAATGAACAACAGCTTTTAACCAAACAAACCTGTACACCAGGCATGTCCAAACTATGGCCTGTGGGCCAAATGTGGCCCTCAGAGAAATTTTTTTTGGCCCTCAGGTTTCCAGGAGAATTGGCACAAATTACCTTGCATCAATGAAAAATTTACTTTTTATTTGCAAGTTTTTTGAAAATCTACCTTGATAAAACTAATATTTAATATTCAGTGTGTGATTTTGAGGATCTTATCATGAATAAAGGCATGATGGCTCATTCTAATGTGTTAAACCTGCACATATTTTAATTATTCACTGTACTGAGCATCAGTCTACGGCCTCGATCAGCCCTCTGCTTCATCTGTGTTTAGAGATGTGCCCTTGATGAAAAAAGTTTGGACACCCCTGCTGTACACATTAATCTGCAATGTATCAGTGCATCAATATCAACTGTAAATGTGTAAACAGTGTATGGATGTGATGACTGAGACTGAATTGGACTAGTTTTACTTACTTTTGCTTACTTTACTTAAAAAATAAAAAATGTTTCAGAAGAAGCGCTTCCTGGACCTCCAGAGGATAATACACTGTAGATCCAATTCAGTGGTGCTCTTTGGGAAGGGAAGTCAGTACAAAGATGCAAAAAACCCAAGGCATTCACTGGTTAAAAATAAAATGCCTTTATTAGTTACGGCACGTCTAAATGGACAACTTATAAAGTCCCGACGCGTTTCAGCCTCCCCTGAGGACATGTTTTATATTTTTAACCAGTGAGTGCCTTGGGTTTTTTGCATCTTTGTAGTTTTACTTATTATTGATTGAATATACATTTTATTGTATTTTATTTTATTTTATTGGCATATACGCCACTTATGACACCAACCTGTCTAGGGACTGAAGGTGGAAATTAGCAATTTTGCTTTAACCTGCACAAACATATAACTTCTTTATGTAGTTCAATGTTTTTATGTGCATTGTCCTTGATAAATAAACCAATAAATTAAACTAAAACTAACTGACATTACACGTGCAGCACAGGAGGTGGCGCCGTACTCTTTTGCGTTGGTTCGTAATCCGCCAAAAATCTCAAAGAAGAAGACGAAACAAAATGGCGGCCCCAAAAACTCTCCCTAAAGACGCTCAGGTGAGTCTGAGAAACAGAACTAAACCAGGACTAAACCAGGACTAAACCAGGACTACACCCACCCGCAGAGACACCCCGAGCCTGAACAGTTGTCCCGGAGGCGCGTGGAGAAGGGACTTAATGCCCCGGATGTGTCCCGTTAGCTCATTAGCATTTAGCGGCTAACTTTAGCAGCGCGCTTTAGAATATTTTGATCAGATTAAATCCTCAGAGGTGCTTCGTCCTGGGGGATATAAATCCGTGTGCTCTTGTGAGATGTGGGGGAGGAGGTTTATTTCAGTGAAACGCACAAAAAAGAGTCAGATTAAAGTGTCATGGAACAGTGTTGTGCTAACGAAGCTAACGGTGGTTTGTTTTTAGCCTCATGTTCGTGTGTTTGTGGAAAGAAAGTGACGGAATGAGCTTTAAAGCCAAGAGTAGTTGTTTTTAGTTCGGCCCACGTGTCTGTTAGTACAAGTCCTCATCGTGTTTGGACTGTCGGGGTTAAAGCTCCTGGTGCAGGGTCCATGTTTAACTTTTAAAGCTACAGTATGTCACTTTTCAACAATCCCGTCAGATTCTTGTTTCCCCACAAGCGGAGCCACGTGTGGTTGCCTAGTTACCGTTTGTAGACGCCAGGTAACCACACGTACTACGGAGGAGGAAAACAGGTGTATCTAAGGAAACTGAAAAGGGACAAACTACCCAATAATTGCAAATATTTCACCCAAATACGGCCTTTTTGTCATTTTTTAAAAACTAAATGTCAGCAATATCATTTGTGACGTTGTGTTTCATCCATTGGCGTCAGATGATTGTGAATGAAAGAATTTGAAATGTGACTACACTTTATTGGGTCAGATTTGTTTATGTTCACAAAACCAACACTAATTTGACCCTCGTGGCTTTCCGTAGAGTCAGTTGTGCTGTGATATTTGTGCGGGCGGAGTTTGTTGACATGGGTTTTTGAGGGGGAACTGGAACATAATTTGATTTGATTCAGGGGGTCTGTTCTAACACTGGAGATCATATCACTTCTCTTGGAATGTTCCACAGTACTAGGGGTGTGCAAAAATATTGAAATATCGATAAATCGTATAGAATAGAAAGCCTTTATTGTCATTATGCAATTGTATAATAAAATTCAGAGGGGCTCCATCAAAGTGCAAGAATTAATAATAAATAAAACGAATTAACAGTTCTCTTTGGGGAAGCTTTCGGGAAGAAGCTGTCCCTGAGTCTGTTGGTCGTGGCTGGAATTGACCTGAAGCGCCTGCAACAAGGCAACAGGTTGAAGAGGTGGAATCGAGGGTGTGTATTGCCGTATAAAGTGGTTAAGGAAGGCAGAGGGCAGCCAATAATGTTCTGTGCAGTGTTGGTGACCCTCTGCAGACGCTTCCTGTCAGCCTCTGTGCAGCTAGAGCCACACTGACACTGCAGAGGTCAGCAGCTCTCAATGGTGGAACGATAGAAAGTCACCAGCAGCTTGTGTTTAGTTGCTGCTTCCTGAGCACCTCAGGAGGTTTAGCCGCTAGGGCTGGGTATCATTAAGAAGTTGCCGATACGATACATATCTCGATACACAGGCCACAATATGATGCATATCTCGATACAGTGAGCTTTCAATTCAATGCAGTATATTTTCAAATTGATTCGATACAGTTCCATAAAAAACTAAAAAAGCACTAAGAGAGCGCAGACCTCCACCAAGGACTACAGTCCCCCTCATATTAATTGTGTTTTCCATAAATATTTGTCTCGTATCTTTCAATTTGGAATATGAAAGAGGATCCCATTGTCCATCCCTGAGTCAAATTTCATGGGGTTTGGTCAATAATTAACCGAGATATTGAGAAACAAAATTTTTGGCCCCATTTACCACAATGTTAACTAAAATTTCAAAGTTATCCAGAATCCAGTATTTCTTCCGGATCACCCCCAAAATGAAATCAGTTCTTCCTTTTCACATTTCCAACAAATCCTGAAAATTTCATCAAAATCGGTCCATAACTTTTTGAGTTATGTTGCTAACAGACAAACAAACAAACAAACAGACAAACGTCGGCAAAAACATAACCTCCTTGGCGGAGGTAATAAAGGCTAAATCATGGCTGTGATACTAAAAGTCTTTGTTAAACCACTTAATATGTGGAAAGTTCATATGAAAAAAGCAAGTTTTAATAAAAAAAAAACAGTGAAAATGTCAATTGTACTGCATAAATGAGTTTTCCTCTGAACAAACAACAAAACTGTAGCTCTGTGACATAAAAACTTTGTAAAATTTACCAAAAAATACTCCACTGACTCCACTGAGTTTGTGCCAAATTAATATGAAAAACACCAATTTTACTTAAAACGGTGAAAATGTCAACACAACTGTAGCTCTTACACAAAATAATTTAGTAAAATACACCTAAAAATAATCTTGGTGATATATCGATACAGCAGCCCACGATATCAATACTGTATCATCAAATTAAACAATACGATATATCGATATTTACATTTTTTTGCACACCCCTATTAGCCGCTACTGGGCCTTTTTGACCAGTGCTGAGGTGTTGACTGACCAGGAGAGATCCCCAGAGATGTGAATCCCAAGGAATTTGAAGGACTCCACTTGCTCCACACTTTGGCCGTTGATGTTCAAGGGGGCAGGGGTGGGCTCTGTTCTGCCGAAAGTCCAGGATGAGTTTTTTAGTCTTGATGATGTTCAGTGCCAAGTTGTTATTCGCACACCACTCGCTGAGTTTCACGACCTCATCTCTGTACAGAGCTTCACTCCCCTCTGTTATCAGCCCCACCACCGTCGTGTCATCAGCAAATCGCATCGTTTAATGAGGATACAGTATCGATATTGTGGGCTGCTGTATCGATATATCACCAAGAGTATATTTTGGTTTATTTTACTACATTATTTTGTTAGAGAGCTACAGTTTTGTTGCTTATTTAGTGAAAGGAAACTCATTTAAGCGACACATTTGACATTTTCACTGTTTTCGTGTCGCTGCACACGCTGTTCTCTCGACTGCGCCACTTCAGGATGGACTTTCTGGGGATGGGCTCTCCGTTCTTCACGTCCACAAACAACCTGAGTTTAAGAAAGACAGTCGGAAGAGATACTTAGACATTTGACATGACACTGGGGGTGTTCTACATGCATCTCTATTGGAGGAATGTTTAGGAGTTACTATGGTGACTTGGGGCATGCAAAAATATTGAAATATCGCTATATGCAGTGTTGGAAAGGTGACTTTTAAAATGTATTCCCCTACAGATTACAGATTACACACACCAAAATGTAGTTTGTAACGGAATCCATGAAGTTACTTAAAGTGAGTAATGTAATCTGATTACTTTGGATTACTTGATTTGCTGTAGAGAAGCAAAGACGAGGAAATCTTCACATAAGATGTTTTATCTGATAAAAGACGATAAAAAGCCCAGACTTTAACCGTATTAAAAATATTACTGATAGAAGAGGAGGAGACATGTCTACGCAGCATGAGATAGTTCTGGTTTAGTCCTGGTTTAGACCTGGTTTTAGATCTGGTTTTAGATCTGGTTTAGTCCTGGTTTTAGACCTGGTTTAGACCTGATTTAGACCTGGTTTTAGACCTGATGTAGACCTGATTTTAGACCTGGTTTAGACCTGGTTTAGACCTGATTTTAGACCTGGTTTAGACCTGATTTTAGACCTGGTTTAGACCTGGTTTTAGACCTAGTTTAGACCTAGTTTAGTGTCCAGCAATGAAAAAAGCCCAAAATGTAAAAACAGGAAAATACCGCTGTGTAATCCATTTATTTCAACAAAGTAACTGTAATCTAATTACCACTCACTGAAACAGTAACTAACTGAATACAGTTACTCATAATTTGTACTCTGATTACGTAACTCCGGTACATGTAATCTGTTACTCCCCAACACTGGCTATATGTATATAATGTGACAATACACTATCAATATTGTGGGTTGCTGTATCGATATTTCGCCAAGAGTATTTTTTAGTATGTTTTACTAAATTATTTTGTTACAGCGCTACAGTTTTGTTGCTTGTTTAGAGGAAGGAAACTCGCTCATGCGACACATTTGACATTTTCACAGTTTTGATGATTAAAATGTTTGTGTTTCCTATGAACTTTGCACAAGAAGTGATTTAACAAAGACTTTTAGTATCACAGCCATGATTTAGTCTTTATTTTTATTGAACTGTATCGAATCGATTTGAAATATATCCTACTGAATCAAAAGCTCACTGTTCTGAGATCTGTATCACATTGATAACTTCTTAATAACACCCCGCCCTTCCCAGTACCGCATTAAACTCGTCTAATTTAGTTTGAGGTTACAAGAAGATACTTTGAAAATCATGTGTTCTTACTGCGAGTGGGTTCGCTCGTAAAATTCCCCTCAGAAAAAACATTGCAGTTGGAAGCAGAACAAATAAATCTTTCACTTTATCCCTGTTTTATAACCAAAATAAAATGAAATTAATTAACATGACTTTACTGAAAAAATATGACTTATTTATTACTATTTATTGCCTCTTAATATTTTACTGTATTTCAATCTGAATATTACAAAAACATGAAATTAATTGTGTGACAGTCGCTACAAACACACTCACTCAAATGACTGAAAATCATAAAAACATGTTTGACTGGCGGTGGAGTCGTGGTGTGGTGTGTGGTTGTCGGTTCAAATCCCTCTCCGTCTGAACGATGTGTTTCTGTATTTTCGTTGCAGGTGATGATGCAGATCCTCAAAGACATGGGCATCACCGAGTACGAGCCACGCGTCATCAACCAGATGCTCGAGTTCACCTACAGTAAGGAAATTTAGACTGGGTTTAGTCCTGGTTTGATCTTTGTTCAATCCTTGTTTAGTCCTGGCTCAATCCTGGTTCATTCCTAGTCCTGTTTTACTCCTGGTTCAATCCTGGCTCAGTCCTGGCTCAGTCCTGGCTCAGTCCTAGTTTAGTCCTTGTTTAGTCCTGGTTCAGTCCTGGCTCAGTCCCGGTTCAGTCCTGGTTTAGTTCTTGTTCAGTCCTTTTTCAGTCCTTGTTTAGTCCTTGTTTAGTCCTTGTTTAGTCCTGGTTTAGTCCTGGTTTAGTCCTTGTTTAGTCCTTGTTTAGTCCTGGTTTAGTCCTGGTTTAGTCCTGGTTTAGTCCTTGTTTAGTCCTTGTTTAGTCCTGGCTCAGTCCCGGCTCAGTCCTGGTTTCTGTTTTTCAGGATATGTGACGACGATCATTGAAGACGCTAAAATCTACTCGTCTCACGCCAAGAAGTCGACCGTGGACGCCGACGACATCAAACTCGCCATTCAGTGTCGCATGGACCAGTCGTTCACCTCGCCGCCGCCCCGAGACGTGAGTGCACTTAACCCTTACGCTCTCCTCGCGGTCACATTGACCTGAAGAATACATTTTTTTTCCGCTCTCTTGGGGCGGGTCAATCAGACCCATAAATTTATTTTCAAATAAATTCTCGCTAGGCGAGAAAATAAATCAATGTGACCCCGAGGAGAGCGTGAGGGTTAAACCAGATTCATTCATTCATTCATTCATTCATTATTCAGAATTAAATTATTTTTATTCGGAATTAAGCCTCTCATGTAAACGTGGCAATTGCCTCTGCATTTATTTACTAATTTCTGCATTTACTTTTCCACGTTTCTTCTCCCCGATGGTGTTTCCTGGCGTGTTTTCTGACGATATCTTGTGGTGTTTCAGTTCCTGTTGGAGGTGGCACGTCAGAAAAACCAGACTCCTCTTCCTCTGATCAAACCGTACACAGGACCGAGGCTTCCCCCAGACCGCTACTGTCTGACCGCTCCCAACTACAGACTCAAGACCGTCCCCAAGAAGGTAAACACACACAGACATATACAGAGAAAGTATCTTCATAAAGGCAAGGCAAGGCAAGTTTATTTGTATAGCACAATTCGTACACAAAGTAATTCAAAGTGCTTTACAGAATAAGAAATACATTAAAATCATAATAAAAACAAATCAAAACATAAATAATCATGAAGATTAAAATTAAAAAAGAGAGACATAAATTGGAGAGAAGAGTGTGGAATGAAAACCTTTCAGTTATTTGCACAGTGAAACAGAAATGTTTTGAGCCTGGATTTAAACAGCGTCACAGAAGAGTCTGTCTCACATGTTCAGACTGTTCCAGGCTTTAGCTGCATGAACCTGAAACTCTGACTCCCCTTGTTTAGTCGTGACTCTGGGCACCAGCAGGAGGCCGGTCCCTGAGCTCCTCAGAGTGTGAGATGGTTCATATGACACTAACATGTCACAGATGGACTTTGGTGCTCGGCCATGGAGAGACTTGTACAAACAGAGCTGCTTTAAAGTCTATTGTCTGAGCCACAGGAGCCAGTGCAGAGACCTGAGCACAGGACTTATGTGCTCGTACTTCCTAGTTCGAGTAAGGACCGTTGCAGCGTTCTGGATGTTCTGCAGCTGTTTCACAGCTCGTTTGGAGAGACCAGTGAGCAGAACATTACAGTATCTAACCTACTGGAGACAAACGCATGGATAAGTTTCTCCAAGTCTGATTTAGACAGTAAACCTTTGATTTTTGCTATGTTTTTTAGATGGTAAAAGGCTGCAGATGTTATTGATTTGATGTGGCTGTTAAAGTTCAAGTCTGAGTCCATTATTACCCCGAGATTTCTTGCCTGATTTGAAGGTTTTAGAGAGAGAGACTGGAGGTGATGCTGACACTGTCCCTTTGTTTCTGTGGACCAAACACTATGACTTCAGTCTTGTCAGAGTTTAGCTGGAGAAAGTTGTTTTGCATCCACACACTGATCTGTTGGATGCAGTGACCAAGTGACTCCACTGGTCCATAGTCTCCTGCTGCCAGAGAGACGTAGATCTGAGTGTCATCTGCATAATTGTGGTAGGACACGTTATTGCTGCTTATTAACTGGCCTAATGGCAGCATGTAGATAAACCAGGTATCAATACTGAAGACGCTGCACCACAGGACAAAGTTCAACCTTTCCTGAACAGCTTTAAGCCTCATTTATTGTTTTTTGGTCATTTCTCTAACTTAGGATGACCAGATTTTCAAAATAAAAAAACTGGGACATCTCTGGTTTGGGTTTGTTGGTAATAATAAAATTGTTAAACAAGTGTGAATTACTCTATTACTTATTTTACTTACTATTACAAGTCTATTACTTATTATAGACTGTTAACGTCACATATGAACAGTTCTTCAGATAAACTATAACATAAACAACAGAACAGAACAAGTTTAACAAACTCTCCATCTCACTCCAAATCACTAAATAAATGAATAAAGTTTGATTGATTGATTGATTGATGTGTTTTTGTTGCAGATGACGCCCTCTGCTGGTCGGATCTCAGTCCCGCGCCTCAGTGTTGGAGCCGTGTCCAGCCGCCCCTCCACCCCCACGCTAGGTACGAGGATTAGTCCTGGTTCAGACCTGGTTCAGTCCTGGTTTAGTCCTGGTTTAGTCCTGTTTTAGTCCTGGTTTAGTCCTGGTTCAGTCCTGGTTTAGTCTCTGGTTCAGACCTGGTTCAGTCCTGGTTCAGTCCTGGTTCAGTCCTTGTTCAGTCCTGGTTTAGTCCTGGTTTAGTCCTTGTTCAGTCCTGGTTTAGTCCTGGTTCAGTCCTGGTTCAGTCCTGGTTCAGTCCTGGTTTAGTCCCCAGTTCAGTCCTGGTTTAGTCCTGGTTTAATCCTGGTTTAGTCCCGGTTTAGTCCCCAGTTCAGTCCTGGTTTAATCCCGTTTCCCCCTCAGGTTCCTCAGTCCCTTCTGTGTCTAAAGTCTCTGCTCCGGTCTCGTTGGCGGCCCAGAGGTTCACGGTTCAAATCCCGAGCGCCCAGAGCCACACCCCCAAAACCAGTAAGCCCCGCCTCCTTTGAACACTGAACATTTTGTCGTGTTTTAAACTTTTCTAAAAATAATCAATGACAATAATAATTTAATCTGACTCTGTGGCTCCTCCCCCTCAGCCACGGCCACGCCCCCCGTCCTCATGAGCTCGTCTCTGATTGGACAGAAGACTCTCCTTATGAGCAGCAGCAGCCTATCACAGAGCGACAGCTTGAAGCGCAAACATGAAGACGACGATGATTACGACGCCATTTAACCTCACACTTTAAACATTAAAATAAAAGTCAAAGGGCCCGTTTTACCCATTTTCTGATCTAACGTATTTTTCGGAGTATAAGTCGCACCAGCCAAAACATAGTAATGAAGAAGAAAAAAACATATGTCACACTTTTTGGGGAAATTTATTTTATAAAGTCTGAGATCAGGAACTGACATTTCCTGTTGAAAGTCAAGTTGTAGTAAAAACAATAGAAGAGAGAACAACAGACTGTTAACGTCACATATGAACAGTTCTTCAGATAAACTATAACATAAACAACAGAACAGAACAAGTTTAACAAACTCTGCATCTCACTCCAAATCACTAAATCCATTCAATTCTTCATCCTCGGTGTCACTTCTGAACAACTCCTCAACCTCCGGAGGTAAACAGAGCGCCACTTCCTCTTCTGTGTCGCTGTCGTCAGACTCAGCGTCAGTTCCAGTTAGAATTATTCGGGTCTTTCTGAATCCCGACAGGATGGTTTCGGTGTCACTGAAGTCCAGACTTTGTCCATCCATCCAGTGACTTCAGGAAAGTTTCATGGTGCATCCTCCCGGTGTCACAAGTTTCTCTCTCACTCCAAACTTTCTTTCTGCTGCTCGATTTTCGTTTGCAAGTCATGAAATCTGCAGCTGAAGTTTGTAATCTGCAAAATATGATTTTGTTTTTGGGGGCATTTGTGTTCAGTCTTCTCAGTCGTCTTTATAAGTTTGTTTAAATTTTAGATCTTTAGTAATGTTGCGATCGACTGACATGATACAGACAGGACAGAGGCTCTTTCTGCAGGAGACATGTGCAGTAGAGTGAAGTGACAGTGGTGCAGGAGGAACAGGAGCAGCAGAAACTGACACACAAGACTAGAGCCTCTCCACACTTCACTGTCAACATTTTAATATATGGTATAAGTCACAGGAAACACCCAAACCATGAAAAAAGTGCCACTTATATTCCGAAAAATACAGTGTGTTATAATGTTGTTTCCACGTCACAAACAGACCTGGAGTTGTGTTTTGTTTAATTCACACACGTTTAACACACAAATCCTGCATATTTAGGCTGAGTTCTCACAAAAAACTCCTTGTGATTTCACGTCAAGAAGTGCTCCACTGTGTTTTTAAACTCCACACACCTTCACTAGAATCATTTGAATCAGTTTAGGTCTGGAACTATCAAAACATTTCTACTGAACTAAAAATAAAAGGAGCTGTTAACTTTAAAACTATGACTACATGACATCACAAGGTGGAACAAGGCATTTTGAGCTTTGGAGATGAACAGACTAATAATAAATGTTTACTCAAACGTGTAAATGAAACAAAACACGACTCCAGGTCTGTTTTTGTCGAGATAACAGGATTATGATGCAGCTTAAAGCTCACAAGAGTCAGTTTTGTGTAATACAGGACCTTTTAAAATAAATAACAAGTCACATGTAAATAAAACATTTTTTCTTGTTTTTACTGTTTAATTGTTACAGCTGGTTGTATTTTGGACTCCTCAGTTTTTTTTTATAATTTAAAATAAATGTTTGTGTTCATGTAGCTGAAATAACACTGTACTCAGACACCTCTTTTACAGACTAAGACCAGGCAGCAACAACCTCAGTTTTTATAATAAAAGTTTTCCATCAGGTGGGAATGTGGTTTGATTATTTGTGTTATTTATTTGATTCTTTCTAACTTTGCGTTTCCGTGGAATAGTTACAGAGAAAGCTAAGTTAAAAAGCAAACTGTGGAGATACGTTTTATGTCATATTGTCAAGTCAGGGCTGAGATAAAAGGTAAAACAAACACATGTTTGCAACCCAAGAAAAGAAACATCTCACACTCCAGTTGTTGAAAGCAGAATTATTGTGCTTGTTTCCACTCTGTAGTTCTAATCTACGAAACCTGTGGCACATAAAATGTTATAATTCAGATATTTTGAATAAACAATAGTGGGATCTGTGGTGCCCAGTGGGTTTTAGTCGTGTTATAATGCACTTACATACTCAAAAACAGACCTGGAGTTGTGTTGTTTCATTCACACGTTTGAGTAACTATTTCTCTATATCTCTATATCTCAAAATGCTCTGTTCCACCTTGTGATGTCATGAAGCGATTGTTTTCAAGCTTACTAAACTAAAGTAAAAGGTATCACGTCTGTGTTTCCCAGACTTTTTTTCCCCAGGGATCCATATTTTAAAAGTCACAAGTCAATAGACATTATTCATAAATGACTAAATAAAGGTGGATTTGATCATTATTGAATATTAATGATATTTTATTGTTGACTGAGTCTCTGAACAGTTAGTATTATGCAAGTTTTAAACACTGAAAAAGTCATTGAACCAGAAATAAAAGGATCTGTAAGTCACCTATTTGGACATTAAAATGTAGTCCATTTCTTTTTCTTTTCAACATTCAATTGAACCAACAACACTGGAACAAAAGAGTCAATGAAATAATTACTAAAAGATTAGAAATTATACAGAACATGTCTTAACATATCAACATTTCAAATGAGATAGGTGGGCCTGTCTGTGTTTTTGTAGCATGTTCCAGTCCGGGTCCAGGAGGAGACGCAGCAGCAGATCAGACAGTTCAGTTTGTTTCTGTTTCTGTGCTTTGTCTTTATTTTTGTGAGCACAGAAAATCCCAATTCACACAAATATGTAGAAGTGAAAGGAACTGTACATTGCAGACCTACAAGCAGATGGTGACAAAGTGACCCAAAAAAATCTCTTGTGACCCACCTGAAGGTCACAACACTTTAGGTAATTGTTTCCCAAAGACTGGGTCATGACCCTCAGGTGGGTCGCAAGGGATTTTTTTGGGTCACCTTGTCACGATCTGCTTGTAGGTCTGCAATGTACAGTTCTGACGCATGTTGAAATGTTAAGACATGTTTTTTAATCTCCAAATCGGCGACTTATGGATCCTTTTATTGCTGCTTCATTTTTTGTTTTTCATTGTTTAAAACTTGAGTAATACTAACTGTTCAGAGACACGTTCACTCAGTCAACAATAAAATATCATTAATATTCAATAATGATCAAATCCACCTTTATTTTGTCATTTATGAATAATGTCTATTGACTTGGGTTGCGAAGGTTTGTGACTTTTTTAAAATATGGGTCTCCAGAAAAAAAGTTTGGGAAACACTGATTTAGGTCATAAAAAAGTCATGGAAAAGTTATGAAATTTTGTCAGTGAAAAAGAGTGGGAACCCTGTGTACAATTACAGAGCTGCAGTTATCCAAATGATTTTAGCGAAGGTGTGTGGAGTTTTAAAACCCAGCGGAGCACTTCCTGTATCACCACATGACGTCACAAGGTGGAACGAAGCCTAAACATGCAACAATGAATGAAACAAAACACAACTCCAGGTCTGTTCATGATGACGAAACGACATAACAGACTGTAGACCAGAAAATAGCAGAGGAGGGACCAAGTCATCGTTTTGCAAGTCTCAAGTCAGTCTGAAGTCTTTGACCTCAAGTCCAAGTCAAGTCCCAAGTCAAATACAGGCAAGTCCAAGTCGAGTCTGGAGTCACTGGCCCATGAGTCCAAGTCAAGTCCAAGTCGTCTGCTTTGAGCTTCAAGTCATTTCAAGTCTTTAAACCAAAGCACCAAATATAGCTTCGATTTTTTGCAATTTCTGTGAATTTTAAACGAAATTGTGGTTAAAGTCGTGGTATTTTATATACGAGTATTTATAAGAGTTGTAGAAATGTAAATTTTTCCTTTTTAAATGTTTTGACAAGATCTTAGTGTGAATTATTACAGTCAGAACAGAAAGAATTCAGATTTAAGAGACCTTGATGAGTTTTTTTTTTGTGTCATGTCGTCTGCACTGAAATGGAAGGATCATGTTCTATATAGTTCCCTCTGATTTATTGTATTGTACTGTAAATTACAGGCCCGTGGACCAAATTTGGCCTGCGATACAATTATATTTGGCTGATGAGATCACATCAAATCTGTATTAGAGCTGCCTGCCGGCTACAGATAGATGATAGAGACATTTATTTATTTAAAATTTAGTTATTATGTTCTATTCTGTTTGTTCTGGATTCAGTGTTTAAGCAAAACTGTTATTAAACTTTTATTTTAATAAGAAAAGGATTAACATTACATGTCTCAATAGAAGAGAAAACATGCAGATGCTGTTGAAATCTTTCAATAAATATTTAGTTTGGCCCACGACTTAGTCCCAGTTTTGAATTTTGGCCTCTGTGAATTTGAGTTTGACATTCCTGCACTAGACGGTTTGCAAAAACCCCAGAAGTGCGAGTTCAGGCACCAGCCAATCAGTGAAGAGACAGACATTCGGTGTTGTCAACGATTCCTGAGATCGAGGATTTAAAGCCAGAACAAAGAGAATGTTTGGTGAATTTTATCATTGCAAAAGACGTTATTGTCCTTCTTCCTACAGGATTTGGGAAAAGCTTAATATACCAGTTATTCCCGTTAACGCGCATAACGTACGTCACGAACAAATAGCAGCGATTGGATAATTTAAAAAAGTACCTGCCTACTGTCGAGCAAAGAAATTCTAACACTGCGAGGTCAGACAGTTTGTACGAAGTGAAACCAACTGATGAATCAGGCTAGTAAACTACTGTATTGTACTTTAAACTACTGTAGTACATTTGAGGATACCACATCACAGTACTTCAGTCACATCCAAAGTAAAAAACCGAAGTGGGAGGGACATGTTCCAATTTGTTCCTGTAAAATTAAGCACTGAATTTATCAACTAAAAAGAGAAAAGTATTTTCTAAAAACATAAGATTTTAGGAGAAACATCAAGTCCCAAGTCAGTGACCTTCAAGTCCGAGTCAAGTCCCAAGTCTTAGTCCATTTTATCAAGTCAAGACTCAAGTCCCAACATCTGGAAAAAAGCGTAATATGTTTGGGAGTTTTAAATGTGCATTAATCAGACAGGACACAATTTAAATTCATTTCACTTTAATAATAAAAAGAAAACTAAAATAAATCTCAACATAAAAAATACAAGTCAAATCTGATTATGAAGAGTCGTGGTGCGATGTACATTAATAATAATAATAATAATAATTAGAATCAGTCACCATAGAGGCGAAGGAGAACTCTGTCGTCCAATATTTTCACACAAATTTGAATCACGACAAAACTCCGACGTCACGGCTCGAAATTCACAGCACAGCGAAGAAAACATGCTGAAGAGCGCCCCCTGCCTGTGTGCGCGCGCGTCACGCTAAACAAACAGGTTATTTTATCGTAGACGGGCGTTTCGTGCGGCGCGGCAGGAGGCGTTAAAAACATCACGTGTGACTTAAAAACATCAACTTTGTCCGAAAAAAAAATGGCTGTGTGAAACCGACCAATCAGAGCAGAGCGCAGCAGGAAGTGGAGCCAAGTTTAAGTTTTTTTTTTTTTTTTATAAATTTAACAGATTAAAATTCAGGTTGTGATGTAAAATATTAAAGTGGAGAAAAGACGAGGCATTAATTTCTAACACATTACATATTTAGGTCCCTATGTTACGTTTTATTGTTTTGAAAATGCCGTATTTGCAGAAAACAATGCATTATTTTTATTGTTATTTTATTGTTTTAATTTTACTATTTAACGCATTATTATTTTTATTGTTATTTTATTGTTTTTAGTTTTTATTTATTTATTTTATTTTATTATTTAACGCATTATTATTTTTATTGTTTATATTGTTTGCTTTTTAAAGTTTCCATTTTGTTTTTGAACTCTCCCCACCCTTTGCTCTTCAGGCTAAGTCACTCCCCCTTCAGAGCGCACATCCCCCTGAAAGAAAAACCTGCACATCACATCAGGTTTGTCAACAGTTTCCAGGGTTCCCACGGTCATGGAAATCCTGGAGAAGTCATGGAAATTGAAAATGTCATTTACCAGGGCCTAGAAAAATCATGGAAATTTGTAAATTGAAAGTTTTGGAAAAGTCGTAGAATTTTAGTATCTCTTTCATGCAAGATTTTTTCCCGAAGGTCTGCGCCTTTTGTTTAAAAGAGACGACAATAAATGCACTGACAGGATTTTGAATGTTAAAAAAACTAATCTCAAACCATAAGGTGAGTGGAAAGAGTTCACATTTCATATTTAGCCCTAAAAGTCTGATCAATTCATGGAAAATATAGCCTTGATTTTTGCAACTTATATGAATTTTAAACAAAACTGTTGTTAAAAAGTCACAGTATATTTATATATGAGTGTTTATAAGAGTTGTAGAAATGCAAATTTTTCCTTTTTAAAAAACAAGATCTTGGAGTGAATCATTACGGTCAGAACAGAAAGAATTCAGATTTAAGAGTGCTTAATAAGTTTTTTTGTCATGTAGTCTGCACTGAAATGGAAGGATCACGTTCTATGTAGCTCCCTGTTTTGTTTTGTTGATTTTCAATGTTAAAAAACTATAATCTCAAACCATAAGGTGAGTGGAAAGAGTTAACATTTCATATTTTGCCCTAAAAGTCCAATCAATTCATGGAAAATTCACTTTAGATCATGAAAACGTCATGGAAAAGTTTTAAAATTTTGTCAGTGAAAAAGCGGGAACCCTGAGTTTTGTGTCCTGCTTTTGTATATTTATTTAGAATTAACGTGTAACTCCTGCTGCTAATCTTAAAGAGGGTTTAGGGCCTGGGAGAGATCACTAGATTACTCAAACACTCATGGATGATGTCTAAAAACCTCATCAGATTTTACACAATGGAGCTCAACAGTGACCCCCCCCCCAGTTCCGTAAGTAAAATTCTCCTTCATTTTTCCCATAGACTTTCAAAAAAAACAATTAAATGATGACCACAAGAACTGTAAGACCTGCTAAGTTACTAAAACCTTTTGCAGGATATTTAGTTTTAAAAGTGTTTTTTGGACTTATAATAAAACAACTGTGTTATGATATTATTAAGTCTATGGGTAAAATTAATGGAAAATTTACTGGGTGAGACTGTGGAGCTCCAAAAAGGCTGAGTAAACACTTTTGGAAAATTACAAAATTAAAAAAACAGTTACTAATTACTGCCATTTAAAAATCTGAAACAATTTACTTGAGAAAACTGTAAAGTTTAATAAATTGATCAAATTTCCTGAACTCAGCTCCATTTCCTGCTGTTTAAAAACTCGGAAATCTCCAAATGAAACGATAAAAAATCCTTCATCAAAGCGAATCCTGCTGCGTTTGGTTCACACGTTTTGGCACAACGTTTAAATTTAAGGTTAAAATTACACCAAAAATATTTATTTAATATTTAAGACACAGTGTGGATTTTTAAGGGGAGTAAATGGGAAAATTTAAGGTTTTGGAACATTCTGCTTCCACTTGTGCCGTTAAAGTTCAAAGGCAAGTTCATATTTTGGTGTTTTAATATTAATAGTTGATCTTTTTTACTTTAATTTTTTAATTATTGGTAGTTTTCAGATTCTAGCTTGTGATGTCAGGAGCAAGGGTCGGTTTTTTTCAATTGTTTACATAGTTTCCCACGAAATATCTGAAAGTTAAATTCACAAATGTTGAACCTGAAATAATTTCTCATAAAAACTCACTGCATTAAAACATGAATCTGCCTTTAAACAGTATTTATTTGATTGTTAAATGCAAAATTATGTTGTAATACAGTGAGTTTTTGGGTTTAGTTGATAATTGAAAATACCAGGTTCAACATTTGTAAGTTTAACTTTTGGATATTTCATGGTAAAGTACAAAATAATCAAAAAGAAAATGAGAAACTGAAAATCTGAAAACAACCAACAGATGCATCATGAATTTCAGAATCCATACTGGGAAGGATGGTGAACATCAAACCTCCATGTTTGTTTTCCCAGTGGGATGTGTCTATTGACAAAGTCGATCTTTTCAAGTCTTTTGAACCATATCACTTTTGTTTCTGGTTCTGATATTGTCATATTTTAGTTTTGGGATTCGGACATCGTTAATTGTGTGGTTGTTGGATCCTAACAGTGGAAAACGGCTCGAGAAATGTGTTTGTGAACTCCTTAACTACAAAAGTGAATCAGATGTGTGTGACTCAAACCTCCGTTCAAACTGTTTCACTATTTTTCAATTCTGTTGGGAAGAGAAAGGTGAAGGTGATGGGCAGGATTGATCCACAGGAAGAACCAAAAAGGAAACCTTTGGCTGCCTAAGAAATCATCCCGAGTTTACAGAGAACATTTTGTATGTGGAGCACTCAAAGCAAAATCCCAATCCCTCGCTCAACCTTGATTACGAATTTAAAAACTCAACGTTAAAGTGAAAGGCACCAACTGTTCACCAAGAAACACCTTCCACTGCAAAGAGACCAAGACGTGATGTTGCTGTAAAACCACAAGAACAAGAAAGTGCAGCTCAGACTGTTTGTCTTCTGCACTTCTCCATTAACAAACGGGATTTTGTTTTGATAGCTCTCCACATACAACATCTTCGCTGCAAATGAGATGATTTCTTAGGCAACCAAAGGTTTCATTTTTGGTTCTTCCTGTGGATCAATCCTGCCCATCGCTTTCACCTTTCACTATTTTTCAATTCCGTTGGGAAGAGAAACAGTTTGAACGGAGGTTTGAGTCACACACATCTGATTCACTTTTGCATTTATGGAGTTCGCAAACTTTTCTCGCCCATTTCTCGCCTGTTAAAACATTCAACAACCACACAATTACAATGTCCGAATCTCAAAACTAAAATATGACAATATCAGAACCAGAAACAAAAGTGATATGGTTCAAAAGACTTGAAAAGATCGATAGACGCATCCCACTGGGAACTCAAACATGGCGGTTTGATGCTCACTTTTTCGGAGGATCCTTCCCAGTATGAATTGTGTGATGACCGGAAGTCTGAGATTCGTGATACATGTATACAGTGCACGACTGAGAACTTCATCCACAAATAATAAAACGTTGAAATTACAACATTGATGCATTAACGACAGCGTATTTTGGCTTTAAAAAAAAAAAAAAAAAGCTTTGCACTTTTAAAATTATCTGAAATTTCAAGGAGACACGTAAAATAATGTAAATGTAAAATGTAAATTTGGGCACGTTTTTTTATAAGCAAATATGACACAAACATGGCAACGTTTTTACAATAAGGCAAATTCTTTTAATGCAAAAAATATATAACGTGACGAATACACATTTCATATTTTAACGTTCAGAAAGTTTTTAAGTAGCTTTAAAACACTTAAGTTTAAACTTCATAAAAGTGGCATTTCAGAACATTTTTTGGTCCAAATGATCTGAGTTTTATTGGGAAATGTTTCTAAATAAAACAAGAAAAGGCTGGAGTTTGTCCTTTCAGATTAAGAGCGTTTGGGATCTGGGCTGTTCTGGCTTTTGGTTATTTTTGTTGGCAACGTTTTTATTTTGAAGGCACAGATTTTTGTAGTGGATTTGAGTCATTTCACGCAGAACCAAACGACAGCAGCGTTTCTATTTTTTCGTCACAAAAAATGAATGTATTTTTACACCGAAAAAATGTTGAGGCGACGATTTCGATGATTTTTTTACTGTCACTAAGTATTTTCAGTCCTTTAATAATAATATGAGATGAATTTAAACTAAATAACGTAAAGGGTTTTTGAAGTTTTTTGCAGAAATATTATGCAAAAACATGAATTAATATAAAAAGTTAATCTGTTTAATTAACCTAATCCACCAAATGAGTAAAAAAGTAAGTTTTATACGGATTATTAGACTTTAAATGGGTTTAATTTAGAAAAAAGTAAACTAATTATTTGGGTAGTCTTTTTTATTTTTTTATTTTGAGCTAATCTGGATTTTATTTTGTGAGAATAAAAATATATTTGTGAGTGAAAATACTGAGTGACAGCTGATATCTGTATCGCCGAACGTCCGAAGCGAAGAAGAGGAGGAAGAGAGAAGGAGGAAGAAGAGGAAGAAAAGAGGAAGAGAGAAGGAAAAGGAGGAGTTTTGCGCTGGTGACCCGAGCTTCATGAGACACAGAAACAAACACAGAAAAGATGAGTCTACGTTTCAAATATTCAAATATAGAATCTGATTTGTACAATCGTCACATCCGCCGCAGCCGCGACGGAGATGGCTCAGAGCTCCACTTTAAACCCAAACGCCACCGGCACAAGTACAAAAATAATATTATCTGTTACTAGATTTAACACGTGAAGGAATGGTGAGAAAGAGGAAGTGTTTGAAATGTCATAATCAAGGCAACGAGAGCGGTGCCTACAGCAGAACTGAACCAGAACTGAACCAAGACTGAACAAAGACTAAAGCAGGTCGAAACTGGGTCTAAACCAGGATTAAACCGAGAGTAAACCAGGACTAAACAGAGACTAAACCAGGTGTAAACCAGAATTTACCCGTGACTAAAATAAGTTTGAACCAGGACTAACTTTGCCCCAGGTCAAACCTAGGAGTTACCCAGTTTTAAACCAGGACTAACTCTAGACTAAGACAGGACTAAACCGCGACTAAACCAGGTCAAAGCTAGGACTAAACCGAGACTAAACCAGGTGTAAACCAGAATTTACCCGTGACTAAAATAAGTTTGAACCAGGACTAACTTTGCCCCAGGTCAAACCTAGGAGTTACCCAGTTTTAAACCAGGACTAACTCTAGACTAAGACAGGACTAAACCGAGACTAAACCAGGTGCAAACCAGAATTTAACCGTGACTAAAGCAGGTCTGAACCAGGACTAACTCTGGACTAAACCAGGATCAACTCTGGACTAACCAAGGCCTGACTCAGGTCAAACCCAGGTATTACCCAGTTCTAAACCAGGACTAAATATGGACTAAGACAGAACTAAACTGGGACTAAACAGAGACTAAGCCAAGTGTAAACCAGAACTTAACTGTGACTAAAGCAGGTCTGAACCAGGACAAACTCTGGACAGAAGCAGGACCAGCTCTTGACTAACCGAGGGCTGACCCAGGTTAAACCCAGGTATTACCCAGTTCTAAACCAGGACTAACTCTGGACTAAACCAGGTCTAAACCAGGACTAACTCAGGACTAAACCAAGTCTAAACCAGGACTAACTCTGGATTAAACCAGGACTAAGCAGAGACTAAACCAGGTCCAAACCAGAACTTAACCGTGACTAAAGCAGGTTTAAACCGAGGCTAAACCAGGTGTGAACCAGAATTTAACCAAGATTAAAGCAGGTTTGACTCTGGACTAAAACCAGGACTAAAACAAGACTAAAGTTGGTCTAAACCTGGACCAACTCTGTACTAACCGTTGGCTGACTCAGGTCAAACTCAGATGTTACCCAGTTCTAAACCTGGACCAACTCTGTACTAACCCACGTCAAAAGCAGCACTTACAACAGGACTAAACCAGAACTGAACCTGGACTTTCCTCTGGTGAACACAGAACCAACAACAATGGAATGTTCGCCTAAACTCTGAGCTGCTCCGACGCAAAATCAAAAACAAGAAACCGTAATTACAAAACCGATGAAAATGTCTTTACACACGAAAGCGAAACACACACTCAGACACGAAAGATGTCGTTTAGCTTATCTGAAAATCCGTGGTGATTTTTGTGTAAAAGTTTGAGCTCTGAGCCGAATCCATTTCAGTTTTAAATTCCTGTTTTTCAGTCTGTACAACGCTCTACACATCTGAGCTGCGAAAACCACATCTGACGCTTTTCAAATGACCAGAAGATCAGCGCGAATGAGACTTAAAACGCTATTTTTTAACGTAATTTGTCGTATTTTATCTACTGTTCTGCGATATTCTCTGGCATTTTCATTAGAAATAGCCAAAAGTCAAATCCGCAAATTTTTTTTTTTTTTTAATCTGGGAGGGCATCTGACCCACCGCGACGTCCATATTTTGATCTCCTCGGTCATAGAGCAGCGTTTTGTGAGTTTTTGCAGCTCTGGTCTGTACCCTGCGGCGTCTAAGTGTAGGAGCTGGATTTTTTTGAGATTTTCTGTGATTTTTTTGTAGAATTCTCTGGTGTTTTTTTTGTTGTTTTGTTTTTGTTTTTTTGGGGGGCGGAGCTTCTAGCAGTCCTCGTCTTTGTCGTCCACGACTCCTTTGAGCCGGAGCCGAGCGAAGTCCTCGAACACAAAGTCGTCGTCCTGGGACATGCTGCTGCAAACGCACACAGAAAGAGAGAGAGATTATGTAAGACGATTGAACGGGGGGGGAGAGAGAGAGAGAGAGAGAAAAAGAGAAAAAGAGAGAAAGAGAGAAAGAGAGAGGGAGGAGAAAGAGTAAGAGTAAGACCAGTAAGCAAAGAAAAAGAGAGAAGAGACATTAAGATCAGTAAACAAAAATAGAGAGAAAGAGAGAGAGACAGAGAGAAAGAGAGACATTAAGACCAGTAAACAGAGTGAAAGAGAGAGAGAGTGAAAGAGAGAGACAGAGTGAAAGAGTCATTAAGATCAGTAAACAGAGAGATGAAGAGAGAGAAAAAAAGAGAAAGAAAGAGATATTAAGACCAATAAACAGAGGAAGAGAGAAAGAGAGAGAGACATTAAGACCAGTAAACACAGAGAGAGAGAGAGAGAGAGAGAGAGAGAGAGAGAGAGAGGAGAAAGAGAGAGAGAGAGAGGAGAAAGAGAGGCATTAAGACGAGTAAACTTAAGACAAAGAAAGAAGGAGAGACATTATGAAGAGTAAATAGGGAGATGAAGAAAGACAGAGACATAGAGAAAGAGACAAAGATCAGTAAACTTATACAGGCAGAGAGAGAGAGAGAGAGACGGAGAAAGAGAGAGAGAGACACATTAAGACAAGTAAACTTAAGACAAAGAAAGAAGGAGAGACATTATGAAGAGTAAATAGGGGGATGAAGAAAGACAGAGACATAGAGAGAGAAAGAGACAAAGATCAGTAAACTTATACAGGCAGAGAGAGAGAGAGAGAGAGACGGAGAAAGAGAGAGAACACAAAGTCATCATCCTGCGACATGCTGCTTCAGAGAGAGAAAGTTTTAAACGGGCAAAAACAAACAACATTATACCAGATAAGAAAATAAAAAAATAGAGCTATATAGGTCCTTAAATGCAAAAGTCAGTCCAGTTTGCAGAGAATTGTGGAGTTCCACAAGTATCAGAGGTATGAGACTTGTTTAAACTGAACTCACTTTGTGTCGAACTCAATGAGGTTTGTGTCGATGGGAGGATCCATCTCTGGCACCGCTGGGGGACAAACAGAACACACGTTTAAACTCTTATTATGCTGAAACGTAAAATACAAGAACACAGAACAATTTAACGAAGACCTGGACATTGCACAGCTCCCAAAATATTTTGTAAAGCAACCTCACTTTTTCATTGCTTAGTCATGAAATAAACTCTTACCAGTCTGACCAGCTCATCAAAACAATGATATTTACTGCTTTTTATAAAGAAATACAATTAATATTTAGTTTTTTGACCCTCAACAATATTTTCTGTTTCTCATTTGGCCCCATGGAAAAAAAAAATATTGATCTAACACTTGAGGTGTGTTTACTCTCTGTCATTGCTGGACCCATTTTACGCACTTTTGACTTTTTTGTACATGAGCTGCTCAATGACGACATCAGACCATTAGTACACGTTTTTTTATCGGATTGTCATGATTATAAGTTAAGTTAAGTACATGTACAAAGTATTTGGACATCCAGTATTTATTTTATTTTCCTTTTTACAGGCTCATTCTTTTCAGACACTTCTGCTCTACATTTTGGAATAAACAGTTTTGAACATTTTTATGATTTTAACCCTTTAAATTGCAAATTCTTATCGTAAAATAACCAAAATGGAAAACAGAAGTGTAGGAAAATAAAATAATGAACAAAAACTTTCCTGGGCGTCCAAATACTGTGCACATTTAACAATATAAACATGATTTTTATTTATTTTTTAACAATGCTAGAGGATTAAAGAGTCTATATTGAGCTATTTTCTGGTGTGTTCTAATGTTGTTTCCTCGTCATAAACAGACCTGGAGTTGTGTTTTGTTTCATTCACACGTTTAACCACAAACCCTGCCTATTTAGTCTTAGTTCTTCTCAAACAGAAAACACACTTCCTGAAAACACTTCGTACACCTTCACAAGAATCAGTTCAGTGAATCTTTACTGGACTAAAGGTTTGAGCTTTGGAGACAGACAGAATCAAATGTTACTCAAACATGTGTGAACGAAACAAAACACAAGGAGGCAACAACATTTTAACAAGACTTAAAGCTCACAAGAGAACATTTTGTGAAATATACAACCTTCAAACTGTTTTAACATCCATCAACCACCATTATCAAGGAGGAACAGGAGCAGCAGATACTCACACACAAGACTAGAGCCTCTCCATGCTTCACTGTCAACATTTTAATATATGAGTCGCACCGGAAACAACCAAACCGTAAAGAAAGTGCAACTTATAGTCCAAATAATACAGTAGTCACACTGGTTATTACAGGAGATGTGTAGTAAATGTGTATCTGTACCAGACTGGGGGCGAGAGGCTGGGGGCTCCACAGGTTTGGGGTGCATCAGGATGAAGGGCAGCTCCACTGACACGTCTCTGAAAACAATTATAAACAAAAAATAATTACACAACCGTAACACAGCTATTATATTATTATTATTATTATTAGACTCAGGTGAACTAAAGCTGCTGTACTGACCCTCCACGGGAAACCACCAGCTTCACTTTGACTCTGTACGACACCAGGATCCCCAACACCTCCTTATTAGTCACATCCTTCACTCTGAGGAGACAGGACTGGGTTTAGACCTGGTTTAGTCCTGGTTTAGTTTCAAAGTGACGTAATAATAGTATTTGCAGTAGTTGTATTCTTACATAGTAGAAGATGCCAGGTTTGTGTCTTCGTGCTTGAGTTTTCCGTCCAGAGCGAGTCCTCGTTTCTCACGGTTCTTGTCCAGTGTGGGGGTCAGAGTGTACACTTTACAGAAGGTGGAGCTCGACGACACCTGGTCGCTATGGAGACGGAGGAAGAGTTATGTTACGTTATGTCACTTTATGTCAGTCAAAAGTTTGGACACACCCTCTTATTCAGTGTGTTTTTTCCTCTTTATGTTTACTACTTTTTACATTTAAACACATATGGAAGATAGTGAATATATAAAGCAAGATAAATGGGATTATGTAGATAAGAAAAAAAGGGTAACATCTCAACAAAATATTTAAATCCCATAGTAGCCTCAAGGGGTGTGCAAAAATATTGAAATATCGATATAACCTATATGTATGTAATGATACAGGATCGATATCGTGGGCTCCTGTATCGATATACAAAAAAATACTCTTGGCGATATATTTTACTTAATTATTTTGTTACAGTGCTGCAGTTTTGTTGCTTGTTTAGAGGAAGGAAACTCGTTTATGCAACATATTTGACATTTTCTCCGTTTTGATGACTAAAATGTTTGTGTTTCATATGAACTTTGCCCAAGAAGTGATTTAACAAAGACTTTTAGTATCACAGCCATGATTTAGCCTTTATTTTTTATTTAACCATATTGAATCCATTTGAAATGTATCATATCGTATTGAAAGTGCAATGTTTTAAAATATAAATTGTCTTGTGGCCTGTGTATCGAGATATGTATCGTATCGGCAACTTCTTAATGATACCCAGCCCTAGTATCCTCCCTTTGCTTCCATGACAGAGTTGCAAAACCTCATGGTGAAGTCTCCTGAAATGGTTTTCACTTCACAGCATTGCTGCGCCAGGGTCAAGAAATGCCAAAAGAGCAAATCGGGGTTTAAAGTAAAGGCTGTTTTTAAAACATGTAAAACAGGTTTGGAGTTAGCTTGAGTTTAATTTTTTACTACATTCCATATGTGCCACAGTTTTGCATTCGGTGATAGTCCATATGCAAACAGGTGTGACAGCACCCATCAGTCTATGCAAAATATGACTCACAGTTAACACTTAGTGTAGTTCAATAGACCGAGCTCGCAGACAGAAACAATAAACAAGTAGGTGTTAGTTTCAGTGTCGACCGGCTGAAGAAGCTGAAGAAACGTCATAACTTGAATAAAACTTTTGTCCAGTTACAGAATTAAATTTTTCTTTTGCTAAGAAAACTAAATTAAAAAGTGTGTTCAAACTTTTGACAGGTCGGGTAAATAAATGTACAACATTCATGTGATTTGTGTATGCAAAACATTTAAAGTATAAAGTAGAAATACTCACTCTGCCTCGAGTTGTGCCACGGGACACTTGTACTGCGCTGTGCTGAACAGGCAAATGTCTGCGTACTGACGCACTGCAAACACACACACGTACTCTTACTACATATTGTATTTGTATACTAGTATACTACCATAGTACATATATTCCTGAAGTGCAACACTATTAATACAATAATACAAAACACAGCTGTACATTTTAATTTCCTATATTCATATAAATGTGATATAATCATAAACATAATTCTTCAGCTGTATTTTGTACCTGATATTTTGACTCTCTTAACCGTCTTGGTGGAGTTGTTTGTGACGTGGACGTTGACGCTGATTGGTTCTCCGTGATAATACAACTGAAACACCAAAAGGGGTTTAGCTGTGCTTTATAGGAGCAGTAGTTTTCTGTGTCAGGTGCATTATGGGAGCTGTAGTCTCACCTCTTTGTCCAGAGATGCCTCCAGGTGCAGAGAGCGGTCGGACATGAGGAAGCTGCGCGTCGTCTCCACCATCGGCTGAGGCCCAGGCTTCTCTGGAGCGTACTGCACTTTACGGATCACCAGGCGCACTGAGTTCCTACAGACAGTGAAGGCAACACTTTTACAACTGTTCCTGCGTGTCAGATGCCCTCCTGGTGTATCCATGGAGTCTTATTCTAACACTTTTAAACATGTTCTGAAACACATGGGGGTCTTGGTCTTGGATTCGTTTAACAGATTTGAGTCTCTCTGGAAGACTGACCTCTTGTGGATCTTTTCTTCTATCGACTTGGCACAAAACGCTCTGATCTCAAAGTCCACGCCGCACGCCTGAGGAGACAAGGCGAGAGGAGAGCGATGTTTAATTGTTGTTTTTATAGTATTAAAAGTAGCAGTAATAGTAGCTGATGTAGTAGTAGCAGTAAAAGTATTCTTACCTTCCCAGTGTCTTCTGGCCCCGGCTGCAGAGTCACTGAACACGGGAGGTTCTGAGGGATCTGAAACAAACAAATGTGTAAAATAAAATAAGGATCTGAAGTGTAGTAGTAGTATTTGTAGTAGTATTTGCAGTCGTAGTAGCATTTGCAGTAGTAGTAGTAATAGTAGTAGTACTCACAGTAAAGTAGAATGGATGTGCGTGTTGTCCCAGTTTCTTAAGCAGTCGCTCCTGGAGGCGGCTGTTCGGTTTCCTCTCCTCTGGGACCGGAGGGAATGCCTGGGACACAATAATGCATATACAATTACACAGTCATTTTTTTTACAGTCCGGGCATCTCCTCCCCACTCTCGGCTGCTCTAACAGTGTGCGTAAATACATTTCGACAGAATTAACCAAAGCCTGTAGCCTTCGAGCCCTGTACTGGTTGTTCCGCATGTATCTGAGCAAAATGTGCCCAGTGCAGATAAATTGTATAGGCAGCTCTTCAGGTCAAAATAAGTCTGCTGTGAACTGTCTGCGTCTAATTATAACACATAAAGCTTTGAGCAGTATTGATACTTTGCAGCCAATGTCATCAACTCTCCCTGGGGATGTGATTCTAACTATAGGCACTACTTTGTCTGAAGCTCTGTCACACAGGTTATATTTTAAAGGAACAGTTCAGAATTTTGAACAGGGTCTCATTTCCTAGTGAGCCAGAGTGTTGGAGACTTTTTTAAACATTCCATCCAGTCCACTAAAAACAGTCTTACCCACTCCACAAAACACCCGAAGCAAATCTATTATTACACCAGCCTGTCGATGTAAATGTCTGTGTTGATAGAATAATTGTAGAAGTAAAACCGACCTTGCATTTGAAGGATTTATGTCTGAGCAGCAGCAGTGAGTTGTACTTCCCAATAGAAAGCTCGACAGCGGCGGACTGATATATGAGAAAATAGTACCTCAACATGCGACGATTCATGCGATGCAAGGTTAGTTTTACTTCTAAAATGATTCTATCGACACAGACATTCACATGGACAGTCTGGTGTAATAATAGATTTGCTTCGGGTGTTTTGTGGAGTGGGTAAGACTGTTTTTAGTAGCAGGAGTCTAGCACCAGCAACCTCTGCAAATACAAGGACTGGATGGAAAAAAAGTGTCTCCACACGTCTCCAACACTCTGGCTCACTAAGAAATAAGGCCATATGTCTAAAATTCTGAACTGTCCCTTTAATCTGTGCTTTATTTTAGCACAATCTGACCAGAAAGAACTGACTAAAGGCCACCACACACAACAGGATTTTTCAGTCTTAAACAATTTTTAAATGTGCAAAAATAAAAGGGCACACCACAGACATGAGGAGAATCTTATGAGATTTTAAATCTCTGATCGCAAAGACTGCAGCAGGATCTGTCTGTGTAAAACAGGCTGCAAAGTTGTAAGTGCGATCGTATCAGCTGTTTCTGTCTACAGTAAAAACACTCGCTTTGAGACTCTTAAGTGCTCAAAAGATCAGAGCACTGCACTTCTAGTTTAGATAAAAGTCAAAACTGTGTTAATATTATCTGTGAAATGTGGCACAAAACTTCAGATACAATTTTTAAAACATAAAAGGTGGAGATAAAGTCCACAGGAAGTAGTGTCACTATCGCAAATCTGCAGCTTCACCTCGATCCGTGCGCAGTGTGGATGTAAACAAACACACGTGGGGAACTACTCCTGCCTTTTTACTTTTAAATAATGCCTCAAACTGGATTCACAGCGCTGTTTTGTGGACTGGATGTCATTATTTGCAGAGGACAAATTCTGTGGATAATGTGGATGAAATGCTGCACTTAAAATTTACAACTTTACGAGAGATGAGGAATAAAGTTTTGTCATTTTCTCTATATTTCGAGTTTGGATCTTCCGTCTCTGTGTCCGTCACTTCTCTGTCCCTGACGCTTTTGTTGGCTGTTTTATCGTAGCGTTGTTGATGTTTGGTGGTTACGATCTGACAGAGCACACACACGAGGAACCCAACGGCTTCAAAAATCGCACACAAAGACACAAAATTGGGTCACGCCTCCCCGAACTGTAGTGGGTGGCGGCCTTGAGGTGGAAATACAACAGGAGAGCTGATTTGTGCTGTTAAATAAGTCTCTCTCAAATAACTTTACAATCACAAGCATTGGATAGCCAGCATTTTTTTTTCACTTTTTTGTTGAAAATTAAACACAAACAGGACCATGAACGCTCGTATTTAAACAACACATTTACAGGAGCCTGTGATGAATGCATTTCTTGAGTTTTTAGACCGTCTTAAAACACTGGACATCTCCAAAGCAGCACAATAAGGTTAAAAACTATAAAAACTATAAAAATGTGTAAAGGTTATTTGAGATTTTACCTGAAAAGTGGAGATGTAGAGGTCCTTTCTGAAGGACAGACCGAGAACATCCAAATCCTCACGCCCATAACGGAACGCACAGGTCAGGGTCACAAAGACTAGGAGACAAGGAGACAGGAGTTAGGAGACAAGGTGAGGAGATAGGAGGCAAGAGAGGAGACAAGGAGAGAGGAGTTAGGAAGCAAGGTGAGGAGATAGGAGGTAAGAGAGGAAACAAGGAGAGACGAGTTAGGAAGCAAGAGAGGAAATAGGAGGCAAGAGAGAATACAAGAAGAGAGATGTTAGGAAGCAAGAAAGGAGTTAGGAAGCAAGAGAAGAGACAAGAAAAGAGGAGACAAGTGAGAAGTTGGGAGGCAAGAAATGAGATAGGAGGCAAGAGAGCAGACAAGAAGAGAGGAGTAAGGAGGCAAGGGATGAGACAAGTGATAAGTTGGGAGGCAGGGAGAGGAGGAGAGTTTGTACCTTTGCGATCTTTGAGATATTCAGGGTCAACCAGAATCACTCCGTCTGAGGAAAAAAAAAAAGAGAAAAACACAGATTTAATGATCGATAACGACAGTAAGGAGAGAACGAGGAGAAGGAAAAGGAGGAGGAGGATGAGGAGGAGAGGCCGTCGTACCAACTGGGTCCACATGGTCCAGGTGATCCACAAAGTCCCTCTTCCCCAGGTAAACCGTCACCTGCGCACGCAAAATGATCAACGATAAGAGGAATAAACTGGAATAAACATGTTTAAAAGCTTTAAAAAGTACATTTGGACAATAGTTCATTCAGTTATCTTTTTTTTTTTTTTTTTTTTTGATGTAGGCTGAATAAGAGTCAGGTTTGTGGAGATGCGAGCCAGTTTCGATCAAGGACACATGTTTTACACTGCAACAAAAAAAACAACAAGATGAATCCACGCTTTTATGTAAGTCTATTTTTTGGCTTTGTGGCTTTAAACTAATATTTTTCTTCTTGGCTTCTATTGTTGTATGTTATAATTTTTGACTTTTTACTGTTCAGACTAGAGCATAAAACTGTCCAGATAAAATTACTGCAGAAAACCACACACATGTGACTCGCTCTTATTCAATTATTAAATATTAGATTAAATGATCTAATTATCCCAAACCCACAGTGAAGAACAAGAGCATTTAACTCGCTTAAGAGTAAAACAAATGTGCTCTTCTGCAGATTCTTGTGAAGGAAGTGAATTTAAAGCAGGCCTATTCTGTAAAATTGATTTTTCAGAGCTTTTAGCCATTGTTCAAACTGTTATTGTCGTTTTCTTTCCACTGTCCCTGAGATTGTATTTAGAGTGATTCGTGGATGTTTGAGTGATTTTTCTGTGTTCAAGATGCCATCGCTCCGATCTAACCCGCATTTTCACCTCCACTGTGACTTTCTCCAGTTTTATTTCTTAACTTACAATAAATAAGGATTTGGCAGTGTCGTGTAGTAATTTCGGTGCAAATGAAACAAAAAAAAAATCTGCTGTTTGTTGGTGTGACATGCGGTCGTCCACAGGAGGGGCCGAGAGCAGGCGGCGCTTTGTTGTGATGATGTTTACAGCGATGTCAGCTCCCACTGGGCACTGCAGTTTTCTAACGCGGAGGTCAGCGCACTTGTTTCTTTTATTAAGTTGTTTTGGATCAATATTGCAATTAAATCCAAAATCCAAGTAAAAGCCAGTCGCTGTTCATTTTAACAAACTGAAACGTGATGTCGTCTTTGCGTTTCTGTGGGATCAAACAGGGACTACATCAGGAATTGGAATACACTAGACTGTTTGCAAGAACCGTGGAAGTCCCGAGTTCGGGCACCAGCCAATCAGCAAAGAGCCATATATTCTGTGTTGGCAAAGATTCCCAAGATCAAGGATTTAAAGCCGAACAAAGAGAATGTTTGGTGAATTTTATCAAGGGGAAAGACGTTGCCCTTCTTCCTACGGGATTTGGCGCATTACATACGTCACGACCAAATAGCACCAATTGGTTAAATAAATAAAAAATACCTGCCTACTGTCGAGCGAATGAATCCTAACGCTGCGAGGTCACACGGTTTGTACAAAGTGAAACCGGCTGATGAATCAGGCTAAAAAAGACACAAAGCCTATTGGATTTTTACTCTACAAATTCTTAGTCCTAAAGGCTTAAATGATGAATTGTTGTTTAATGTATTGTTATGATTTTTTAAAAGTGATGTAATGAAGGGCAAATATATACGCCCTCCCTCTGAGTCACGAGGGAGGTTCATGTTAAACTCTACGATGCGCCGCTTGTTTTGCTAAAAAATATGTTGTCTGTATGATGAAACTTAACTTTCTCATGTTGATCATTATCTTTATATTTTTTTTCTAATTATTATCCATGTGTTTTAAATCACAAGAGATTGGTTCGTAGTTAATCATATAACATTCTTTCCCAAAGACTGAGTCGTGACCCTCATGTGGGTCACAAGATATTTTTTGGGGGGGGAGTTGCCTTGTTTTGAAATCATTTTATTGACTATTTTGTTTCAGTATTGCTCATTCAATTGAATGTTGGAAAGAAAAAGAAACGGGTTACATTTAATGTCCAAATAGGCGACTTATGGATCCTTTTATTGCTGCTTCAATGACTGAACTAATTGTTCAGGGACACGTTCACTCAGTCAATAAAATATCCTCATTAATGTTCAATAATGCTCAAATCCACCTTTATCTTGTGATTTAAGAATAATGTTTATTAACTTGGGTAGCAAAGGTTTGTGATTTTTAAAATATGGCTCCCCAGAAAAAAAGATTGGGAAACACTGATATATAATATTTGGGTCTAATTGTAAATGTATTATCGTATTTTCCGGACTATAGGGAGCGCTTTTACGCCTCTATCCCCATCAAAAAATGGCCGTGCGCCCCGCAATCCAGAGCGAATCACAACTTCAGCAAACTATAAAGCCGCACCACCCGCAGCGCACACAAACACACACGGAGTAGACAGCGACCGCACAGCGAAACACTCTTCACTCCACACCGACGAGGAACGGAGGAACGAACCGAAAAAGCGAGTGCAATGTGCCACTTCCAGACACGACTCAACAACTGAGTCACTGCGAACTCGCCGACAATCCAGCGGTCCCAGACAGCACCCTCCCTACACGCCACAACTGAACAAAGCCCAGAGTCACCGTGAACGCCACAAACAAACAAAACCACTCACCCATCACACTGTTGGGTTTCCTTTAAAGTCCCACGTGGTTTATTTGTGGAAAAAGTTCAAAAATAGACCATTTAATGACAGTGCGTTTTATAATCCAGAGCGCCTAATAGCTCGAAAAATACGGTATTTTTCACTGCTGTGACTGGATAATTTTTCTTTAGGGGACAGTCCCTTAACTTATAGTATTTATACTTATAAGAGGAGTGGAGGGTCTGAGGAAAGTCTGACGGACCGAAATGTCTTATCAATGAAAGAAAAACCAGGAGTATGTGCGGGAGTTTTTCTTGAAAACAGCTAAATATACAAATTATAACACAATCATCGGGCAATGATCCACGGGCATCACAGACTTTTAACTACAGTGCAAGCCAAGTCTGTGCAGTTAATTAAATTTTTAACACGATTTTGATTTGTGTGTCAAACGATCTCCAAACTCATATACTCGAGTTGAAAGGATTTCAAGTTTATTTTGGGGTATTTTTTATATAAATAAGAATATTTATTTTATTTTTAAATATATAGATTGTAGATCAGCTGGATATACATTTTATTTATTTTTCTATGCCTTATTTCATGTTCAAAGTTTATTTTATTCATTTTATATTTTATACATTGCAAAACTGCTGCAAGGTTCGTATTTGTAGCCTGAATTTATTTCCAATTTGAAAGTTTTGTGTCAATTATCAATTACAAAGTGTTCTATCAGAGAGAAAAATGCTGACTAAATATATTGTGTAATAAAAAAATAAACATTTGAATAATCGTGATTTCAATATTGACCGAAATAATCGTGATAATGATTTTTTCTATAATTGAGCAGCTCTAGAGCAAACACAAGCTCAACATGTCTGCTTTAAGTTCCTGTTAACATTTTGGACAGATTTAGTGTTTTTTTTTAAATAAATGTAAACAGTTTGGTGTATTGTTTTGTGCTGGTCGTGTCCTGGACTCACCTTACAGTTGGGGCTGGACTTCTTGAAAACTCTGAAACAGGAAACACAGAATTAAACAAAGGTCAAAGGTCACGCCACAACAGGAAAAGGACTAGAGGCGACAAACGCGACTTCCTGTTAGACTCAAAGGCAAACCAGGAAGTGCATCTGCCCAATCTGCTCAACGGGTGAGACAATAAAGATATGAACAAGACCCCAAGTTCAGACCCAGGCTCAGACCCAGGCTCAGTCCCTGGCTCAGTCCCTCGTTCAGACCCTCGTTCAGACCCTCGTTCAGACCCTCGTTCAGACGTGATTAGTGCTCGGTTACGCCTGGTTAATCGGACAGACTTTTGAAGGGAAAGGTGCGTCACATGATCCTCAGGGAGCGGCCAATCAGAGCGCAGCCTGGTCCCACCTGAGCCCGGGTCAGGTTCAGACAGGTGAGGTGCCGCAGGTGTGAAGCACAACAAGGCCACATATGTACAGCTCGGGGACGATCAGGTGTGTCACAGACAGGTGTGTGCAAAAATATCAATATATCGTATCGTTTAATGTGATGATACCGTACTGATATCAGGGGCTGCTGTATCGATACATCGCTAAGAGTATTTTTTGGTATATTTTAATAAATTATTTTATTACTAGGTCAGGAATCAGAATACACTAGACTAGACGGTTTGCAAGAATCTCGGAAGTGCAAGTTCGGGCACCAGCCAATAAGTGAAGAGCAATACGTTCTGTGTTGGCTGAGATTCCCGAGATCGAGGATTTAAAGCTGGAACAAAGAATGTTTGGTGAATTTTATCAAGAGGAAAGATGTTATTGTCCTTCTTCCTACGGGATTTGGGAAAAGCTTAATATACCAGTTAGCCCTGTTACTGGTGCATTACATACGTCACGACCATATAGCAGCGATTGGTTAAATAAAAAAAGTATCCACCTACTGTCGAGTGAACGAATCCTAATGCTGCGAGGTCAGACAGTTTCTACGAAGTGAAACTGGCTGATGAATCAGGCTAAGAGTTTTGTTACTTGTTTAATGAAAAGAAACTCATTAATGCAGCACATTTTACATTTCCACAGTTTTGACAATTAAAAAAAATTTGTGTTTCAATTTAACTTTGCACAAGACGTGGTTTAACAAAAGACTTGTAGTATCACAGACATGATTTAGACATTACTTTTTACTGAACCGTATCAAATCGATTTGAAATATATTGTATTGAACCGAGAGTGCACTGTATGGAGGTATGTATCGTATCGACAACTTCTTAATGATACCCAGCTCTAGTCATGGATATAGCCTATGCACTAACCGAGGCGTTCCAAACAGGAAGTGATCACAGGGATCCTTCAAGCTCTGGTTACAATTCACTTTCTATTGAAAAACAAAACTGTGGCCCTTCTCTCTGTAACTGCCGCTGTCAGACTCGTCATTCTGATCTTTTCTCAATTGAGAGCCAAATATGACATACTGTACCTTCCAGTGACCATTATAGGTTCTTACAGTTGAGAAATTATATTACAAAACATAAGGTCTGGGATTATATCAGAAGAGACCCGACAAATACTGAGAAATATTTTAGTTATCTACTTGAAAACTCTGGTGTACTGAAAAAGCAAGTGTCTTTGATTTACCAAAAACTGTTGTTGGACGAGTCTGATATCACAAATCATATGTAACAACAGTGGGAAAGGGAAATGAATGTAAACTTGGACAATGATACCAGGGAGAGTATTTGTTTTAGTTGTCGTAGAGTGTTGGGAAATCAAATCTGGAAGGTCAAATTAAGATTCTTTAGAACCCTGCTGAAAACTTTTACTTCGAAATATAGTCTTAGTGATAAGTGTTGGAGGAATTGTGAACTTGTAGGTGACCAAACTCACATATTTTGGGACTGAAACGTTTCTGGATTGATGTTAAAGATGTTCTACAAAATATATTGGCTGTTGACATCTCATTGGACCCAAAGATATTTTTGCTAGATACATTTCCTGATGGTCTCTCTCATGATCAGTGCTTTCTGTTGCTTTCTTTTGATGAGTGCAAGAAAAATGATTACTGTCTGAAACCTGAGACACCGACCACAGATCAGTCGATATAAAAAATAAAAAAAAAAAAAAATCACACAAGTTTCTACAAGCAGCTGCAGCTAAAGTCGCTGATTTTTGTAAAGAAGTGGGGTTCAATTATTGGCTTTTTCAAAGATACTTATGCCCTAACATGCTGTATTTTTATTTATTTAATAATTTTTACTAGAAAAAAAAGTAAATATGTAAATTATGCGAGGGCCCGGTCTCAGGACACTGTTGCAATAAAAGATAAAAAAAAAGCAGAGTTGGGTTTTTTTTCACAAACTATCTGGGAGTTTCAGAGATTGTGGATTATTGTTGCGCATCCGGACGAAAACATTAAAGACAGAAAACGCCTGAGCCTTTTAACAGATTTGCAAAACTACAGATTGACGGGAGGAGCGAGTTTCTGCAGCTCAACGTTTATCAAACTGGCCATTGATTAAGCTTTGAACGTAGGTTAAAATTATTATTTTTTCTTTATTGGGTTTCATTTTATCTTATTTGTCCTCCACGCAGCGACTAGCAGTGTGAGGAGTTTGGTCCTGCTTGTGTTGTTTAGAACTTTTAAACTTGATTTTGGAACAAACCGTTTTGCATTGGAGAACTGCAACACTTTATTTTGTAATTGTGTTTTTTATACGTGTTTGTTGTTCATAATGTGGATGAATGAAATGTGAAATGTGGGACCAGCCTTTCAAATCTGCAAAACAAAATTACCTACGGATACGAATAACGCAACCCAACCTAACCATAACGATTAAAAAACTAAGTGTATATTGTCGTAAGCATTATGGTGTATTAATGAGGCGGAAAGAAACTATACCAAATGCTTTTTGCTAAACACTGTTAATCTGCTTAGTGTTGACAGCATAGAAATGTCGACTTTTGAAAACAAAATCGCAAACTTAAGATATAACAATGGCGATTTTTAGTCTGTTAATAGGCTCCAACATGTGAACATTAGTTACGGCACATAATTTTTTCACTATTTCATCAGTTTCATATAATTTAAACTTAACTAATGTTTAAACATCACGGGTACGGAGATTTATAATAAGATATTTTTTTCACAAACATCTCTAGAGAGCCTTTTTGATGATATAAGAAGGTGAAACGTAAAAAAGATGTCCAGATATTGCAGAGTTAAGGTGAAATCTGCGTGTTGTCCGTAGACAACGATTTCACGACAATAAAACTCCAGAAGGACATCAGCTGGCCGTGTTCAACCGGGATGTAAAACAACAAAAACTTCAACAAAATGAACGCGGTGCCCTCTCCCGTTTGGCGTTTCCACGGATACGGCGGCGTTTGGGAGGAGCTCGTTCCCACCGTCAGCTGTTTCCCGTCATTGTGCTTTTCAGGAAGTGATGTCAGACGATGCGCTCAGCTGTTTGTTTATGACTCTTCGGTGACTCAGCAGCTTCTCGGCCTCTCTAACCCTGGTCAAGTGTGATGAAATGTTCCGCCGCAGGGCTTTAACAGTGTTCTAATGTGGTGCTCTCCGCAGAAATCCCACAGATTTAGTTCAAAACACTCAGTTAAACCTTGAGATGTCATCAGGTGGTGCTCCTCTGCGTTTTTATAGCTCACCAGGCAATAACTTAGATCATTTCAGCTCAAAATGCCACCCTTGCAGCTATTGTTTTCCGCCTCATTTGAACAGCTTCTCTTCTCAGATCAAAATTCCTCCACAAAATATAATTACCATACAAAAAAATAATAAAAATTATAGATCTGCAAGGTAAACAAATGTATTTAAGTTACTGTGGGACCCCAAAACTCTAAATATTCACATTAATATTGACTACAGACAGGATTTAATTCACAAAACATCGTAATTTTTTTATTTTCCCCAAAATTTTTACCTAACTTTCTACAATTTTGGTGAGATTTATCATTTCATTTCCTTGTTGGACCTAGCTGTGGCATACAATATATTATGGTATTTTCCATTTTTCTTCACAATTCGACACTGAACTGTAAAACTGATGATGTAAAACTATAATCTAATCTCACCAAACACCACCACAGATGGTTTAAAGACTAAAGGTTGATTAACAGTTTTATTGCTAAGTGCCCACCTCCTGCCACAGCCTCACTCCTGATTGGCCGTTTGGTCTGGAGCTCAGATTTCCAAATATGATTCCTCGTTTCAGATTAGGCAATGAGCTTCATTTGGTTGAAACCGAACTCTACGGGTGACGTCAAATTCCCTTAATCAAAGTCTTTCTACCGTCAGGATCAGGTGCGACTCAGGTATGATTAGGGTTTGGCTTTTAAGAGGGAACTCAAGTCATCTTCTTCTTCTGACAGCGCACACTTTACTGTGATTGGTTAATCCACCTGTCAGTCAGAGCATGAACTGAACAACAGACCTGCAGGTGTCCTCAATAGAGCTGGGGATCATTAAGAAATTGCAGATACGATACATACGTCGATACAGTGCGCTCTCGATTCGATAAGATATATTTCAAATCTATTTGATACGGTTCAATAAAAATAAAGGCTAAATCATGTCTGTGATACTAAAAGTCTTTGTTAAACCACTTCTTATACAAATTTCATATAAAACACAAACATTTTAATCATCAAAACAGTGAAATGTGTCGCATAACAAACAACAAAATAACAAAGTAACAAAATAATTTACAAAAATATACCAAAAAATACTCTTGATGATATATCGATACAGCAGCCCACGATATCGATACTGTATCATTACATTAAACTATATATCGATATTTTGATATTTTTGCACACTCCTAGTGTGATCAAAATTCCTCCACAATATATAATTACCATACGAAAAATATTAAAAATAATAGATCTGCAAGGTAAAGAAATGTATTTAAATTAGTGTGGGACACCAAAACCCTAAATATTCACTTTAATATTGACTACAGACAGGATTTAATTCACAAAACATCTTTTTTTTTTTTTTTTTTTTTTCCCCAAAATTTGTACCCAACTCTCTATAATTTTACAATTTTGGCGAGATTTATCATTTAATTTCCTGGTTGGATTTGGATGTGACTTACAATATGCTTTGGTATTTTCCACTTTTCTTCACAATCCACCACTGAACTGATTTAAAACTATAATCTAATCTCACCGAACAAAACCACAGTCTGCACTTTTATTTAGGATGCTCGTATAAAGCTGAGCAAGAAAAAATAAAACATGTATTAAAGTTAAATATTGTGACTGAAAGAGGAAGGGGAAGTGCAGTATGAGCAACAGGAAGTTTTGAGTAAGGGTCCATTTACGTCAAAATAAAACCACAAAAACAAGTAACTGGAGCAGAGTGGTTAGAGTGTCCTATCCCCTCCTCTCAGTACAGGTTGTGGGTTAGATTCCTAAATTGTCTGAGCTGAATGTGCATATGAACGTGCATATCCGCCTCTATGCTACAATGATAGAGTGGTTAGCCCGTAAACCATGAGGAAAATGGGATTTATAGAAAACTGTCTGACGGTTTAGGGTTAATCCAGGATCAGACTGGTGACCACCACCACAACAACTACTACTACTACTCCTCTTGACCCTCTACTCTGCATCTTCTGCTTCATCTGACCCTTTCCTCTGCATCTTCTGCTTCATCTCACCCTTTCCTCTGCTTCATCTGACCTTCTCCTCTGCATCTTCTGCTTCATCTGACCCTCTACTCTGCATCCTCTGCTTCATCTCACCCTTTCCTCTGCATGTTCTGCTTCATCTGACCTTCTCCTCTGCGTCTTCTGCTTCTTCTGATCCTGTCCTCTGCATCTTCTGCTTCATCTGACCCTTTCCTCTGCATCTTCTTCTTCATCTGACCCTTTCCTCTGCATCTTCTTCTTCATCTGACCCTTTCCTCTGCATCTTCTGCTTCATCTCACCCTTTTCTCTGTATCTTCTGACCCTCTCCTCTGCATCTTCTGCTTCATCTGACCCTCTCCTCTGCATCTTCTGCTCCTCCTGACCCTTTCCTCTGCATGTTCTGCTTCTTCTGACCCTCTCCTCTTCATGTATTGATCTTCTGCTTCATCTGAACCTCTGCTCTGCATCTTCTGCTTCATCTGACCCTCTCCTCTGCATCTTCTGCTCCTCCTGACCCTCTCATACTCATCTTCTTTATCATGACACACAGCAACAATCTTATAACAACTGCAATAGTCAAAGTTTGTAGTATTATATTTTTCAAAACAAATTTCTGTGCATTTTCATAATAAAAATGGACTTGTACTTTAAACGAGCGTTAAATGGTGGATACTTTTAGCCAATGCACCTTATGAACACGAGCAAATACAACTGAGACGCCTGAATGTTTTTAAAGATTTCCAACCACGAAAATATAATGAGTTATATTGTCGCCTCCTCTGACACCGCGGCCATGCGTGGATTTAATTCTGTCAGTGTCTTTTATAGTTAAACATCTTCACATTATCTCCTCGTTATCTGTGCATGGGCCTCAGGTTTCTAAAAACAGCGCGGTCACACACGGAGCTCCCGCAGATCCACGGCCTGGTGTCGGAGCGTAAACACGGGGCTGCAGCGGCGCGTCTCTCCGCACATGTGACGCAAACACGTCGCTAAACTGCGCTCTTTTAGCACCTATTTCATCCGTAAAACCCCACGTAAAGCGCGTCTCTCCCGGGCCGCGCAGAGCCACCAGAGGACGCCGTGTTTAAACCGCAGAGAAAAACCCACGCACCGATCACAGCCAATTACAGCAGAGGAGCGTGGCCGATGCGCCACACTACGCTGCAAAAATCACACATTACAAGATTTCTGTTGCAGCTCATCTAAGAGAAACAAACATGATGTGGGAGTTAAAGTGTAATATGCTCCTCTTTACTTCGGCTGTGGCTTGGGGTAAAAATCACGCACACGTCTCCCCACAGCCCGAGTTTTCTGGAGCCCGTCCGCTGTCACTGCCGCCCACTCCGGTCTTATTTTACCACTAAAGTCTACGGAGTCTGGCCCGCAGCTGTTAACCTAATTAACCCAAATGCGACCGTCACAAAGCCATTTAATAAAGACATGATTCGCTTTGGACCCGTGGACCGTGTCTGGTGAAAATGGAGCGACGTGTTTTTGCAGAAAACGTGACATTTGTGTCCGCTCTTGGCTGTTAGCCGCCTGTGGCTAACCCCGCCCTGCTAACACCAAACTCACCCAAACTCCGGCGTTTTACCACAAAACTGTCACATTTAGGCTCGTTTAAAGCGACGCCGGGGGGAGAGGTGTGCTTTTACTGCCGCGTCGTTAAGTTCCAAACATTATGTGCGTGATAATTAGTGCACAGTCACTCAATTAGTGAAGCTTTCCTCCGCAGTGACCAAACGCCTCTACACTGCCCATCAGCCAAGTGCGTGAAGCTAAAGCTAAGCTAATGCTAAGCTAACTAGCCTTTAGCCGCGCGTACCTGGTGCCCTGCGCCTTGTCGCCCATCTCCGCGGCAGGCGAGGAGCGGCCACAAAGATCCGACAAAACGATCCGTGCGCGGAGGAGCGGAGAGCGGCTTCAGTCCCGGGCGGCTGTCCTCCGTGTGCGGCCGTCCATGCACCGAGTCCCGAGCCTTCAGAGCCGCGAGAGCCTCCGGAGCTTCGGGAGCGAGTCTGCTGCTGCTAACGCCACCAGCTCAGCGCTTCCTTCTGCAAACAGCGCAGCTCCTCCGTCTGTCCGCCGCGCTCTGTCCGTCCCCTCCGCCTCAGTCACAGCTCCTCCGTGCAGCAGCAGCAGCAGCAGCAGCAGCAGATACCGGAGCACGGACCCGCACGGGAGACTCCTGTGTGCAGCCTCCGTGTCTCTGTCCGTGTGTCTCTGTATTCCGCTGGAGACACGATATTTCTTCCTGTTCCTCACATTTGACTACATTCAAATGCGCGGGACATTTGCATTCTGCAGAGACGCAGCTGAGAAAACAAGCGCACGAGTTTGTGGGATATTTACTTCTCGGACTGTAGTATTTTAATATCTTTAATTACAATTACCTGCTCATAATTTAGTTGTAAGTTCATGGGAAATTACGCGGCGGTGTTTGGACCCATTTCCTTTGGTTTTATAACTGAAAACAATGTCTTTAAGCCTTTGTTATGATAAAAACATGTTATTGGCAGCACTTAGGTTTTCACATTCACAGCTTGGATCGGGAATTGGATGCCCCCTGTAGGCTACGATAAGGATTTAAAACATTTGAGATCCAAAATAATCATTAAGAGGCCAGTGTTAAGGAGTACAGAGTGTTGTCACGACAATAAATACTCTTATTTTCGATACTAAGGAGTTAACTTGATTCCTGATACCGTTTCCTATACTAAAACCAAAACTAAACCAGGTCTAAACCAGGTCTAAACCAGGTTTAAACCAGGTCTAAACCAGGTCCAAACCAGGTCTAAACTAGGTTTAAACCAGGTCTAAACTGGGTCTAAACCAGGTCTAAATCAGGTCTGAACCGGGTCTAAACTGGGTCTAAACCAGGTCTAAACTGTGTTAAAACCAGGTCTAAACTAGGACTAAACCAGGTTTAAACCAGGTCTAAACCAGGTCCAAACCAGGTCTAAACTAGGTTTAAACCAGGTCTAAACTGGGTCTAAACCAGGTCTAAACCGGTTCTAAATCAGGTCTAAACTGGGTCTAAACCAGGTCTAAGTCAGGTCTAAACTAGGTCTAAACCAGGTTTAAAACAGCCCACTCTTTCTTTAGACGATAGAATGTGATATCCCAACATTAATCGACACGTCGATACTGGTTCAAATGAGTATCTACAGTAGTTTCGATAATAGATGAACTTTTGACAACCCTGAGACTCAATAAACTGGGACACAGCAATTTCCGGTGTTCAGAAATAAACACCCTGAAACAGAACTTGGTGTCAGTTTTTGTTTCATGTGGACAGGCCCAGTAAAAACAGAGAAATTAACCATAAACCAGGTCACTCTGTGGTATGATTTGAACAGCAAATTTCACAAACAAAAGTCCGATTCAAAATGTTTATTTAGATGATCAGGGTCAGTACAAAAGCAGAAAGGAAAAAGGAGTGCATGAGTTAATTGCAGACTTTGTAATTTTTGGTATTTATATGTAGAAAATCAGATTAAACTCATGATTCACAACGATAATGTGTCGTTATATAAATACATTATTTGCTAGTACTTTATTTCCTGCATAAATAGTTAAAGTTTTGTTTTTTGTTTAGTTTTTTAACTGGTTCAAATCATTTTTAACAAACAGGGAGCAGTCCTAGCCAGTGTCTTCGCTCAATTTCATTTCTCTCCAGCGACTAGGTCAGGAATCGGAATGCACTAGACGGTTTACAAGAACCCCGGTAGTGCGAGTCCGGGCACCAGCCAATCAGAGAAGAGCCATACATTCTGTGTCGGCAACGATTCCCGAGATCGAGGATTTAAAGAAAAGAACAAAGAGAGAGTTTGGTGAATTTTATCAAGGGGAAAGATGTTATTGTCCTTCCTACAGGATTTGGGAAAAGCTTAATGTACCAGTTAGCCCCGTTAGCAGCGCATTACATACGTCATGACCAAATGGCAGCGATTGGTTAAATAAAAAACTGTACCCACCTACCGTCAACTGAACAGATTCAAATGCTGCAAGGTCAGACAGTTTCTACAGAGTGAAACCGGCTGATGAATCAGGCTAGAGCAGTCCTTCACAAACTGTAAAATGGAGTGCGGGGTTTCTCAAGGCTCAGTTTTAGGTCCAATTCTTTTTAACCTTTATATGCTGTTACTAGGACAAGTCATTGGAGACACGGTGCTGATGATACTCAACTCTATATCGCCGTGTCTCCGGATGACCTAAGCCCAATCAATGCCCCTTTTTAACTGCATTTTAGATATTAAGTCCTGGATGGCAAAACTTCCTTCCGAGGTTTTAATTATTGGTCCTGAAGCTCTGAGAGAGAGGCTCAAGGCTAAGCTCCAAACTTACTCACTGAACCTGTGAGAGGGTCAAAAGTTTAGGAGTTATTCTTGATAGTGAGTCAGACCATTTTTCTCTCTCAAGCAGAGACTTTAATACATGCTTTCATTACTTATTATTTATTATTTTTACCTCCGCCAAGGAGGTTATGTTTTTGCCGGCGTTTGTCTGTTTGTTTGTTTGTTTGTCTGTTAGCAACATAACTCAAAAAGTTATGGACCGATTTTAATGAAATTTTCAGGATTTGTTGGAAATGTGAAAAGGAAGAACTGATTTCATTTTGGGGGTGATCCGGAAGAAATCCTGGATTCTGGATCACTTTGAAATTTTAGTTAACATTGTGGTAAATGGGGCCAAAAATTTTGTTTCTCAATATCTCGGTTAATTATTGACCAAACCCCATGAAATTTGACTCAGGGATGGACAATGGGATCCTCTTTCATATTCCAAAGGCTGATCCGGATCTGATCCAGAAAACTTCCAAAGAAAACTTCAGCTCCAGACTGCTACAGATTTTCCGAAAAATTGAGCATCAAACCTCCATGTTTGTTTTCCCAGTGGGATGTGTCTATTGACAAAGCTGATCTTTTCAAGTCTTTTGAACCATATCACTTTTGTTTCTGGTTCTGATATTGTCATATTTTAGTTATTGGATTCGGACATTGTTAATTGTGTGGTTGTTGGATCCTGACAGCGGAAAAAGGCTGTTTGCAAACTCCATAACTGCAAAAGTGAATCAGATGTATGTGACTGCAAACCTCCGTTCAAACTGTTTCTCTTACCAACAGAATTGAAAGTGAAAGGTGAAGGTGATGGGCAGGATTGATCCACCAAAAAGGAAATGTTTGTCTGCCTAAGAAATCATCCCAAGTTTGCAGCGAACATTTTGTATGTGGAGCGCCAACAAAGCGGGATCCCGTTTGTTAATCGAGAGGTGCAGAAGACAAACAGACTGAGCTGCACTTTCTTGTTCTTGTGGTTTTACAGCAACATCATGTCTTGGTCTCTTTGTAGTAGAAGGTGTTTCTTGGTGAACAGTTGGTGCCTTTCTCTTTGGTTTTGACTTTTTAAATTCGCAACCAAGGCTGAGTGCTCCACATACAAAATGTTCTCTGTAAACTCGGGATGATTTCTTAGGCAGTCAAATCTTTCCTTTTTGGTCCTTCCTGTGGATCAATCCTGCCCATCACCTTCACCTTTCACTATTTTTCAATTCCATTGGGAAGAGAAATAGTTTGAACAGAGGTTTGCAGTCACACACATCTGAGTCACTTTTGCATTTATGGAGTTCGCAAACAAATTTCTCAAGCCGTTTTCCACTGTTAGGACATTAAACAACCACACAATTACAATGTCCAAATCCCACAACTAAAATATGACAATATCTGAACTAGAAACAAAAGTGACATGGTTCAAAAGAATTGAAAAGATCGACTTTGGCAATAGACGCATCCCAATGGGAAAACAAACATGGAGGTTTTTCGTAAAATCCTTCCCAGTATGAATTGCGCGATGACCGGAAGTCCGAGATTCTTGATGCATATATGGATTAAACCTTGGGGTGGGGTGTTGCTGTTGTTTTTTAATCATAGAAATGTTTCTGTTGCGTGTGAAACAAATCTATAATCAAATATATGAAAAGTGCTATACAAATACAGAAAAATTTGATTTATTGATTGATTGAAGTTTAATGTTTTGTATGATCTCCCATGTGAATGCAGTCTTGAGTGCAATTTGGGTCAGACATATAGAGATGCATAATAGTTTTGAGGGTTTTTGCCACATCCTCTTTTTAGTTGACTGTCGATTGATCGTCAGGACATGTTTTTAGTCGACTACAGCGTTAAATTCCACCACAGAATTGTGACCTCTAGCTCAGGTTAAACTAGAGAGACTCTACGATGTGCTGATTTTACAGTGAAACTTGTAAGCAACACGAGCAACATCAGAAGTATAATAAAAATAAATGAATACATGTGAAAAGCAGAAGTTTGGTGGGGAAGCAGAAGTATAGATGTCTCTTACAGACAAACCTGTCGGAGTAAAGATGAGTCAGCGATTATTAAAAAAGTTATTTCTGTAAATGAAGAGCACATTCACACACGAGGGTTTCACTTCTGTCTGAAGGAGTTTAGCTCTGAGACAAATGAGTTTAAAGCAGCCCCATTGTGTCTGATCATCGTGGGTTGCTGTATCGATATATAATCAAAAGTATTTTTAGGTATATTTTACTAAGTTATTTTGTGTAAGAGCTAAAATTGTGTTGACATTTTCACCGTTTTGAATAAAATGGGTGTTTTTCATCTTAAAGGGATAGTTTAGAATTTTGGACATAGGGCCTCATTTCCTACTGAGTGTTGGAGACGTGTGGAGACACTTTGGCGATGTTCAAACTGCAGGGTTTACTGCTCAGTTCGGATTTTTTTGTGAAATCCGATGTTTTTGCGAGGTCGTTCACATTTCCATTTAAATGTGACTTGTATGTGATCCTCTGTGTGAACATTAAACGACCTGAAAGTGTCTCGCATGTGCACTGGAGACACAACAACGTAAACCACAGTGAGCGTGCTCTGTGTTTACGGAAGTTGTCCAAACATGGACGCAGCATTGAGCACCTGGAGATTTTAAAGTTCCTCTCGTACCAGAGCCAGAACATGAACACTTACTTGTTTTAAGGAGGAGATTGAGAGGGAGACGGGCGAGGTTTTTGGCTGTGGTGTTTTGTGGGGCAGCGGCAGCGACGTCCGTTGAAAGGAACGTGTGGATGTGGAGACGGAGCCAAGAGTGGTGAGTGGTGATGTGCTTCGCTTCAGTCACACGGAGTTCATTAACAATTTTCATATGACGAGAAGAACATTTGTGTACATTTGTGAGCGCCTACTTGGGCCACTCTCGCGGGAGGAAACACATCTTCGGTGGCTTATTTCCGTGAGCAAACGTGTCGGCGTTGGGCTGTATTGCTTTGCAACAGGTGCTTGTTACCGCACAATAGCCAACCTCTTTGGCATAGCCAAGTGTGATAACGTGTAGGTGGATGAACGCGCTTTGGCCGTTCAGACTGAAGTTGCATGTCAAAAGATCGGATATGTATTGGTTTTAGGAGCACATATCCAAGTGTCCTGGGTCGCATTTGAAAAATTCTGATGTGTATCGTTCAGACTGTCATTAAAAGATCAGATACAGGTCACATAGGGGCCAAAAAATTGGATTTGGGTCACTTCAGGCTGCAGTGTGAACGTAGCCTAAGTTAAATATAAAATCTATCCAGTCCTTGTATTTGCAGAGGTCAATGGTGCTAGACTAGTGCATGTCAATGTCCATAGTTATCCTGCCAAAGACAGTCTTACCCACTCCACAAAACACCCGAAGGAAATCTATTATTACACCAGACTGTCCATGTGAATGTCTGTGTTGATAGAATAATTTTGGAAATAAAACCAACCTTGCATTTAAAGGATTTCTGTCTGAGCAGCAGCAGTGAGTTGTATTTCCTGATAAAAAGCTCGGCAGCGGCGGACTGATATATGAGAAAATAGTGCCTCAACATGCGACGATTCATGCGACACGAGGTTAGTTTTATTTCAAACATTACATCAACACAGACACTGAGTATTACTTAAACATGTACAAATCGCTCCAAATAAAACTTCTGAGGTTAAATAAATGAGAAGGAAACAACAATGACATGGTTAAAAGAAAAGTCTGAAAAGTCAATTTTGAAGAGTACGGTAGGTCTGCTTAAAACCAAAGGACATGACAGAGATCCAAATCTTTATAATTCACAATTCCTGCCATAGTTACTTTTTTCAGACTTTTTTCATGTTCTGCGACTTATATTACTGTGTCGACTTATATATTCAGATTTTTCACACTCCTGTGCGCTCTAGCTTTTGCGACTTGTAGGTGCAGTCACTGACAACCTCAGAGCTCTGTGTGTCATCTCCTGCAAAAAGAGCCTCTGTCCTGCTGCAAGTAGTGAAAGATGCAGCAGAAAACGGTAATCGAGCAACAAAAAGAAAGTTTGGAGTAAGTGAGAAACTTGTGAGGGACTGGCAGAAAGTGGGAATGGAGAACACAGCTTCACGGTAACCGGAAGAGTGCACCATGAAACTTTCTTGGAAGTTATTGGATGACAAAGCCTAGACTTCAGTGGCAATCAAAGTTGCGTGGAGCTGCTCAGGTTTTTTTTTTTTATTATGGATGTTTTTATTGAACTGAGAAAACAAACAAAAACATCTCCACAAACCTGACTCTTATTTGACCTGGAGGAGGTCTTCCCACTTGTTTCCATAGAAATGCTGTTCCTTTGGCTATAATAATCCACAGTGCGACTTTAAACATATCTATCTTGACGGAAAATGTTCCAAAGTATGGTAAAGTTACACACTGCACCTTTAACATTTAAGCTGTAGAACTTAGTAATTGTTAATGTGCTAAATGTCATTGAGCCCTGTCGCCAGCAGAGGGCCTCACTCTCATGATCAGAGCGAGCGTGGACTTCAGAAACACAGAGGACCACCACCCGATGATGTCACGAGGATTTCAGGATCTTAAAGCGTTCGTGTCCTGAGTGCGCTCCCTGTTTCCTGGCGTCAGATCCGGACGGTGTAGGAGTCGGAGTGCGTGGTGTGTACCGGACCCATCTCTCTCCTGGACTGGGCTGGACCGGACTCAGTCTCAAGAAGCGGATCTGGAGCCCGGAGCAGGTCCATTTGGGAACCTCAAAGCTGAGTCCCACGGGCCCCACCTCTAGGAGAGACGAGGAGGACAGACCCGGCACGTCCAGCTGCGGGCACAAGGGGGCAGCAGTGAGTCATACACACATACATGTTGTTAAAGCTGCACTGTGTAACTTTTCTAGTTGCCCGTCAAACGCTTTTCTTCGTGGAGATGCCATTGCGTTGTCTGGAATGTTTCACAGTACGGCATTAAAGTTTTCTATCTTCATGGAGACTAAACTAGATCGAGTTACAGGTCAGATCTGTGGAGAGGCGACCCAACTCACAATAAGAACGCCTGTTTTTCAAGTTATTTTTGAGCTAAAAAAAAACCCCAACTGTCATTAAATAAATGTCAAGTAGAGCTGTTTAAAGTCATACCGTGGAACATTCCAAGCAGAGCAATGACATATCCATAGAAACAAGCAGGGACGGACCTCCAACCAAAAAGTTACACAATACAGCTTTAAAGTGCTATTAATAAATTATGGCGTAAAAGTGGCGGGCACAGTAACAGAGTGGTTAGCCCTCGCACCTCACAGTTGGAAGATTCCTCATTCGCTTCATTTGTGCTGCAAAAAGTTTTAGTTTGTGCGATTATGATTAGTATTATTAAGATATTAGCCGTTTTATTTTCAGACAGTGACGTCGTCCAGCCCCTCAAAATGTTAAATAGCTCCAAAACAGGCAGAAAATTATACCGTTTGTGCTGTGACAATTATTAAAATTATTATTATTTTTGCAGAAATTATATGACATCATTTCCGCTCAGCTGACGGCAGCGGCTTTAGGAAAACTCTGTGAAACTAGTGAAGATAAAAGATCTTGGTTACGTACACACAAACGGCAGAGTATACATACTGGGCCGTTTTAGAGCATTTTGAAACTTCCTGGGAGCTGCTGACCCCAATTTGATCTATAAAAAAATCATTAATATCTCAAAAACTAAAGCAGCACAAATGATTGACATAGTTTTTGTGTATGTTTGCATTTGATGGGGGTCCAGCTTCACGCAAGTCGACCAAAGAGCCAATCAAGAGCAAGGGCGTTGAATTTAACACCCCTTCTTGCCTACACCGCTGGTTTGGCTGCTCTGGGCAATGAAGGCAACTGATTGTCTGTTATTAATGTTCATATTTTGATTTAGGGACAAAATAGAGAAATAAAAACCCCAAGATCATGTAGAGCAGGTTCAAACCAACATTTTAAGATTGGACTGTCACCTATGTCCGCTTATATACACAGTTTATGGTATGAGCCAGAGGTGGGACCAAGTCATTGTTTTGCAATGCAAGTCTCAAGTAAGTCTCAAGTCTTTGACCTCAAGTCCGAGTCAAGTCCTAACCAAGCAAATACAGGCAAGTCCAAGTCGAGTCTCGAGTCACTGTCCCATAAGTCCAAGTCAAGTCCAAGTCGTCTGGTTTGAGCTTCAAGTCATTTCAAGTCTTCAAGCCAAAGTACCAAATATAGCTTTGATTTTTGCAATTTATATGACATTTTAAGATAAATTGTACTTAAAAATCTATGTATATTTATATTTGAGTATTTATAGAGGATATAAGTGTAGTAGAAATGCAAACTTTTTCTTTTTAAATGTCTTGACAAGATCTTAAAGTGAATCATTACAGTCAGAACAGAAAGAATTCAGATTTAAAAGTGTTTTTCAAGTCTTCTCAAGTCACAGGCAATTCAAGTCCTAAGTCACTGACCTTCAAGTCCAAGTCGAGTCCCGAGCCTTAGTCCATTTTATCAAGTCAAGCCTGAAGTCCTAAAAATAGTGACTCAAGTCTGACTCGAGTCCCCACTTCTGGTATGAGCGTGACCTTGAAGAGGGCGCAGACTCAGCAGTGATGAAGTCATGATGCAAAAAGTGTGTGATCTGTATTTGACGGTGACCTTGAAGAGGGCGGAGAGCTGCGTTCCTCCGTTGACCTTCGGGATGGACCAGATGACCACGCGGCTCTGAGGCCTCAGCTCTGCGCTCTGGTCTGGACTGCTCAGCTCCTGCGACAGACTGGGACAAAACACACAAACAGACGAAACTAAACACAGGAGCAAACAAACACAGGTGCACCGCGAGGCACTGACACTTCTAAAATTTAAAACTCAAACCCGATATTAAGGAATAGACTCGATACTCAATAACGATTCCGATACCACAGTGATAATAACAACGCTATTTAAACAACAGAATGTGATTTCCAACATTAAGTTATAGTTTTTTATTACTGTGCGGCCTTACGTCTGTGTAATATAAAGCCACATGGTGTTGACTTTTGGAGATTTGTTGTAAAAACACCGGAGGAAGCGACAGAACCCTGGCTCTGCTCTGTCTGAGAGAGGGACAGAGCAGGGAGAAGTGTACAGTCACTTCATGTAAACGAGCGCCTTCATTTTGTCCAAACACAGACGGAACTTTGGCGCAAGAATCACAACATTTAAATCAGGTATTTCGTAAACAAAACAGGCACTCCTTCAGCAGGGAGATCAAGAGTCTAACCCACAACCCTTTAAACATTAACAAAGTAAAGATGCTGTCATTTATTTTATTAGTCAGACGATACCTACTGTGTAATTTAGACACACACACATTTTGTCCGTTTACATTATGGTGGCTGAGTAACAGCAAAGGAATTATCTCCGTGTATGTCACATCTGAAGCACATATCCAGCCAGGAAGTAAAATTATAAGCTAAAATAAAAATAAAAAAATTAATTGGAAAAAAAAAAATTAGTGAAAACGAATTTTAAATACAATACAATAATGTTAACTGTGAAATGAGACTAACCCAGACCTGGGCACTGCAGCTCGAGGCCACATACAGCCCTTGACTCTGACCGGCCCTTTTAAGATCATTTGAAGGAGTTCAAGTATCTCGGGGTCTTAACTTCAGTCTCTACTATTGGTTGGTGTGTTTTACTTAAAGGCCACGCCCATGTTCTGTGTTTTACCTCAGCCCTGATGAAGACCAGGTTGGTGGAAACATGTTGGCTTTGACCATTTAAATAAAGGCCTTTCGACTATACTTTTCCTCGTGCAATTTTTACTTCTTTGGAGTGCCTGGAGTCCGTTGTGTTTTAGTTTTAATCCTTTTTCCAAGAGCGCCCTCTACCTGTTCCCACTGATTGGAACACCTGCAGCAAACAGCCACATTTTTGTTCTATCTCGGGGTCTTCTTCACGAGTGAGGGGAGGATGGAGCGTGAGATTGACAGGCAGATCGGTGCTGCATCAGCAGTGATGCAGTCGCTGTATCGGACCGTTGTGGTGGTGAAGAGATTTACTGTCAGTCTATGTTCCTCCCCTCACCTATGGTCATGATCTTTGAGTAATGATTGAAAGGACGAGATCACAGATACAAGCGGCACAAATGAGTTTCCTCCGCAGGGTGACTGGGCGCTCCCTTAGAGATAGGGTGAGGAGTTCCTTCACACGGGAAGAGCTTGGAGTAGAGTCGCTGCTCCTCCACGTCTAGAGAAGCAGCTGAGGCTCAGGCATCTGTTACGGATGTCTCCTAGTCATCTCCCTGGGGAGATTTTCTGGCATGTCCCAATGGGAGGAGGCCCCGGGGAAATCCAGGACACACTGGAAGGACTATGTCTCTGGACTGGCCTGGGAATGCCACAGGGTCCCTCTCTGTGACCCGGCCCCAGATATGTGGAAGAAAATGGATGGATGGAATAACATTTTTAAATCAACTCTAAAATGAATGCGGAGCCAGTGCAATGAGGAGAAAAAAATACTATACTATATAAAGATACTAAAACTAGTATCGAAACTTAATACTCATTTGAGCAGGTATCGATACTACAAAAAGTCACATTCACAGGACAGAAATTAACCTTTCCTGAAAAACTTTAGAATGATCTTGAGCTGTATCAGGAGCACAGACGCCCATGAACCACTGTTGAACTTCCCTGTGGACGACGGAGAGATTACACAGATATAAGGTGACATGGAAATATTAAAGAAAGCACTACGATTTAAAGTTGAAAATCACATTCTATTGTCTAAAGAAAGTGTTTTATTCATTTGCGGTATTGTTCTACAGTAGTATAAACAGAGTTTACAATATCGTGACAACACTTAAGTCCCCTCCTCGTCACTGAGACACAGGCGACTCCGTGAGTTTGCTTAAAGTTGTTATATTGCTTTTTAGACGTCATTTGTTTTCTTGCATTTTCCTGAATCTCATTTGATTTGTTTTGATTTGAATGACTGACCTCACGGAACCTTTGGGCGTGTCTCCAGGTGTGTCAGATGCCCTCCCCAAGTGCAGCGGTGGGTAGGACTCAGTTACATTTACTTGAGTAACTTTTGAAAGCAGTTTTATGTTTATTTCAGAGAACTTTTCTAGCAGCATACTTTTACTCCTCTTTGAGTAATATTTTTATTGACGTACTTTGTGTAAGTTGTGACGTAAGCTGTGGTTCCTCTTCCCACTGTGAGTAAGTCTAAAGTCACAAAAGCTTTATGTGTCTCATTTTTTATGTCTGCCCGTTGACAATACCAGATTCTGTGCATTATTTAATTATTTTGTCCTTCAACATTCCATTAAAGGTGCATTGTTTGTATGGATATGACATTGCTCTGCCTGGAATGTTCCGCAGTATGGCTTTAAACAGCTCTACTTCACATTTATTACACTACAGGTAGTTTTACAATTCTGAAATACCTAAAAAAAACAGGTATTTTGACTGAGCGCGGAGTCAAATTTCCACAGATCTGACCTATAACTTGAAAATAGAAAGGTTTAATGCCATACTGTGAAACAAAGCAGTAACATCTCCATGAAGAAAAGCATTTGACAGATTTCAAATTTTAAGACTACATTTATAAGATGATGGTCTGAACAGAAGACGCAAACGTCGTGTCGCGTATTCACTTTTTATTCCACATTTAGATGAGTGTTTTCGAGAGGAAATCTGTGCGCATACAGTGACGCAAAAGTGTGTGGAATTCGATTGTGTATGTTTGTACTTAAAGCAACAATGGCGTCTTTGGACATACAGAAGTTTTCACACCACGTATTTTCATCAGCTCCTCCTTCCACAAAGTTGTTCCACCATCGACTGGTTCTCCACGGCTCGTCCATATCCGTCTGACTCGCCTGTGACGAACTGGTGCATCCAGAATTTGACAGAGGTGACTGTAGATCCTTCTCTGTTCACAAATTGTATCTCTGCATATTCTGTACATTTGTTGGGAGCCTCCTGTAAGTTTATTGTGATGTAAACGTGTAAGCGACCTGAGCAGATCTGACCAGAGTTTTGTGTCTTGGGCAGTGTAGACGGAAACACTACGGCGGAGCATATTCAACTTTTACACTCTGGAGGGCACTTTCAGATTGTTGTGTTTTTAAGCCCCAAAAACGCCGTTACTGTCTAAACAAAAGGCGCGTCTGATAAAATACAGGCAGGTCATAATAATAATAATAATAATAATAGGCAGGTCATTTGGGCTCTATTTTCTAAGTGTTTTTTTTTTCACCCACTCAACAACAACAACAAAAAATTCTACAAAAAAAAAAATAATAATAATAATTTTTTTTTAAATTTCAAATATTTTTTTTTTCTCTTGTGTTTTTTTCTTTCACCGTTGATGTGGCTGATGAAAAAAGAAAAAAAAAACACTGCTCAGAGCTCAAAAGTAAAACTCATAAAAACACTGTATTCAGCTAGAATGAATACAACATAACAAGGAGCAGGTGAGTTTCAAACCCCAGCCTCCCTCGTCCAAACCTGAAGCCTAACGCCATGAGCTAATCTTCCACCAGTTTGCCTTCAATGAAGTTTGGTTTTTACAGGAATATACTGGGAAAACACTTAGGCTCTGAGTTTTGTTTTGTTTTTTTTATTAGCCACATCAACGGTGAAAAAAAAATTTTTTTTTGAAATGTTTTTTTTTTTTTTTGAGTTGGCAGAAAAAATAAAAACTTAGAAAACAGCCCAAATGACCTACTTTTTTTTTTTTTCTTCTGTACTCTCATATAAACAGACCTTTAATCAAATGTTACGTCCCAAAATTTAACCTTTAAGTTATTCCCAAATACTTTTTTACTCTTACTTGATTAATTTCTTGGACCACTTCTCACTTCTACTTGATGAATATTATTTTAAAGTAACGTTACTCTTACTTGAGTACAATTATAACTACTTTCCCCTCCTCTGCCTCTCTCTGTGTCAGATTCTCTCCCTTTGTTCTGATTTGAATGACTGACCTCACAGAGCCTTTGGGCACGTGCACCGACGCCTCCACGTTTATCGCAGCTCTAAGAAAAGAAAAAAAAATACACAGGAGGAGATAAGTCAGAAATCCCCCCCGTGTGTGTCAGATTGTGTCAGATGCCCTCCCCGTGTGTCACATTTACATTTTGGGGGGCAGGTCACAGCGCAGTTTCAGGTACATCAGTAATCTGTGAACAGAGGACACTAAAGTTACTCTGGGAAAATGTTTACAGCAAAGATCGGCTCAAACGTCTTTCCTACGCAAACATAACCACAATAACCGTAGTTACCGTCCGGAGGCGTCTCTCTCGACGGTGGGGAAAAGTCTGAAGGGAGCAGCACAGGGCAGCTCCTCCCTCAGCTGGTACTGCATCACTGTCTGCTGTAAATACAAAAATACAAACACATTAATACGACTAAACAGTTTGTGCCCTTAGTCCATCAAATTTGTAAAGTTGTAGTGTATTTTTTGTGTCATGTTTTTGTATATTTATGGAGAATTGTCGTGTGGGAGCGTGGGTGATGTAGGCTTGTGGGCGGAGTCTCGTACAGGCTCATACTGCTAACTGTAAGGACGGTTTGAATAGGACCAAAAAGAGGTCGCTAGATTACTCAGATTTCTCCTCAGATGCTTCCTCCTTTTCAGTACTCCTCAGTATATTTCAGTATTATTAGTACTGTATTTTTTGGACTATAAGAGGCACTTTTTTCATGGTTTGGGTGTTTCCTGCGACTTATACTCAAGTACGAATTATATATTAAAATACATAAATTCATATGTTTGTTATTTTCACACTGAAGCAGTGAGAGGTTCTAGTCTTTTGTGTGAGTATCTCCTGTTCCTGTTCCTCGTGTAACACTGTCACTTCACTCTACTACGCATGTCTCCTGCAGAAAGAGCCTCTGTCTTGCTGCAAGTAATGAAATATTCAGCCGAATATCGAGCAGCAGAAAGAAGGTGTGGACTGAGCGAGAAACTTGTGAGGGACTGATGAAAAGTGTAGGATTCTCTAACTGCAATGAAGAAAACAAAAAAAGCTCATCACAGGCTTAAAGACAGATTTAGCTAGAGTTGGTGGAGTTGCTCAGAAGTGACACCGAGGATGAAGACTTGAATGGATTTAGTGATTTGGAGTGAGATGGAGAGTTTGTTAAACTTGTTCTGTTCTGTTGTTTATGTTATAGTTTATCTGAAGAACTGTTCATATGACGTTAACAGTCTGTTGTTCTCTCTTCTATTGTTATTACTAAATTTCCCCCCATAAACGCAACTTACCGTATTTTTTGGACTACAAGTCGCTCCAGAGTATAAGCCGCGCCAGCCAAAAATGCATAATGAAGAAAATTAAAACATATAAGTCGCACTTTTTGGGGGTAAATTAATTTTATAAAATCAGAGACCAGGAATAGACATTTCATCAAAGGCAAGTTCTAGTAAACAACAACAGAACAAGTTTAACAAATTCTCCATCTCACTCCAAATCACTAAATCCATTCAATTCTTCATCCTGGGTGTCACTTCTGCGCAACTCCTCGACCTCCAGAGGTTAACAGAGCGCCACTTCCTCTTCTGTGTCGCCGTCGTCAGACTCAGCATCAGTTCCAGTTAGAATTATTGGGGCCTTTCTGAATCCCGACAGGATGGTTTCAGTGTCACTGAAATCCAGGCTTTGTCCATCCATCCAGTGACTTCAGGAAAGTTTCATGGTGCTCACTCCCGCTTACCGTGAATTTGTGTTCTCCATCCCCACTTTCCACCAGTCCCTCACAAGTTTCTTGCTCACTCCAAACTTTCTTTCTGCTGCTCAATTACCATTTTTGGCTGAATATTTCACTACATGCAGGACAACAGCTTTTTTCTATAGGAGACATGCGCAGTAGAGCCAAGTGACAGTGGTACAGGAGGAACAGGAGCAGCAGAAACTGACACACAACACTAGAACACCCTCTCGCAGATGTCAGTGTGAAAATTTTCCAGAGTTACCAGAGTATAAGCCACAGAATCACCCAAACCATGAAAAAAAGTGGGACTTATAGTCCGAAAAATACAGTAAACATGTTTTTTTCTTCTTTATTATGCATATTTTGGCTGGTGCAACCTATAGTCTGGAAAATACAGTCTATCTTATACCTTTGTGTGAAAGACAGCGCCTTCCCTCTCCCCAGACGCCTCCTCCTCCCTTGTATACTTCAGTACTTTAGTGTATCTTTACCTCTCCTTGTGACGGGCAGAGTCTGAGGATTCTGCTGGACTCAAACTCGTCCAGTTTGACGTTCTGGTGAAAGCTGCACTCGTCCACTCTCACCGCGGCCCCGTAACCTACAAACACAGACAGAGCCTGTGGTAAAAGGGCGACAGCTGGAACCCCCCGAGCCACTCTCACTTTGGCCCCGTGATCTACAAACACGCAGACACTCGATTATGACGCTGTTTTCTGACCTGGTATACAGAAATGTACAGCTTCCTCATCACAAACACACCTGGAGCTGTGTTTTGTTTCATGACACAAATACATATTTAAAACACTCCGTTCCATCTTGTGATGTCATGTGGTAAGACAGGAAATGCTCTACTCTGTTTTTAAAATCCATACATCTTCACTAGAATCATTTGGATATTTTCAGTCCTGGAATTGCCGATCTCTACTGAATTAAAGGTAAAAGGAGCTGTTGAATTGAAAACTCCCACTACATGACATCACAAGGTGGAACAGAGCATTTGGAGCTTTGGACATGTAGACAGCAAATGAAACAAAACTCGACTTCATCTTTGTTTCTGAGGAGGTGCAAACATTAGAACAACACTCTAAAATGTCTTAAAGGCAGTGTTGGGGAGTAACAGATTACATGTACCGGAGTAATGTAATCAGAGTACAAATTATGAGTAACTGTATTCAGTTACAGTTACTGTTTCAGTGAGTGGTAATTGGATTACAGTTACTTTGTTGAAATAAATGGATTACATGGCGGGATTTTCCTGTTTTCACATTTTGGGCTAAACCAGGACTAAATCAGGTCTAAACCAGGACTAAACCAGGTCTAAACCAGAACTAAACCAGGACTAAACCAGAACTTAAACCAGGACTAAACCAGATCTAAAACCAGGACTAAAACCAGGTGTAAACCAGGTCTAAATCAGGTCTAAACCAGGACTAAACCAGGTCTAAACCAGAACTAAAACCAGGTGTAAACCAGGTGTAAACCAGGTGTAAACCAGGTCTAAACCAGGACTAAACCAGGACTAAACCAGAAATAAAACCAGGACTAAACCAGGTCTAAAACCAGGACTAAACCAGGACTAAATCAGGACTAAACCAGGACTAAACCAGGTCTAAACCAGGACTAAACCAGGTCTAAACCAGGACTAAACCAGGACTAAACCAGGTCTACACTAGGATTAAACCAGGACTAACAATATGACACTAACAGTAGGTGGACATAATTTAAGGCAGCAGTGATCTCATATAAAAATAATTTCTCTATCAATAATATTTTTAATCTGGTTAAGTAGACACTGGGCTTTTTATTTTCTTTTAGCAGATAAAACTTATGTTCAGATCCTCGTCTTTGCTTCTCTACAGTAAACAAAAGTCTGTTCATGGAGACTTGGGCTCAACAGACAGTTTGACGAGAACAAACAAGAACTTTCAGGATGTTATTGCTACGTTCATGGAGTTTTAAAAAGCATGACAATATAATGTAATCCAAAGTATTCAGATCACTTTAAGTAATTTAATGGGTTACAAACTACATTTTGAGGTATGTAATCTGTAATCTGTAGGAGAATACATTTTTAAAGTCACCTTCCCAACACGTCTTAAAGGTCTCAAGAGTCAGTTTCGTGTCATGTCGGCCCTTTATCAGTTAGACCTAACCACAGAGCCTGTGGTAAAAGGGCGACAGCTCGACTTCTTGAGCCACTCTCCCTGCGTCATGTTAACCTACAAACACACAGACACTAAACTTAATGCATTTTAAAAGTTATAATCGTATTGGGTTTATGTGGTGGATCCCTCTGCCACCCCTCCATAGTGTCAGTATTATTTAATTTCACTTACATTAATTAATTACATTACACATCATTTAATTCATTTTATTTAGACTTATATTCTAATTTGAGTGCACACGTTTAGTTAATATAAGTCTGATTTACTTACACTTGTTCGTTTTGGTTTTTTTGAGCACTGGACCCTTGGAAGAGACCATTGTGACTCAACGGGGGGGTTAGTTTGTTTTTAGTTAGTTAGATAGTTTTTAGTTTGTTCAGTTTGTGTTGAGGTCACTTTATTATCACTTATTTTCTGTATTATATTTATTTGCCTTTTGTTACTTTGATTAAGCTGTTGGTTTAGTTAATTAATTAGTGTAATTCCTCCCCCTTGTGTTTAGTTTTAGTTCATCCTCAAGTATTTAAACACTCTGTTCCTTTGTCCGGTTGGGTTCGTTTTGTTCTGTTCAGTTTGATTTTGTGTTTCCCCAGTTGGTCCCGGCATTTTTGTGTTAATAATTTGCCTAATTTGAGCCTTTGTTAAATTCTTTTTTTGACTTTATTAAATTTAAACTTCTTTTTATACCTCGTCTTTGCCTTTCTGTTTGGTCCACTACAGTTTAAAACGCCAAACCCGTTAAAGAATAATCCTAGAAAATGTTTTAAATCTGAAAAAAAAGAATTAAAATATATTTGTGACTTTGGAAACACAAAACTATCGTATATAATTCAACTAGTAGTGATCTTTCTGCACTTTTGTGGTTAATACAGTTACTTTTTACACTTTATTACTTATTTTTCTATTTTATTTTGACTTGTACAATTACATTTATGATTTATTCGACTCCTGTCTTTTGCTCTTTTTTACTACTTTTATAGAATTTATTTTTTATTAATTTATAATTTTTTTTCTCTTTGTTATTATATTATATTGTGATGTGTGAGCTGCTAATAATTTCCCTTCAGAGAGAAATCAAAATGAAACTACTGCACATCACATCAGGTTTGTCAAGTTGTAGTGTACTGTTTTGAGTCAAGTTTTTATAAATTGTATTAATTTATTTTGTTTATTGTTGAATATAATTTCCGCAAAAATAATAATTAATAGTTTTAGAAATATACTCGCACAAATGAAAACTGTCACAGCAGAAGACAGCACAAACAAAACACAAATGTTTCGTATAATTTTCTTTCTGTTTTGAGGCTGTTTTATATTTTGAGGGGCTGGATGACGTCATTAGCTGAAAATAAAATGAACCATAAGAACCATAATCGCACACACACAACTTTTTGCAGCACAAACAAAGCACAAACGATTGACCATGAAACAATTTGGGGCATTTTAGAGCATTTTTAAGCTTCCTGGCAGCTGGCTGACCCCGATTTGACCTATAAAAGAATCGTTAATGTCTCCAAAACTAAAGCAGCACAAACAAAACTTTGCAGCACAAAGGGATTGAACCACAGACCAGTCCCCCTCGTTACCTCTGAGCTGCGAGCGGCCGATACTGAACTCCTCGTTTAGACCGATCCTCATCTCTGAAGGAAAGAGAAAAGATTAATTAAAATGAGATTACGAAAGTACAAGTTTTTAAAAATAAGAATCATGTGAGTTCTTTTTTCTAACACTAGAGGGGGCTGTTGCTCCACTTACACACTGGACAGACCTACAGAAATGCCCTCTCTGTGTCAGATGCCCTCCCTGTGTGTCAGATGCCCTCCCTGTGTGTCAGATGCCCTCCCATGTGTGTCAGATGCCCTCCCCATGTGTGTCAGATGCCCTTCCCGTGTCTTATTCTGACCAGAACAGCGCGGCGTGTAGCATTTCACTCGGATCTCGCCCTCTACGTCGGCCTTCATCATCATGCCCTAGACACACGTACACACAAACACTTTAGATTGAACAGGTTTTCCTTCATTTTTTATTTGTATAAGGGTACAATACAATTTCTGAATCTATAAGATATACAAAACAGATCTGACTCACGTTTGCTCCGATCACGACAGTCATTCTCTCCACAACGTCCACAAAAATTTCACTCTTCCCCTGAAACAGAAAACACAGGACTTGGATAGTAGTAACTGTAGTAATAGTATTTGCAACAGTATTTGTAGTAGTAGTAGTAGTAATGAGCCAGACTAAACCAAACCCTCTCAAATAACTTTACAGTCACAAGCAGGCAAGCATTTTTTTTGGTCTCTCACATTTTTGTTTAAACTAAACGTCTCTATTTACCCAGGACAGTCCCAGTTTTGAGCCTTGTGTCCCCTGTCCCAGCAGATTTATACAAAACCATTGACTTATTCCAGTTTTATCCAAGAAATATCCTAAACTAGGACTAAACCAGGACTATTTACAATTTCTGACTAATCTGATCCTCGTCAATAGTAAAAAGGAGCATAATTGTCATTTGTTTTGCCAAAATACAGAAAACTGTATTTGCAAATAAACATAAAAAATGCATCGATAGAAGTTATGACTGACACCAGAATCTACAATGTTACACGATCTTCACAATTTTATTTATACCAAACATCTCAACCCGGGTGTGTGTGTACCGGTTTTGTTTTGAAAATCTGGTCCAACCACAGGCTCCTAATAATGTGCTGTTTAAATATATTTAGTTTTCTTGCTTTGACTATCTTAAAACTTTTTGTCAGTGTTAATATGTGCATTGACAAAAGAAACAGAAAACATGCACCAACATTCTTGTAGAGGTGCAAATACAAGAAACAGCAATTAAAAAGTGAAAAAAAGCATCGCACACTCAGATGGACGATGTCCAAAAGCTTTTTTGAATTTAATTTTCAAATTACGTTTCGGCAAAAAGCCTTCATCAGATCATTTTTCTTGCTTTGGATCACAGTATGTGCAAGAAAAATGATCTGACGAAGGCTTTTTGCCGAAATGTAATTTAAAAATTCAAAAAAGACATTGTCCATCTGAGTGTTATGCTTTTTTTTCACTTTTTAATGTGTGCATTGTGTCACCATGGTAACAGATGATCGTTCCACCATACACATGCATGTAGAACACTCCCAGGATGATGTCAATGCAAAGTAACAATTAAAAGTGATAGTTGTAGTAATTGCAGTAGTAGCAGCTTGTACAGTATTCGTTCATTGGTTCACTGAATGTGGTGTATTTGCAGTAGTAATAATAGTTATTTTCAGTACTGACCTGTTCTCGTTGGTGAATCGGTCGCGTTGCTGCTGAACTCGGGGCGACTTTACTCTGCTGCGTCTCAGCTCCAAACTGAAACGTCACATGAAAATTATATAAGAAAATATTAAAGGTCCTGTACTACAGAAACTTGACTCCTGTGAACTTTAACCAAGTTATAATGTTGTTACTTCATCAAAAACAGACAGGACCTGGAGTGTTTTCTTTCATTCACACATTTGACTAATCCTTTATTATTCGTCTACATCTCCAAACTTCAAAATGCTCTGTTCCACCTTGCAATGTCATGAAATATAGCAGTAGTAGCTTATTTTCTTCAGTCATGAACTTAATGGATTGATAAAAACATTTCGAGAGATCATTTATGAAAGCCTAACCCTGTTTTCAAAGTAACAGCTCCTGTTGAGATTGTTAATTTTAGAAATGAAATCATCAAACAACATTATAACATAGATCAGAAAACAGTGTACTAAGGGTGTATTTTAGTTTTTTTTATTTCTCACCAGAGCCACATTGCTGAGATCGAAGAGGCTGAAGTTTCTGGAGCTCACGGCTTCAGTTTGGATGAAGTTTTTCAAGACGTCGCATGAGGTTGTCTGGATGTACCCGTAATCCTACAAAATGAAACACAAAAACATTTTAATCCTACAAAATAAAACAGACACAAAAAATTATCTTACAAAATAAAACACAAAAACATTTAATCCTACAAAATAAAACACAAAAACTTTTTAATCCTACAAAATAAAATACAAAAATATTTTAGTCCTACAAAATAAAACACAAAAACATTTTAATCCTACAAAACACAAAAACATTTTAATCCTACAAAATAAAACACTAAAACATTTTAATCCTACAAAATAAAATACAGAAATATTTTAGTACTACAAAATAAAACAGAAACATTTTAATCCTACAAAACACAAAAACATTTTAATCCTACAAAATAAAACACTAAAACATTTTAATCCTACAAAATAAAATACAAAAACATTTTAATCCTACAAAATAAAACACAAAAACATTTTTGTCCTACAAAATAAAACACAAAAACATTTTAATCTTACAAAATAAAACACTAAAACATTTTAATCCTACAAAATAAAATAAAAAAAAATTTAGTTTTACAAAATAAAACATGAAAACATTTAATCCTACAAAACACTACAACATTTTAATCCTACAAAATAAAACACTACAACATTTTAATCCTATGAAATAAAACACAAACACATTTTAATCCTACAAAATAAAACACAAAAACATTTTAATCCTACAAAATAAAACACAAACACATTTTAATCCTACAAAATAAAACAAAAAAAAATTTAATCCTACAAAATAAAAACACTAAAACATTTTAATCCTACAAAATAAAATACTAAAACATTTTAAGCCTACAAAATAAAACACAAAAAAGTTTTAATCCTACAAAATAAAATACAAAAACATTTTAGTCCTACAAAATAAAACATAAAAACATTTAAATCCTACAAAACACAAAAACATTTTAATCCTACAAAATAAAACACTATAACATTTTAATCCTACAAAATAAAAGCAGATATGCACAAAATACTCTGTCATAAGTCATCTTACAATAGACTAGACTACTGCAGCTCCCTCCTCTCCGGCCTCGACTCCAAATCCATCTCCTGCCTCCGACTGGTTCAAAACGCAGCAGCTTTATCTTTACTTATAAAACGAAATCTTCTTCGCTAAATATTTTGTATCACTAATAAATTTGACATTTTCATCCAGAATGAGGCCGAGGTATTTAAATTTAGTAACTGTCTAAATTTTCTCATTTTGAATAGTCAAGCCAAAGTCACAGTTTTTTGTTTGTGTGTGCACTGAAAAACAAAGAGAAACTGTTCTGAGAATTTCTTTGGAGTAAATGCCCCCAGTTGTTATTATTTATTGTTATTATTTTTTTAAAGCAGAACTCTTCAGAGCTTTTAACCATGTTGTAGTTGTTTCCCGTCGCCATGTACTCACACAAAGTTGTATTTGGAGTGAGTCGTGCATGTTTGAGCGATCTGTAATCGCTTATTTCAAGACTCAATTTTGCCGATACCCTGTTCTCCAATTGAATTTTCTTATTCGGTGGAGCTTAATACAAGAGGAGCTACTAGTGGTAATTGTGTTGTCCCAATGTTCAGGAAAACTCTTGACCAGTTCCAAAGGGGCCAGACTGTGAAACTGTAACCAGCTGATTTAAAACGGGAAATTTAAAAGTAAATTAAAATTATTGTATGTTTCCAACCAAAAATGCACTCACTGAAAATGTAATAATGCTGTATCTGTTTGTCACTAATGTGTCTTGTCTGTTTTTACGCAGGTATTTTATATTTTTATTGAAAACTAACACTTAAAGTAATGAATCTGGCTTGGCTAATGCGATTGTGATGACCTTAATAAACATAAATAAACAAAAGCCATTTGATGTTGCTTCTTTGGGCCGCAGTAGCGTCTCCTAAACTGTGAAAAAGAGAGTCCGTACCACAACTTCATCCAGGAGCTCGTAGATCAGAGCAAAGTTCATCTGCACGGACTTTTCGTTCAGGGTTCCGCAGTAATCCTTCACCAGGGAACACAGCCTGAAACACACAACAAAACAGCTTTAACTCTCTTCGAACGTGATGAAATCTCCCACAGTTCCTTCAGTGAGGCATATCTGAAGCGCACAGCTATTGTGTGAGTCTGATTTCAATCGTCGTAATTAGTGCCCGACCGGTATGGATTGGATTTTGCTGCGGCTGATATGAAACTGATAAAATGGGAGTTGGAGCTGCCGATATATTTAGTGATGTAAAAATTCACTGTAAATTTTGAATTGTTTAAAAAAACTTAGGTTTGGCTCTGGTGGATTTTAAATTGGGTTTATTTAGGCAACATTTATTGCTGTTGTTGTTATTCTGCCTCTTCGCGTCATATTTACAGACAGTAGGTCGGACTAATGGCATTTTTGCATCACATTCTAGCAGCTAGTGATGGGTATTTCAGTTCTTTTTAGAGAACCGGCTCTTTTGGCTTGGGTCACTAAAAGCAGCCAGCTCTTTCGGCTCCCAAGCGGCTCTTCAGGTTGTTTTGTTGCAAGCAGGACTAAACCAGAACTGAACCAGTACTGAGTGTCGGGACTTGTTGGGATATGTTTCCAGGTGCCCATATCGGTTGATAATATCGCCCTAGTCGTAATGTAAAACCGTGGTGGAGTTTTTACTTGTTGAGGAAGTCGACGATGGTGAACGGCGACGAGGCGGAGTTCGTGGTGACGACCCAGAACAGTCCTCCCTGTTTCACATGCACGAAATACACGTCTTTATGATTCTGTGAATAAATATAAGAAAAAAAACAATGAAATTCAACTCTTTATGACTCAGGAAATATAAAACACAAAAATATGGCGCTCGTCTCTGCTCTAAAGTTATAATAATCTATGACACTTGTGGATCATTATATTAAAACATACACGTTTTAAATCTCACTATTCATCTGAAACAAGTCAGCTTTGTCCGTGTACCATTCATTCTTTTGAATTTCAATTAAGAACAAAAAACAATTAAATGGGAAAACAGTTTTTTATTTCATTAAACCGTTTGTTACGGGATTTGGCCTTTTTGGTATTTTATCTCGAGCTCCCTTTGTCTCTTTTTTGTGTGTGTGTGATATGTTAACACAAACTCCTTATTTCACTACCACTATTCTTTTTTTTTTTTATTTTACCTACACTGTTAATTAATAAATCACAAATTTTAGTTAAACCTTCAACGTCTTGGGGGAATGTAAAATAAAGGGAATATAACAAATTTTTTGTGTCAAACAAAAAAACAGATTTCGACCTTTATATCCAATATTTATTCAAATAACACCAATCAAAAAACAAAAGTCTCGGTGCCTATTTCAGTTTTGATGTTTTATTCTCTCTGGGGGTTTATTTGCCCTACAATTTCTGCCACGTCAACTGAACAAAAGAGAGTTTATCGTCTCGCTCAGGGGCGGCCAATTATTTTTTCCATGGGGCCAAATGAGAAACAGAAAATATTGTGGAGGGTCAAGCCAAATTGCTTAACTCAGTTCTACATTATATTAACTGTATTTCTCTATAAAAAGCAGTAAATAACATTGTTTTGACGAGCTGGTAAGAGTTTATGTTACGACTAAGCAATGAAAAAGTGAGGTTGGCATAAAAAAAATGGCATAAAAATAACACCTCTAAAATAAAAGCAACGCAGCTTTAATCCATGTATGAGGTAAAGTTATAAAATATGTTTATTTTGTAACTTCAAATGAGCTTAACTGGGCCGGTCAGAGTCAAACAAAGGACAATACTTCTCGTTTCTTGTCATGGTGTTCAACAATGACTTTCTATGACGTGAAACTAAACGTGCCGCTATAAAAGAAGAAGACATGTTTGTCCACAAAATTGCAACGATTTTTCAGGTAAGTCCTTCTAGCAGCAGAACATCCAGGGCAAATAAACCAGAGAGAATAAAATATCAAAATTATCAAAATTTTAAAAGGCACAGTGAATGTTTTTTGATTGGTGTTATTTGAAATAAACTTAAAATTAAATATTGGAAATAGAGGTCGAAATCTGTTTTTTGTTTGACACTAAAACTGAAAACTGAAATAACAAACTGTTTTCCCATGTTATTGTTTTTCGTTCTTAACTGAAATTCAGAAGACTCAGCAGCCTTCCATGTGAGAAAACTGCGATGCCCAACAGGAGCTGACGTTACCGTAAACATCATCACAATAAAGTTTTTAGAATTGCATTCGGGATTAAAGTGATTAAATATAATGTACAATCTTTGAAGCGCTAATAAGTGCAACTGAACTGAGCTTTTAATAACGTTTAACATCAAACTAAGGCAAAAACTGATAAAAACTGTAATTCATTTGCATATAAAGAGTAAACAAATGAAAATGGTGAGGGGTATGTGGATGGAGGTGCGTCCTGGTGGAGGTCTGCGGGGTGGGGTCCTCTGGGTGGAGGTCTGCGGTCACAGTCAGAGTCTTTTGAACAATTTGGACAGACTTCAGTGTGATTCTGATCTTGCTCTGACGTCCTGCTCATCCCTAAATCACAGACATACACAAAACACACACACACACAAAACTATTATGACAATATGAATATGAGTTACCATGACGACCGGAGGCTGGTCTCCGGGCAGAGCTGTGACTTTTTCGTAAAACACTCGAACCACATCGCTGCTGTTCTCTCCTCGGACTGAAGGGGGCGGTTAGGGAGCCACATTTTTAACACGTATACATCATGTAAAGTGACCAGACGTCCCTGTTTACCCGGGACAGTCCCAGATTTGTCCAAAACCACTGATTTGTCCCAGTTTTATACAAGAAACGTCCCAGGTGTCTCTATTTTTGACCAATTTAACACTTGTCAATAGTAAAGAGAGGCATAAACTGTCATTTGTTTAGGTAAAATACAGAAAAGCTGCTTAAAAATGACCAAAACACAAAGAAAATGTGACTATACTGACTCATTTTAGTCATAAATGGGCAGAGTGCAGAACAGTTCTCCTTAATTACACGCTTGTTTCACAATTTTATTATTACCAATCGCCAAAAAAACTAGAGTGTTCCAGTTTTTGATTCCGAAATTCTGGTCACCTTAATATTATGATAAAAAAGGATGCACTGATATAGTTAATTTTGTTGATTTATTACAAAAAAAGGATGCAATTGTGTTATGTAACTGTTATTTAGCCTTCAGATCACCACTGAAAAACTTTGTATGAATAAAGGTTCAAACATTATGACACGCTTGTAAATAGTCTTACATTTAGGCTGTCTCATTTCTCTTTCCTTGCTTCCTTCTCCTCGATTCCTCTCCTAGATCCTCTAATTTTCAGCTGTCAATCAAATGTGTCAAATTAAGTGTTGTCCCAAAAAAAAAAAAAAAAAAAAAAAAAAGGAAGGGAGGAGTAAACATGAAGCTTCAGGAGGCAGACATCAGAGAAAAGAATCAAACGTTATAGGCCTCAGTGAAGAGTTTAGATCCTCTCTCCTCACATTGTCTCCTCTGTGGGTGGGACTTCCTCACTCATTTCCTGCAGAATCATGGAGAAGGAAGCGAGGAAAGAGAAATGAGACGCGGCCAAAGTATTATATCCAATTACAGACCCAACCTATATGTCTGTAGGGCTGGGATCATTCAGAATTTGCTGATACGATACATATCTCGATACAGTGAGCATACGATTTGATACGGTACATTTCAAATCGATTCATTACAGTTCAATAAAAAATAAACCTAAATCAAGGCTGTGATACTCAAAAGTTTTTGTTAAACCTCTTCTTGTGCAAAGTTCAAATGAAACACAGAACATCAAAACAGTGAAAATGTCAAATGTGTCACATAAACGAGTTTCCTTCAACTAAACAAGCAACAAAACTGTAGCTCTGTAACTAAATAATGGAATAAAATGCATCAAAAAATACTCTTGGCGATACTGTATCAGCACATTAAACGAAACCCCTGGTAAAATGATATATTTTACCAGAGAACCGATACCAAATCCAGCTAATTTTTCAGTATCTGCGCTGATATTTGATGCTTAATAATAAAACATTGAAAACTTATTCATATGTCCTTGCCCCTAGTGATAGTTTAGAGCACGGGTGTCCAAACTTTTTTCATCAAGGGCCACATATCTAAACACAGACGAAGCAGAGGGCCGATCGAGGCTGTAGACTGATGCTCAATACAGGGAATAATTGAAATATGTGCATGTTTAACACGTTAGAATGAGTCATCAGTCCTTTATTCATGCTAAGATCCTTAAAACCTCACACTAATTATGAAATATTAGCTTTATTAAGGTAGATTTTCAAAAAAACTAGCAGTAAAAAAATATTTTTTAATTGATGCAAGGTCATTTGGGCCAATTCACCTGGAAGTCTGAGGGCCAAGAAAAATTTGTCTGAGGGCCGCATTTGGCCCACGGGCCATAGTTTGGACATGCCTGGTTCAGAGTAAAAACACTCAGTGAAGGATACAGTCTTTGTAAATGAGGTGGTCTCCTTTCGATGACAGAATGAAGAACTGACAGATCATCCTGAAACAGAGACAATAAGATTTTAAATGTTTTACACACAAAACTACAATCTTAGACATTAGACTTGGTTCGGGCCTGGTTGAGTCCTAGTTTAGACCTGGTTTAGATCCAAGTCAGTTCTGGTTTAGACCTGGTTTAGTCAAAGCTTTGGTTCTGCTTTAGTCCCAGTTTAATCCAAGTTAAGTCAAGGTTTTAGTCCTGGTTTAGTCCTGATGTGAGAGTTTTGCTAAAACTAGGGTGACCAAATGTCATATTTACCCAGGACAGTCCCAGTTTTGAGCCCTGTGTCCCCCGTCACAGCAGATTTATAAAAAACTAGTGATTTATCCCAGTTTTATACAAAAAATGTCCCAGGTGTCCCTATTTTTGACCAATTTGATCCCTGCAAACAGTAAATAGAGGCATACATTGTCATTTGTTGAGATAAAATACAGAAAAGTTGCTTAAAAATGACCAAAACAACAAGAAAATATGACTATACTGACTCACATGTTAGTCCTGAGTAAGTCATGAATGTCAAATGTACAAGTTTCCTTAATTCTGCACTCAATTTCACAATTTTATTATTACCAACCACAATAATATTTGTGTAATAAATGCCATGAAAAACACCGTCTCATTAAAGCCTTTTCTTACCTTACCTGTGGAATTTTAACCCGTGAAAATTATGTGAAAAAGTGAATTCCTTGTACTGTCACTGTACAAAAATATAAACATAATTTTGAAGCTAACATTAGGTCAGCTTTTTACAACAGTCCCGCCAATAATCATCATAATTCTACTCCAGGTAACGTTATAACTCTTCGTACTAAATGTGAACTATCTCCGCCGTGGGTTTACGATCATATATCCAGGTTTAGTTTAAGATTGTTGGTGAAATTGTGACTAAATGCAGTTAGCTTCCTGTATGCTAAGTGCTAATGCTAACCAAAACAGTGAACCGGCGACACAGCGGTGACATCTAGTGGCGTAGAGAAGGATTACATCACGATAAGAAACGAGATGCTAAAAAAAAAATAATAATAATTAATTAATTATAACATAATAATAATAATAATAATAATAATAATAATAATAATAATAATAATTTCATATAATTTAATAAAAATATAATATAATATAATATTTGAATTTTTAGACAATTTTTGTGTGGGATCTAGTTTACTGAAATACTTAATAAGATCTCCAAAATCACTTCTGTATATTTTTCGTATCTAATATGACAACAACATAAAACAAGACATTTATATGTCCCAAAAACACATGAAATGCCTTAGTTTTATATGAAAAGAGTGCATGGCTAAAATTTTTTTTTTTTTTATTAATTAATAAAAATAAAAAAATAAAAATTTTTTATAAATTTTGTTATATAACGTTTATGTGAGTAAACTACAGGAGACGTTTCAATTTGATATGTCTAAATTTAAGTTTAAAAATATTTTTAATAGAACTATAATAAAGTTAAATAAATAAAAATATAAAGATATAATAATTAAAAACAAAAAAAAAACAAAAAATCATCATAATAAATAAAACCGTTTTTATTATAGATTCAGGAATCTGGCCCACAGGCGGCGCCATAGCGGAGACTCTCACTTCCTGTTTCCGGTTCGTGTTCAACATGAAGTGAGTAAACAAAGCACTTTTTTCCACTTTTATTTGAGTTTTCAGTGAGTTTTAGACATTTCCACTTCTCGAATGAATTTATTTATGTTTACTGAAAGTCCTTTACGATTTTCTTTGCTTTTAAACCTCCGGATGTTGAATAAATGTGGCGTTTTTCTTTCCTTTCGCCCAAATTCCACCAATAAACTAAACTATTAAATACTCTAATGATCTTTTGGTGACTTTACGATGGTCCAAATTAAAAACGCAGCACTGGGTTTACGTATTTGTGCTGATTTTATTAATTCGACTTGAAAAACTAAATAGTTCGTATGAAAATGGTGTCGAGGAAACGGGGATTTTACGAATGAATGGGGCATGTGTCTTTTCAATGAACCGAAATTAAATAAAATAAAAAGTAATGACACGCTCAGACTTTGTACTTTCGTGTAACGTTACACTGACAAATAAGTGTCCCGTAGAAATATATTTTTATTATATCTTGTTGCAGTGGTGCTGCTTTCCAACGCAGTACAATCAGACACAGTATAAACTAAATATTTAAAGTCTATGAGTTCACTACAAGTAGAGTTTTTATTTAGTGTGACCAGACGTCCCTATTTACCCAGGACAGTCCCAGTTTTTAGCCCTGTGTCCCCTGTCCCAGCAGATTTATACGTTATTTGTCCCAGGTGTCCCTATTTTTGACCAATTTGATCTAAACCAGGACTAAATTAAGATTAAACCAGGACTAGATCAGGTCTAAAACAGGACTGTCACAATTTTTGACTAATCTGATGTCCACCAACAGTAAAGAGGAGCATCAATTGTCATTTGTTTTGCCAAAATACAGAAAAGCTGCTTAAAAATGACAAAAACACAAAGAAAATGTGACTATACTGACTCATATTAGTGTCAGGTACAGAACTATTTTCCTTAATTACACTCGTGTCACAATTTTATTATTACTAACCAACCCAAACCAGGGATGTCCCTGTTTTTTTGTTTTTGTTTTATTTTGAAAATCTGTTTACCCTACTGGATTTATTCATGTTTACTGAAAGTCCTTTGTGATTTTTTTTTTCTTTACTTTTAAACCTCCTGATGTTGAAAATATGTGGTGTTTTTCTTTCCTTTTGCCCAAAATAATAAATGTGGCTGTGTAAATTACATATTCATTCTATGAGTACTCTCAAGTAGAGTTTTCTGCAGTGTCATATGGTTAAAGTTTAAGAAGCATTATGGTAGGTTTGCTTCAGTGTCTAAAACATCACTAGTAGTCAAATTCTGCAGATAATTTAGTCCTGACCAAAACTAGCTCAAGATCTGGAGTCCCAGTGCTCCTGACAGGTTTAACACAGAGACACTAAAGGATGGATTAAATGCAGGTTTTCGTGAATACTCGCATTGATTTCAGCCTACTGAAAATGTTTTGTTTAAATCAATTTTTTATTTTTTCTTGAGTTTTCAGACAACCTTAAGTCTTTTCTGTCAGTGTTTGTTAATAGCAATGATAACTCCCGAACCTTCCACCATAGAGATGCACGTAGAACCCCATCAGCTTAATCTCACGACAAATTCTCAATATTTTTGTTGTCCTCCTCAGTCCTCTGACCAAAGTGCGTCTGATAAACGAGCTGAACGAGCGCGAGGCCAATCTGGGTGTTAAAGAGACTGTGTCCTGGCACTCGGAATACTCGGACAGCGCTTGGATCTTCGTCGGTGCGGAATACTTTCACTTTAAGATGATCTCTAAATAAAGAAATATAAATAAATGAATATGTTTTTTTAATTATGCAATAAACCATTTGTGCTTCAGGAGGGCTGCCCTACGAGCTTACCGAGGGAGACACCATCTGCGTCTTCTCTCAGTAAGAACTTCATATCAAAATCTTGTGCTCTGTTTAATTATTCAGGTTTTTTATCCCACAGAAGTAAATATTATATAATATTGTGAATATTCTTTGTGTTCTCAGATATGGAGAGGTGGTGAACATAAACCTGGTGCGAGACAAAAAAACAGGGAAGTCCAAAGGTTTCTGCTTCATCTGTTATGAGGATCAGAGGAGCACCATCTTGGCCGTGGACAACTTCAATGGGATCAAGGTACGAGCCGACACTGTTTCCGCTCAGAGCCTGCAGATATAAAAGCTAAACCTGCATTTCAAACACACAGTGGCTCCTTCGAACTGCGGCCCCTCTCTCTGTAACTGTGTTCATTTGTTCATTTTGTGTTCATTTTAAGCTGCTCTCATGAGCCTGGGCTTTTATTTATTTTGTCCCCAAATCAAGATGTGATTTATGGTTCTGCTACAAAATGCAGTGTGCTTGATGTTTATATTTGTCTAATAATAATAATAATAATAATAATAATGCATCAGTTTTATATAGCACTTTTTTGGACACTCAAAGACGCTTTACAGAACATTAATCATTCACTCCCTGCCCACTGGTGGTAAACTACTACTGTAGCCACAGCTGCCCTGCGGCAGACTAACAGAAGTGAAGCTCCAAAGCTGTGCCATGGGCTCCTCCGACCACCACCTTTCACACACACACACGCCGTTTTCATACAAGGCAATGTGAGTGAAGTGTCTTGCCTAAGGACACAATGACATCCAAGTACTAACCAGGCCCGGCCCTGCTGAGCTTCTGAGATCTGACGGTATCAGGCTTTGACAAGCCGGTATGGCCACAGGTTGTCTGACCGGTAAATGTGAGGAGACTCATTATATCTGTGCATATGTTTCCAGATCAAAGGGCGTACGATCCGCGTGGACCACGTGAAGGACTACAAACCTCCCAAAGACCACGAGGACATCGATGACATCACGAGGAACCTGAGAGAGCAGGGCTGTGCTCCGACCGTGCAGCAGGGGGTGCAGTCTGATGAGGAGGAGGAGGAGGAACTACTGCCACCGAAGAAGAGCAAGAAAGGTACGAACATATTAATTTGTCTGTGAGGGGGCATTTTGTACGCGATACCGTTAGCATCAGCACCAAGTGCCCGAGTGTGACCAAGCAAAGGGCAGAGTGGAGTTTTACACATCTGAAAAGAACCATTTCCATTTACAGTTCATTCATCAGGCAGTCATAAAGTGCGTTCATTTCACTTTCACTGCATATAAACATGATCGAATCTCTGTAGATCCAACTTGTAACTTGGTTTGGTGTCATCATGTTTTTCTTAGGAGTTAGGTAAGTTTAATGCCATACTGTGCAACTTTCCAGGCAAAGCAAAAACATCTTCATGGAGAGCAAAAGAAAAATTCATTTCTGTCAACTGGACAAAGGTTTTAGAGTGAAGACGTTTCCTCCCTGTACGTTCATAAAAAAGCACAGACATCTTCCCCTCTACAAATGCACAAAGCGCTTCCCTCTGCACGCTTTTCTTGAATTAAATAGTTTGTATTTTTGTGAAACTTCTACTTCTGACCAGGATCTGTGCGTCTCTGAAATCTCTTTTTGTTCCAGACAAAAAAGAGAAGAAAAAGAAGAAAGAAAAGAAAAAGAAAAAGGAGAAAGAGCAGCGTTCGGCAAGCTCCTCCCCCTCCTCCTCGCCCCCTCCTGCTCGCCCAGGGGCAGGTACGTCAGGTACGGCGGGGGCGACAGGTGCGACGGGAGCTGTGAGAGTGAAGGAGGAGAGACACGACGCGGGATACGACAAATACCGACATGCACACGAGCAACAGGGGGCGATACGGGGCAGAGAGGAGGAGAAGGAGAGGGCCAGAGCACAACGCAGAGGAGAGGACACGAGGAGGGAGGAGACGAGGAGAGAGGACACGAGGAGGGAGGACACGAGGAGGAGGACACGAGGAGGGAGGAGACGAGGAGAGAGGACACGAGGAGGGAGGACACGAGGAGGGAGGACACGAGGAGGGAGGACATGAGGAGGGAGGACACGAGGAGAGAGGAGATGAGGAAGGAACCAAAACAAGAGAGGAGGGAGAGGAGCAGAGAGTGGGAGAGGAGAGAGGAGGGAAGGAGGGAGGAGAGGGAGCGAGAAAGGAATTATGATTCGGACCGACACAGAGATCGGAGCAGAGAGCGATACAGAGAGGACAGAAGGAGGGAGGAGACAAGGAGGGAGGACACAAGGAGGGAGGAAACAAGGAGAGACGAGGGAAGGGAGCGAGAGAGGGAGGACAGACGGAAAGACAGAGACAGATCTAAATACTGATCATACAATGTGTAAACTGTACATTTCTTGTTTTGTTTTTTTTAAGTAAAATGTGTGTTTGCTTTTGAATCTGTGTTTTTTTTTTTTTTTTTTGGAAAAAAAAAAAAAAAATTATAAAATAAAAACAAAGTCATCCCAAAAGTGACCACCAGGGGTTGTTGCAGGATGCTTTTTATTCAGCATATTATTTACATAAAACATAGTTAGGATTTCACTTTTTCTTCTTTTTTAATCCCCAATTTAGTCATTTTTTTTAGGTCTAGATTTATCTAGAGATTACCTGACAAACAAAAAACACAGTCAAGCCCAAAATGATTCATACCCCTGACAAGTTTTGACTTAGTTACTTTTATTCAACTAGCAAGTTTTTTCTTGATGATTGGAAATGACACAGACATCTCCCAGGATATAAAAAGATAAAGTACGAGAGGCATCCAATCCAGAAAAACTTGCTGGTTGAATAAAAGTAACTAAGTCAAAATTTGTCAGGGGTATGAATAATTTTGGGCTTGACTGTGTAAATAAAAATACCATTGTTTTCTTTAAATTGTGTTTGAAGTATCAGAAAAATGTGTTTATTGTTTCAGTAGAGTGAACTGGAGCCAGGGATGATGGAGCAGGAAGTGCGGCCATGTTCACTTCCTATTTGCTCCTGATGGATTTAACCCAGAGACACTGAAGGGTCAAATGTGCAGAATCAGAGTCCTGGTTTAGTCCTGCTTTAGAACTAAACTACAACTAAATTAGTCCTGGTTTAGACCTGGTTCAGTCCTGGTTCAGTCCTGGTTTAGTCCTGGTTCAGTCCTGGTTTAGACCTGGTTCAGTCCTGGTTCAGTCCTGGTTTAGACCTGGTTCAGTCCTGGTTTAGTCCTGAGTGACGTTATCCTTCGAGCTTCTTTAATATTCATATTCTTCATTTACATATTCACAAAGCTGTATTTAACACAAGTCTGTGATACAGAGAGGACTTACTCTGATCCAGGTAAGATACTGAACCAGGACTGGACCAGGACTAAACCAGGACTGAACCAGGACTGGACCAGGACTAAACCAGGACTGAACCAGCACTGGACCAGGACTACAAAAGTCTCATGTATTTGACTGAACTAAACAAGACTATCAAATGAAAACATATGACCTTCTGCCTGAGTATGAGGAGTTAGAGTTTATGTTCATGCTAATATTTCATTTTGTTTTGTTTCTGTTTTTTGTTTTGTTTCAGTTTTCTTGTTTTTCTTAAACTGTGTGTAGTAACACTGGATTTTCCACCCTGACAGACAAACACAGGTTCTCGTATCTCATCTTATTTTATTTGATCTGATTCGACCAGAGTAGAGTTTCCTTTAGGCACACACCTTTAGAATTTAAGACATGATTATATCTGCGCAGTGTTGAGAACTAAATCCATCTACTGAGAAAACATATTCTGAAAATTAATTTTGAGTTACAGTTACTTTTTCATTTGGTGGTATTTCTTACATTTACTAATTAACGTGAAGATGTTGTCAAAAACAGCCTATGAAATGTTTTGATTTAGTGTTTTTGCCGTGTTCTGTTTATATAGAGCTGATTTAGTCCTGGGTTAGACTCAGTTTAAACCTGACCTGGCTTAGACCAGGTTTAGACTTGGTTTAAACCTCATTTGGACCTGGTTTAGTCCAGGGTTAGACCTATAGGCCTTGTTTAGTCATGGTTTAGTCATGGTTTAGTTGTAGTTTAGTCATGGGTCATTCCATATTTAATTCTTAACCTCAGTCTAATCCAAGTTTAGTCCTGGTTTAGTCTTGGTTTAGTCCTGGTTTACTGTGGTAACTGTGGTGATGTTTCATAATCCTGACCTAAAGAGTTACTGTATTCCATTTCTCTTTCATTTGGTGGTATTCAGAATAAAAAGAGCACATTACAGTTTTGGATCATTTAGGTTCAAACTGCACAGATAAAAACAGACCATGTTGTGATGAGGCAGGTGTAATTTTCCTTGTCCAGTTACTCATAAATACTTTTTAATTTAAATGCAACTCGATTCAAAGTGTTCAGAAACTGTACTCTGATGGGCCTGTACTGGAAATGGGCCCCAGGTTTATGGTTCTGGCATGAAAAAGTGAAAAGCCGCTGTAATAATTCTCTTTGACGTGAGTTTATAACAGTTTTGAATTTGAATTTTGGGATTCATGTGATTTTTTTATAAACTTTATTTAAATTCAAAGTCAAACACAGATTAAGATGTTTTCTTATCAGAATCTGTGATGCTTTTTAACCAATCAGATTTCTCCATACTCTGATTGTTCATCTTTCATTTAATAATTAACATGAAGATGTCATCAAAAACAGCCTCTGAAATGTTTTGATTTAGTGTTTTTGCCATGTCCTGTTTTTATAGGGGTAGACGTGGTTTAAACCTGACCTGGTTCAGACCAGGTTAGGACTTGGTTTAAACCTATAGGACTTTCTTTAGTTGTGGTTTAGTCCTAGTTTATTCATGGTTTATTCCACATTTAATTCTGTCTTGGCCTCAGTCTAGTCCAGGTTTAGTCCTGGTTTAGTCCAGGTTTAGTCCTGGTTTAGTCCTGGTTTAGTCCTGGTTTAGTCCTGGTTTACTGTGGTAACTGTGGTGGTGTCTCATGATCACGACCTAAGGAGACCTTAAAATGTGAGGGATAAATATTTTGTTCATGTTGTTTTGTCTGGATCTTAGGTCTGGTCTGAGTCCTGGTCAGAGTTACCCTGATGGGATGGAGCCCAAGACTCAAATATCTGCTCAGTTCCCTGAAATGCAACAGTCTCCACATAAATGCAGTGTGCACTGGACAGAGAGCACAGAGCCGCTGATGCTCCTCTGAAGTGAACAGAGGAGAATACACAGACAGCTCAACGGGGAGGCATGACAAAGTCAGGTTAAAGACTTTTGGCACAAAGGCAGGGTTAGGTTTGAATAAAACTATAGAATCCCCCTTTCAATGAATGTTATGGCTCTGGTCTGATCTTTGGTTTGGTCTCTGGTCTGGTCTTAGTCCTGGTCTTTGTCCTAGTTCTGGTCTGGTCTTTGTTTCAGGTACAGATGTCTAATTCATCCGCGGTTCTGGACCCAGTGGTGTTTGAGCTGGAGGGTTTCATGGTTGCCCCTGGTTACGGGCCCCTCCTCTTCCTGTTGCTGTTGTGTAACTTCCTGTTCGTGTGGGCGGGTAACGGGGCAGTGCTGGTTGCCGTGGCGACAGATAGGCGGTTGCGGAGGCCGATGTTTGTGCTGATGGTTAATCTGGCTCTGGTGGACCTTCTGGGGGCCACGGCTGTCTGTCCCCACATCCTCATGCACTTCCTGTACGCCGACCGGTCAGTCGCCGTCCAGGGCCCTGGGTCACAACCGATCAGCTACCGCTCCATCAGCCACTCCCTCGCTCTGCTGCAGGCTTTCGCCGTTCACACGTACGGAGTCGCCGTGCAGACCGTGCTCGCCGCCATGGCCTACGACAGGTAAATAATACTCTTACTAGTGGTGTAGTCAAGAGGGTCCCGAGACCACAGGGTCCCGAGACCACAGGGTCCCGAGATCACAGGGTCCCGAGACCAGGACAAGACCAAGACTTTGAAAGGTCGAGACCGAGACAAGACCAAGACCACGGCCTCTCAAGACAAAATCAAGACCATCTTTGTCATTTTCAACATTTATTTGTATTTTGCAGTTATTTTGGCACATTTATATCAATTTTTTTATAAATCTATCTCAATTTTATGTGATAAATGTTAATCTAAGCTTAAAATAAGCCAAACTGTACTGTACTGAAACACTCTGCGCCCCTTTTGTGGACCCTCACCCACAGTTTGAGAACCCTTCTTTAAGAGAACTTCCACTGGCGCTTTACACAAAACTGTGAAGAAAGTTTCTAACTGGAGTTACATTCTCTTTGGTTTTGCAGAGGGATTTAGCCTCAGCCAATTAACCAAACACGTGACAAACAAAGATGCATTTGTGCACTTCTATTGGCAAACATCAGTCACATATCACAGTAGACCTGCTCTGTGCTGTAGACATCCTCTGTGCCAACCTGTAGCATACATTTGGATGAGTTATTGCTGTTTTAATCAGCATGCATTGAGGACCGAGTCGATGTGGGCTGTACGTGAGGAGGAGGAAGAGTGTAAAAAGATGAGGAGCAATGCAAGATATTTTAACCTGCTCTGTGATACACGCTGGTACATGAGGGCACATGCTTTTGTGGACACTTCCGCTCACTGGTACAAGTTTAATGCTGATGGCAGCAGCTGTAATGACATATGATCGCACTTGTCTAGTGTCAGACCTCGAGTCTGAGATGAGACTGAGTCCAAATGCAGTCAAGGCCCAGATGACCAAGACCATTAAAAAAATGGTCTCGAGGCTGGTCTCAAGTACTACGACATTAACTCTTACAGACCCCATAATAAGGCTTATGACAAATATGTTTATGCTAACCTATGCTCATAACCTCCACCTGCTGTCTAAACCTACAGATTAAACGAGGCCTACAACAGGTATGTTTAAACTACGCACTAAAGGCTCATTTATGCCAAACAGCGAGTTCCAAGTGTAGTAACCATGACTGCATTTATACTGCCAAAGATATCAACACTGTGTTCTCTTAAACAACCACCAGAGGGCACTAAAAATCATATAGAGAGTCCACTGAAACAGATGAAACAGAGCAACTATTTCATCCCTAACTTTAACTGCCTCAGTCCTGTTCCAAATATGGATCTCGATGAGGTTCATTTGGAGCTGACCATTGTTGGTCATGGCTCACTCCCTTAGTCCACTTCTGTCCTCAGGTACGTGGCCGTGTGCGAGCCGCTCCTGTACCACACCATCATGACTCCGCTCCGGGTTTTCTGGCTCTGTTTCTGGTCCTGGTTCTCGGCCTTTGTCTTTATCGGGATTCTGTTCGGCCTTCACTCCGGGACCAGGTTCTGCGGGACTCTGATCCAACATGTTTACTGCAGTAACCGAGGAATACTTCAACTGTCCTGTGATCCCACGCCCATCAACAACTACTATGGTGAGTACTACAAATACTACTGCTAATACTGCGAGTACTAGGCATAGTGCTGATACTAATACCACTACAGACATTACACGACTATTGCAGCACTTTAAGTTACTCTCACCAAAATATCTGTGTGAAGATGCCGAACATTTGGCCCGTATTTGGACTAAACCAGGACTAAACCAGGACTAAACCAAGGACTAAACCAGGTCTAAACCAGGACTAAACAAGCACAATCAGAGATAACAACCTGGTCCCCATGAGGCATCGGTGGTCAGTTCATCACCACAGAAGCAGTTTATGAGGAGCCCAGCCCATATTACATGATCGTTATATCCACAATGTAATGTGTGTATGTGTACAGGCCCATGAACATTAGTGTGATATTGGTCACACATGAGAATGTCTGTGTTTACTAGTGTGGAACCAAAATATAATTTTTCATGAGTTGTGTGTGTGTTAGTTGTGTGACTGTAGATCAGTGTGTTGTGTTTCACCAGAATAACAAGAAATGGAAATTATTTTCGTCCCAATTAGAATTTTAATGTCATACACTGAAAGAGAAAGGAACTGTTATAATTAGTGATTATCTCAAAAACTATTAATATTTTACGATACAAATGCATAGAATTATAAATAGATAATAATTTTTCTAAGATTTTGAGACACTCCTGTTGCTCGAGCTCGATCCTTCGTGGAGTTATGACCAAAACTGCATATTTGACCTTGGTTATCTTGACTTTTAAGTGACCTTGACCTGTTTCAACCTGTAACATCCAGTGTGCCCCGGTTATGTGTGTGGGCCAACTTGTGTGATGATTGGGTGAATATTTCAACCCACAGATGGTTCAGAAATTGCCAAAATTGCCAATCCTTTATAACGGCATGACCTTTCAATTGACCCGTGTGACCTCAAATGACGTACCAAATTTGGTAATAATTGGTCCATAAATGGCGGAATTATCGCGGGTGGACACACATACAGAGACACAGAGACACAAGGTGAATATAAAACCAGGTCAAACCTTCGGGGACCAGGTAACTAGGACTAAACCAGGACTAAACCAAAGCTGAACCAGGACTAAACTAGGACTAAATCAGAGCTGAACCAGGACTGAACCAGGTCTAAACCAGGACTAAACTAGGACTAAACCAGGACTACAACACTTTCTCAGTGACCCTCACCCTGATGCTCTTGCCCTGTGACTCCGCCCCTCAGGTCTGGTGATGACATATACAGTCAGCACAAGCGTGTTCCTGGTCACGGCGTTCTCGTATGCTCGGATCCTGTTGGCAGTCCTGGGTCGTGGTGGTCTAGACCCGGTCCAGACCCGGTCCAAGGCCCTGCAAACCTGCTCCTCCCACCTGCTGGTCTACGTGCTGTACAACTTGGCATCCGTCATCATCGTCATATCGTACCGCTTCCCTGCTCTTGCCCCAAACATCAAAAAACTCTTCAGCATCCTCTTCATCATTGTCCCGCCTGCCGTCAACCCGCTCGTCTACGGCCTGGTGAGCCGCGAGCTGCGCAGCGCCATCTGCAGGCAGCTGAACCGCGTCGCACCCAAGAGACACAGCTGAAGACTAACACAGCTAACCTTAACCCAAGAGATTAAAAAAAATAAATAAATATAAAACTAAAACCTAAAACTTTAACCCATAAACTAACCCTGTCATTGCCTGATTTGGGAAACTGTCACCCCTCTCTCTACAACCTTAAAATGTTCGTATTAGCCCGCTCTACATGATCTTTCTGTTTTTATTTCATAATTTTGTCCATAAATCACAATACGGATATTAATAATTGATTGTTAGTGTTTCTAGGCCAAACTGGCCGTGCAGACAGGAGGAGGTGTTACCTTCAAAAGCATCCGAATTATCTTTTTAAGGCCTGTGCACACACACCACAACATTTTTTGGTCGTTTTTTGGTGACGTTTTTTTTTGAGAACGGGTTCCAGAGTGGAGAAATCAGATACACACATCGATCAATAGCAAAGCTAACGCATGAGTAATTAAACTGTTGAATTTTGAGACCAAGTTATTCTAATAATTTTCATCTTAATCTTATGGGTAAAAACGAAAACTTAAGTTTAACTTTTGCAAAACAAAATGGCGATATTTCTGGGCTACATCTTAAACAGGATAAACTACCTTAAAATGAAAAAAAAAAAAAAAACGTGTTGAGATTTGCATTATTAAATATTATTGTTATTGTTAACAGCGCCACATACAGGTGTGGCAGATGTATTACATCATTTTCACTCTGTGCTCCATTTATTTATTGATCCGACACTTGTGTGGATGCTATATTTTTTCAGCCCGTAAAAGAAAAAAATCCAGGAGTGTTGTCGTGTTGACGTAGCCTTAGTTGCTCTGAAACTGCCAAATCAGGCAATGACAGTCTAACAGCGCTAAAGGCGAACTTTAACCCACGAGACCGAGCTTACCCTAATCCTCTTTGACTCCTTCGACCTTTGGTCCCAGCGGCTCACTCCTCAGTCTTTTTCAGTCCTGTGTCTTTGATAAACGTCACATTTAAATAAAGCGTACAACCTTGATCATGTTCTCTTTCTTTTACTATGTATGTACCTCTGTAATTAGTACTCATCAAATCACAAACTCGTTAAGAAAGTAACACTGTGTGGTGGTAAAAATGGGGGTAAACTGGAGCAATGATTTCAGGAGAATAAAGATTACTCAAACTTTAAATACTCCAATGAGAAGGAAGCAACTATAACCTGGTTAAAAGCTCCTAAAGTCGATCATAATAATAAAAGGACTCCTTTAAGAATCACAAATAGAAACACATCTGAGCCATGCTCCATTTTATTCAATATTTGAGTGAAACCTAACCAAACATGTTACAGACAGAAATGGGATGTCCCAGAGTTTTATCATATTTTCAAAAACAAAACATATTATTCCTTAAAGCAGATTCTGGGTTGAAAGTGTAGACTAAATGCACAGAGCAAACCAGCTGTTCGTAACAGGAAGTGAGCAGAGGAGGACTTCCAGCTCAGTCGACTCCAGTTCACTTTACACTGAAAAACTGTCGCCTTTCTCTCTGCTGCCTGGAGCCTTGTCAATTTGGTCTTAAAATGTTCGTATTAAAACACTGTTGTATTAAAGGATAACTGATGTTAAAGATGGAATTTAAGAGTTCTAATGTAAAGCAGGACTCGCGCAGCCTTTGTGAGTGTTTGACTTGAGTTTTGAGGTAGCACTCAACAAATGTTGAGAAATATTACCAATCCAGTATAATCAATTATCTAAGTTAATTAATGAATTAATTAATATTGAATTAAACAATTGTTCTGAAGTAAATTTGTAAATTCTTGTCCATATCAGTGACCCATATCTGGAAATAACATCACTATTCACCAAAGCAACTGTGGTTTATGAGGATTTATTGACCAAGTTAAATAGAAGCACTGAGATATGAAATATGCAAATAAGTGCCGGCTCCTCTAGACTGGTGTCTAAAGATTGGAGATTTGGTACAATTTTAAGAGTTTTCTAAAGTCGTATGTTGAGTCTTAACTGATCAAATAAGCCAATGTGTGATACGTGCTCATACGACCAAGGGAGTGGAGAAGTCCATCACAATGTGGTTTAGAAGTCCAGTGGTTTGGAGGTCTGAAGTCCTCAGGGCGTCAGGTCTGACGAATCAAACAAGCAGAGACAGATGGAGGCTCCGTGATCTAAACAAGAACTCCAGGCTCAAGCAGCGTCCGGCTGAAGGAACGCTGTAACCTCTGTTTAAAGAGGAACAGAAGATACTTTCCCACGTCCATGAGCTCTGAGAGCAGCACTGGTCACAGATTAAGGCCAGTTAAACCAAAAGGCTACTGACTACAAAAATGCAAATATTAAACTTCAGAAAAATATGAAAGTTTCGCTTCAGGTCAGATTAAGTACAGTAATTTGGACAAAACACATCAAAAGACAGGCACAAATTTGTAAGAGGGCATTGTCTCTGTCTATGTTCTTTGTCCAGCAGAGACGATAAGGAGTTTCTCTGTCTCCCTGTTCGTCTGTCCTCTCTGGTCAAAGGTCCGAGATGAACGCTCTTTTTGAACTGAGAGATCTCCTCAATGATAACAGTCTGTGTTCTGTTATAACCACACACATACGTTTTAGTGGGCGAAGGCTAAACAAATGAGAGTGACTTGGCTAAAGTTGAGTGGGGAATGAGAATGTTGTGTGAAATTCCTCTCACTTTTGCCTTTACCGTTAACAGACACAAAAAAACATGACATTTACAGATCAATATTCAAACAACTGGCCTCATAAGCTTCATTTGACTGGAGCCGTGATGTCACAGTCCCTTAGTCCAATTCTATTAGCGAAACTCTTTCTGCTCGAAGCATGATCAAAATAATTCCTGATGTGTCCTGAGTTGAGGTGCATCTGGTTTAGAATGACCTCAGTGTTCGTGCTCAGTGCTGCCCCCTGCAGCGGCGCAACAGACGGCGCAGGCTCTGGTGGATCTCGTGGCATTGGAAGCCGTAGATGACGGGGTTGAGCGCCGGCGGTATGATGTTGAACAAAATGGTGGATATTTTGCGGTAGGGTTCGTAGCTGGGATACCGGTGCAGCGCGATGATGAGTATCCCGCTCGTGAACATGACCAGATACAGCAGCAGGTGTGTGGAGCACGTCTGCAGGGCCTTACGGTTCAGGCTGCTGCTGCGTTTGGTGGCGCACGCCACCGCAATGTACGAGTACGTCACCACGATGGAGCCGATGGACGAGGTGAGCAGCACCACAGTGAACGTCAGGCCGTACACATTATTTATAAACGTGTTTTCACAGGAGAGTTTGAAGAGCGACGCGTTATCGCAGTATGCATTTAACAACAGTGAGCGACAACGGCTTAACCTCAGCGTCAGACCAAGTAAACCCGTCACCAGCACGGCCCCGACCCCCCACGCTGCCACCGTCAACGCCATCAGTGTGCGCCCGCTCATCACGGCCGAGTACCGCAGTGGCGTGCAGATGGCCGCGTAGCGGTCGAACGCCATGATCATCAGGATGGTGTGGTTATTGGTTCCGAACATGTGCGTGATGAACGCCTGTACCACACAGCCACCCAATGAGATGAGCCGCCTGCGAGGGGGGCGGGGCAGGTCATAAAGGAGGCGGGGCACAAGGGCAGTGTTGCCCAGGACGTCGTTGAGTGACAACTGACACAACAGGATATACATGGGCTGGTGGAGGGCGGAGTCAGAGCAGATCAGAGCAATCACGCCCACGTTCGCCGTGACGATGAAGAGGTGACTGAAGAAGAGCGCGAGGAACGCTGGCGTCAGGAAGGAGGCGGGGACAGGGAGACCCTCCAGCTGCAACAGATCGCTCACAGAGCTCATGTTCTCCATCTGCCCCCCGTGTGACTGAAGACCTTTCACCACCGTCACTAGATTTGAAAAACATGGCAACAATTACAGAAAATCATCAGACTTACAATAATGTCAAAGTCTATAACATGTTTTCCTCCTCTCTCAAAGAGAAAAGAACCATACTTTGAATTAAAATCTTTAACAAATTTATACTGAACTCATTTTGAATCAACAATAAACTGAACCTACACTTTATAAACACATTATTACATTTAATGGTCTTATTTTACACTAAGGGCGTACTCACACTATGACTTCAGAACCGGGCTGTGCTCAAGCACGATTGTGTTGGATTCTATGTTCTGCACTCACACCTGCACAACCGAACCAGGCCACGGCCCGATCACGTCATCACACAATGCTGTTTGTTCACATCACGCAGTAGTACTATTGCTTTTAACGGAGAAAGAAGTCTAGCGGCATGAAATATCTGTTAAACAGTGAGACAGATGTGCATCCTCTGTGAGTTTATGGAGATAAAAACAGAACGGAGTGAGGACAGCCAGAGACACCGATTATACTCGATTATGCTCACACTGGTCAAGCGTGCCGCACTTTAGGAACTATCCGTGCTTGGACATGGTTCTGAAGTCCTAGTGTGAGTGCACTCTATATTGACTCGTGAGCTTTAAGACATGTTATTATGCTGTTACCTAATCAAAAACACATCAAGTTGTGTTTTGTTTCATTCTTGAGTAACACTTTAATCTTTGTTTCAGTAGAGATTAGAAAATGCAAGGCTGAATTTATCCAGTTGATTCTAATGAAGGTGTATGAAGTTTAAAGACACAGTCAAGTACTTCCTGTACTACCACATGACATCACAAGGTGGATCAGAGTGTTAAGAGTTGGTGTGTTAAACATGTGTGAATGAAACAAAACACAACTCCAGGTCTGTTTGTGACGAGGAAACAGCATCACAACATAGATCAGAAAACAGTGCAATATGACCGTAAACTGGAACTAGAACTGGACCAGACCAGGACTAAACCTACTAGAATACTAGACCAGGACTAGAACAGGACCAAACCAAGACTACACACATGTGAACACAACACACCCTTCGACCAGTTTCAGTTCTGGTTTAGTCCTGGTTTTATTTATCAGTATTACCACTTCGATATCTGCACCATTTTCTCACTGACAAAGGCCGTACACATTTTTAGAGTCCAGCTGCAGTTAAATCATTTTTTATGATTAACACTGAATTTAAAATTTCTGTCCAAAAGAACATTCACATAAATTTAGTTAAACTCATGGACTAAATAACATTAACAACTGAAATGCACAAGTCATAGTCACTCCTAAACAATGAGAGCAAATAAATTATGTTATTGTAAGAAAAAACTAGAAAAGCAGTCAGAGAGCGCAGACCTCCGCCAAGGACTACCCCCATTTTTTATATAAATTGCGATAAAATCAGTCTTCTGGATCAGATCCGGATCAGCCTTTGGAATATGAAAGAGGATCCCATTGTACATCCCTGAGTCAAATTTCATGGGGTTTGGTCAATAATTAACCGAGATATTGAGAAACAAAATTTTTGGCCCCATTTACCACAATGTTAACTAAAAATTCAAAGTGATCCAGAATCCAGGATTTCTTCCAGATCACCCCCAAAATGAAGTCAGTTCTTCCTTTTCACATTTCCAACAAATCCTGAAAATTTCATCAAAATCGGTCCATAACTTTTTGAGTTATGTTGCTAACAGACAAACAAACAAACAAACAAACAGACAAATGCCGGCAAAAACATAACCTCCTTGGCGGAGGTAATGAAATGATTATACACAGAGAGGACGTCTGACACACAGGGACACAGGAGGATGGGAGGGCATCTGACACACAGGGTTAGTGTTTAAAGTGAAAGTTTTACCAAGTTGTGCTGTGCGCCTGTCCCCAGACCAGAGCTCTCTTTCAGGGTCTGGACTTTTATCTGTGTCCTGTGTCTGTGCATCTCCTCCTCTTCTGTCCCTGTGTGTCAGATGCCCTCCCTCCTCCTCTCTCCCTGCAGGCCTCAGTTTGTACCACACATAAAGAAGAGGGCAGGAGGTGCTGAAGTTTTTTTAATTTTTATTTACATTACATCATTAAATTAACATACAATTTACACATTTAAAGTTTAAAGCAAACGTGTTGCACAAAATGTTCTTTTCAGAGGTTTAAAGCATGTTATAGTTGTTTCCCCTCATCATCGGCTCATCTGAAGTTGTATTTGGTGATTTGTGACATCAGCGTGAGTGTGACTGGGCTAAAGTTGAGTGGGGGATGAGAATGTTGTGTGAAATTCTTTTCACATTTGCCTTATGAACCATTAGCAGATTTACACAAATAAAAGGTTTTCACATGACATTTACAGATTAATATTCAAATAACATTGACAATATTCACAGCATGAACAGTTTACACCATCCCTCTTTTTTCTCTTGAGAAAGTCCATTAGCGGAGATTGTTTGATTTTGTGTCTTTTATTTGTGTCTTGGTTATGGCCAATTTATCTGAATTTACTACAGTCAGTTGGTTTCTTTGGAGGAGGAACTTTGTAGATCTTGTAGCTCTTTTGGAGAGTCTTTATGTAAAAAGAGTTAAATGTGTTCTCTACTTGCAGAACACAAGTCTCTCAATCTTATCAATCAGCTCCAGGGTCCAGAGAGCTGAAGGAAGCAGGGGATGGTCGTGCATCCTTGAGAGTCATAGAAGGCATCTAGCCCAAACCACTTGGTTTGGTGAAAATTTCCTTCTTAAATTTCTAATACCAACAGTGAAGCAGGTGCTTCTCACAGTTTCACAGGTCTAAACAGGGACACTACGACGCTCTACATGATCCTGGTGCTTTTATTTTGTCCGTATAACTGCCGGCCTCATGAGTTTCATTTGACTGGAGCCGTGACGTCACAGTCCCTAGAACCAGTTCTTTATAGAGTCTATGAGTGAAACTCTTTCTGATTGTAATGAAATGTGTCACTGAGAGAGACTGTTCCAGTGGAAGTGACGGGGAAAGTGGCATCGCTCCATGTGTCCAGAGACTTTTGCTGCTTTGAATTTATTTTCATTGTTTATTCTCTCTGCTGCCTGTAGATGGCGCACTAATGCTCAATTACCTCTACAATGTCTGATAACAATTCCATGACACTCGAAGCATGATAAAAATTCTTATGTGTCCTGAGTTGAGGTGCATCTGGTTTAGAATGACCTCAGTGTTCGTGCTCAGTGCTGCCCCCTGCAGCGGCACAACAGACGGCGCAGGCTCTGGTGGATCTCGTGGCATTGGAAGCCGTAGATGACGGGGTTGAGCGCCGGCGGTATGATGTTGAACAAAATGGTGGATATTTTGCGGTAGGGTTCGTAGCTGGGATACCGGTGCAGCGCGATGATGAGTATCCCGCTCGTGAACATGACCAGATACAGCAGCAGGTGTGTGGAGCACGTCTGCAGCGCCTTACGGTTCAGGCTGCTGCTGCGTTTGGTGGCGCACGCCACCGCAATGTACGAGTACGTCACCACGATGGAGCCGATGGACGAGGTGAGCAGCACCACAGTGAACGTCAGGCCGTACACATTATTTATAAACGTGCTTTCACAGGAGAGTTTGAAGAGCGACGCGTTATCGCAGTATGCATTTAACAACAGTGAGCGACAACGGCTTAACCTCAGCGTCAGACCAAGTAAACCCGTCACCAGCACGGCCCCGACCCCCCACGCTGCCACCGTCAACGCCATCAGTGTGCGCCCGCTCATCACGGCCGAGTACTGCAGTGGCGTGCAGATGGCCGCGTAGCGGTCGAACGCCATGATCATCAGGATGGTGTGGTTATTGGTGCTGAACAGGTGTGTGATGAACGCCTGTACCACACAGCCACCCAATGAGATGAGCCGCCTGCGAGGGGGGCGGGGCAGGTCATAAAGGAGGCGGGGCACCAGTGCGATGTTGCCCATGATGTCATTGAATGACAGCTGACACAACAGGATATACATGGGCTGGTGGAGGGCGGAGTCAGAGCAGATCAGAGCAATCACGCCCACGTTCGCCGTGACGATGAAGAGGTGACTGAAGAAGAGCGCGAGGAACGCTGGCGTCAGGAAGGAGGCGGGGACAGGGAGACCCTCCAGCTGCAACAGATCGCTCACAGAGCTCATGTTCTCCATCTGCCCCCGTGTGACTGAAGACCTTTCACCACCGTCACTAGATTTGAAAAACATGGCAACAATTACAGAAAATCATCAGACTTACAATAATGTCAAAGTCTATAACATGTTTTCCTCCTCTCTCAAAGAGAAAAGAACCATACTTTGAATTAAAATCTTTAACAAATTTATACTGAACTCATTTTGAATCAACAATAAACTGAACCTACACTTTATAAACACATTATTACATTTAATTGTCTTATTTTACACTAAGGGCATACTCACACTATGACTTCAGAACCGGGCTGTGCTCAAGCACGATTGTGTTGGATTCTATGGCCGCACTCACACCTGCACAACCGAACCAGGCCACGGCCCGATCACGTCAGCACATGATGCCATTTGTCCAAAAGTCCTAGTGTGAGTGCGTCCTATATTGATTCATGTGAGCTTTAATCCATGTTATTACGCTGTTACCTCGTCATACTGATACTGAGTTGTGTTTTGTTTCAGTCACACATGTTGAGTAACACTTTATTATTAGTCTGACATCTCCAAAGCTCAAAATGCTCTTACTCCTGTTGGTGTCATAAAGCTGTAGTTTATTTAATCTTTGTTTCAGAAGAGACTGAAAAATGCAGAACTGAATTTATCCAACTGATTCTAATGAAGGTGTATGAAGTTTAAAGACACAGTCAAGTACTTCCTCTACTACCACATGACATCACAAAGTGGACCAGAGTGTTAAGAGTTGGTGTGTTAAACATGAAACAAAACACAACTCCAGGTCTGTTTGTGACGAGGAAACAGCATCACAACATAGATCAGAAAACAGTGCAATATGACCGTAAACTGGAACTAGAACTGGACCAGACCAGGACTAAACCTACTAGAATACTAGACCAGGACTAGAACAGGACCAAACCAAGACTACACACATGTGAACACAACACACCCTTCGACCAGTTTCAGTTCTGGTTTAGTCCTGGTTTTATTTATCAGTATTACCACTTCGATATCTGCACCATTTTCTCACTGACAAAGGCCGTACACATTTTTAGAGTCCAGCTGCAGTTAAATCATTTTTTATGATTAACACTGAATTTAAAATTTCTGTCCAAAAGAACATTCACATAAATTTAGTTAAACTCATGGACTAAATAACATTAAAAACTGAAATGCACAAGTCATAGTCACTCCTAAACAATGAGAGCAAATAAATTATGTTATTGTAAGAAAAAACTAGAAAAGCACTCAGAGAGCGCAGACCTCCGCCAAGGACTACCCCCATTTTTTATATAAATTGCGATAAAATCAGTCTTCTGGATCAGATCCGGATCAGCCTTTGGAATATGAAAGAGGATCCCATTGTCCATCCCTGAGTCAAATTTCATGGGGTTTGGTCAATAATTAACCCAGATATTGAGAAACAAAATTTTTGGCCCCATTTACCACAATGTTAACTAAAAATTCAAAGTGATCCAGAATCCAGGATTTCTTCCAGATCACCCCCAAAATGAAGTCAGTTCTTCCTTTTCACATTTCCAACAAATCCTGAAAATTTCATCAAAATCGGTCCATAACTTTTTGAGTTATGTTGCTAACAGCAAACAAACAAACAGACAAACAAACAAACAAACAGACAAATGCCGGCAAAAACATAACCTCCTTGGCAGAGGTAATGAAATGATTATACACAGAGAGGACGTCTGACACACAGGGACACAGGAGGATGGGAGGGCATCTGACACACAGGGTTAGTGTTTAAAGTGAAAGTTTTACCAAGTTGTGCTGTGAGCCTGTCCCCAGACCAGAGCTCTCTTTCAGGGTCTGGACTTTTATCTGTGTCCTGTGTCTGTGCATCTCCTCCTCTTCTGTCCCTGTGTGTCAGATGCCCTCCCTCCTCCTCTCTCCCTGCAGGCCTCAGTTTGTACCACACATAAAGAAGAGGGCAGGAGGTGCTGAAGTTTTTTTAATTTTTATTTGCATTACATCATAAAAGTAACATACAATTTACACATTTACAATTTAATGTAGAGCTGTTGCACAAAATGTTCTTTTCAGAGGTTTAAACTATGTTATATTTGTTTCCCCTCATCATCGGCTCATGTAAAGCTGTATTTGGTGATTCGTGTGTTTGAGCAATCTTTAATCACTTATTATCAAGACGCCATTTTCACCATCAACCCATTTTCACAGCCCTCGTACACGTCCCTTGCTCTGTATGCACTTCCTTCTTCAGTTTTATTTTCTCGATCAGTGATATGCTTAAGCTTCGGCCGTGTCGCAGTCCTTCTGGTACAAATCAAAAAAACTCTTCTCCTTGCTAGTGTGATGTGCAGCTATCCAAAAGAGGGGCTGACAGCATGCAGCGCTTTGTTGTGATGATGTTTAATAGTCTTTTAATAGTCTTGATCATGTGTTTTTTGAGTGATGAGGGCAGGCGACAGTGGCTCAGTGGTTAGAGCAGTGGGCCCAACCTGAAGGTCGGAGGAGCGATTCCCCCTCAGATCAAGTTCTTAGGCAAGACACTTATTCGTTCATTTGTTTTTCAAAATAAAACCAAAAATAAGAAAATGAAAACATAACACATTTATTAGATTAACAGTGATGTTCTGATGGAGCTCTGAGCAGCAGAGCCAAGACCCTCAGAGAAGATAGATCATTTTACTGTGTCCATGATCAGAGCATCTCAGTTTAGTTCCTGTTTAGTCAGTATTGTCCTGAGGAAGTGGAACTGCAGATGGTGCTGTCATCTTGCCTCCACTAGTAGGAAGACAGCGCCAAATCCTGTATAAATCAGCTGCCAGGACACGTCACAGCAACATCACATGACTCCGAGGAAGTGAGCAGTCGAAACTGTCGGGTATGAAAACAAACTCTTGGTCTGAAAAAAGATGAAATGAAATGAACCTCATTGGACTATTGTGTGTTGTGTTTGTGTGTGTTCTGTGTCATGGTGTGTGTTACTGTGTGTGAGTTCTGCTCCCGCTGCAGGACAGTAGGTAGCGCCGCACTTCCTTGCTCTGTAGACCGTAGATGATCGGGTTGAAAGCTGCAAGTAGGAGGTCTTTGAGCATAGCAATGACCTTCCTCTCCTCCACCAGCCCCTGGACCCTCTGGAGCCCCACAACGGAGAGGCTAGAGATCAGCAGCAGTAAAAACACCAGCAGGTGTGTGGAGCAGGTCTGTAGGGCTTTTTTGTTCAGCTTGGAGCTCTGGTTTCCCACACAGACCACAGTGATCCTGAGGTAGGTGAAGAGCATGATGCAGATGGAGCCGCCGAGCAGCACAGCAGTGATGACCAGACCCAAGACATTCTGGAGAAAAGTGTTTTCGCATGACAGTTTGAACAGGGATGCGTTCGTACAGTATAACCCATTGATTATTGAGCGACATCGACTGAGGAGCAGCGTTGGACCAATAAGGATGCTCACCAGCAGCAAAGCCCCGCCCCATGCTAAAACCGTTAGCAGCACTAACATGCGGCCGCTCATGATGGTGGTGTACCGAAGCGGGTTACAGATCGCCATGTAACGGTCAAACGCCATGGTCATAAGGATCGTGTATGACAATATACTGCCGAAGTGCAACAGGAATGCCTGCAGGATGCACATCGACAGGTGCACCACCCGGTGATTTGGCGGGCGCAGCAGGTCCACCAGCACCTGCGGCATGACTGCCAAATTCAGCATGACGTCGCTTAAGGTAAGTTGGACAAACAGCAGGTACATGGGTGTGTGCAGCGCTCGGTCACGTGCTATCGCCATAGCAATACTACCGTTGGCCATCAGCCCCACAAGGAACAGCAGCAGGAAGCAGACCAGCGCCACGAGGGACCAGCCTCCAGAGAGAAGGAAGCCCTCCACCTGCAGCCACGGCCCCACAGAGGAGAGGTTCTGCATCTGTAACACACAGACATCAGCGGTTTAGTGTGGGAGTTACCTGTGGGAGTTACCTGCACTGTGTTCCAAACAGAAAGTGATCGTGGACATGCTTACTCTAATTCACTTTACATTTAAACTCATAGCCTTGGGTTTATTTTGTTATTTTGTCCAAAACATGAACATTAATCAGGCACCTTCTTTCCCCCAGATTGCTTCCGTTAGTGTTGACTGACATGCACTCCCTACTAAACCAGCTGTGTGGCTGGGAAGGAGTGCTTTGGTTGATACCCAGAATTCCAAATATGGAGCTTGGCTCCAAATTCACCCCTATAATCACTGGCCTCGATGAGCTTCATATGACTGGTCCACTTCTTTAAACAAGCGAATTATAGTTCTGCGTTGACTCAAGGCTCACTGCCACTGTCGTCTTGTTGCCGTTGTTTTCGATTTATGGATCTGCATCGAGGTCTGTGTTGTAAAAAAATTCACAGCCACAGCACTAGGAGGATAGGATTAAAAAATGGCGTTCATGTAAACAAAATGAAGCAGAGTACAGGAAATGTATGTGGAGCAGATGTAGAGAGGACCAATCACAGCCATTATTGTCTGCGTCATTTTCCCTTGTTGTCTGTGTCGTTTTGATGTGTAGTTAAAAAATTTGAGGTGCCTGTCAGTCGATGCAGAGGAACCACCACACCGGTCTGCCAGTCCAAAGGTACTGTCCCCAACTGCCATGCGATGTTGCAGAGACATGTCGGCCAAGACAGCCCCACAACATCCAGAGACTTAAGATACAGATCTCATCCACCCCCGGAGCCTTGCCACTGAGGAACTTGACAACCACCTCAGTGACTCAGACAGGGTGATGGTTGAATCTGCCTCCAAGTCCTCTTCCTCCTCAGAAGACATAATGGTGGGATTGAGGAGATCCTCAAAGTGTTCCTTCCACTCCCCAGTCACGGTCAGCAGCTCTCCACTTGCACTGTAAACAGTGTTGGTGAAGCTCTGCTTCCTCCTTCCTGAAGCATGGGATAGTTTGCCAGAATTTCTTTGAGACTGGTCTATGTGACTGCACGGGCTGCGTCTCGGTCCCCATCAGCTGCCTCAAGAGTCCCACAAATCAGCAAGGGTCAATAGGACTCATGTAGCCTGATGCCATCCCTTACTTCCAGTGTCCACCTCTGGGTTCAGGGGTTTGCTACTGTGACATGCCCCACAGACCTTATGACTACAACTACCTCATCGACAACAGAGGTGGTGGACATGATCCACTCGGACTCCATGTCCCCAGCTCTTGTCGGAATCTACAAGAAGCTTTCCTGGAGGTGCGAGCTGTAGGCCCAGCTGACAGAGGGCTCCAGCAGATGTTCTTAACAGACCCCCACGATACCATTGCTTCAAATTAGAAGTTTAAATTTCAACATTAAAATCATTGTGCAATTCAGTTAATTGTGATTAATCATAATTCAAATGTGTGATCAATCTCTCAACAGTTTGACAGAACTAGTACAAATGTAAAAAAAATAAAATAAAAAAAAAATCTGCTTCTCACTAGTTTAATATGTAGCTTTCTATGGATGGGGCCAACTCTTTGTTGTGATGGCGTTTATAGTAACATCAGCTCCCACTGGGCACCGCAGTTTTCTAACTTGGAAGTCAGCGTACTTGTTTCTTTTACTGAGTTGTTTTGGATAAGTATTGCTATTTGAAACGTCCATCATAGTGATCCACGGGTGTCAAGGTTTATAACTACAGAACGGACACAAACACAACAGGTCTGCTCTGAGATGTTATTTTGAAGTACACTTTAAGTACTGTATATTTAACAATGGCAAGTACACTAATCACACTTTATTCAAACCAATATGAGACACTAACAGAAATGTGGAGGTGCAGTTTATATCAAGAGTTTACATTCTTTCCTTCAGCTTTTTCATAGGATGTAAATCTTTTGGATCGTTTTAAGTTATTATTATTATACCACCTCTACTGCCGCACACATTTCCTACTACAACAGTCCATGAGCATGACATGAAAGCACTTTGGGTTTCTGCACGGTAAATTTCTATTCAAAGAACTATCCAATGGAAGTACAGGTACAAAGGCATTGTTTATTGCAAAGAAGAGTTTGCATATCACAGAAGCACCTCAAACCTAGTCAGATATTGTTATGAGATTCTTTGAGATTAATTACAAAGCCTGAAATTAATCACATTAATCACAAGAAGAAACACATGGGATGCAACTCTTCTGTAACATTTCACATGAAAGAGCAGTTCAAAGTACTTACTCTTTTTATATTTAGTTACATGACAAAACCTAGAGATCTTATTTTATCTACAAACTAATCACAGAGAGAAATGAACCAGGCTCAGATTTGATTAAACTGTTCACAGACTGACAGAGAATGGGACATGTCTACCTTTTGAAATCATTCATAAACTAAACTAAACATTGTCTATAGATAGCTGCATATCGGCCGTAGATTTAAAAAGTCAGTTCCAAAGCAAACACTGCTGAATCCTACTTATATCACTGATATAATATCATTTATATCACTGATATAATAATTGGAGAAGGGAGCAGTGGGTGCGTGCCGACAATATGGAGATTAAAAATTGTTCAAACATGCATGAATCAGTCCAAATACAACTTGAGAGGATCAGTGAAACAACTATAACATGGTTAAAAGCTCTGAAAATTCGACTTTGCAGAAAAGGTCTGTTCTAACATGAGGAATACAGCACAGGATCAGCAGCTCATCTGTCAGTAGAAGATGCAGACAGAGCAGAGTCAGTGTTCTGCGTCTTTCTCTGGTGTTTTCATCAGAAATCTACAAGAATCAAATCCACTTTTTTTTTTTTCTCCTAATCATTTCTATATTTCCCCAACCACACAAGAACATCAGAGAGCATCTGACAAACCACAGCATCTGCAGATTAACTAGAGACATTTCATTCTCACACTACAAGGATACAGACAGATGAAAGGACATCAAACACACAGAGACGCAAGAGGATGGGAGGGCATCTGACACACAAGGGTACAGTATTTACCTTTGTCTCCAGAGTGTGTGTGTTAAACTGCAGCTGTGTTTTTATAGAAGAGCTTTGAAGAGATGTGACGTGTTTCTGGTCCAAACTCCACTGGGCCTGTTCCACTTCTGAATTTAGTGCTACACCCCTGTTCATATTACTCTATTACTCTTTTTTGAGCTATGTCATAATGTTTCCTCATCACAAACTGAGCTTTCGTCTCACAGCAAGAAGGTCTTGGGTTTGCTCCTGGTGCAGTTCGGAGCCTTTCTGTCTGGTGTTGTATAATTTCCCTGTGCCTGCACAGGTTTCATCTACCACTAAAAACATGCTCTCCTTACACCTTCAGAATCATTTGGATAATTTGAACCCTGCAATTTTCAATCTCTACTGACATTAGGTAAAAGGAGCTGCTGACAAAAGGTGGACAAAAGCATTTTGTGCTTTGGAGATGTAGACAGATTATTAATAAAGTGTCACTCAAATGTATGAATGAATCGAAACACACCTCCTGGTAAATTTTGATGAAGATTATAACATGAGTCAATTTCCTGTAATCTAGGACCTTTAACGAGACATGCTCTGATTTGTCAGGTGTTGAACCATAATTTAACTAGATCATCATTTCACATTTGGGTCATTGTAAACCTGAATTCTCACCTAAAATAATAGTTGAGTTAGTTAGAGCTTTTAGGCCCCTCTTCTTCATGTGAGACATTTTACTGGAACAAAAAGTACATTTTCATTTATATCTTTATTTCAAAAAAGTCCATCACTGATCCACCTGATGACATGAGTGCTGTGAATTGTGCAGAGACAAACTAAAGGTTAATTTCTCATTTCTCATTTCTATAGGTAAGAATGAAATAAAGACATTCGACATTTCTGACAGTGATGTAACAATCCCACCAGACCATAAATAATATAATGAAGATTCATCATAGAGCGCCCCCTGGTGTTTATCAAAGTCAAAAGATCTGGCAATTCTACGTGAGGAAGTCATTTTAATTGGATCATCAGCTTGAGAAACATTATAGTAAAATCCCCTGTCTTTGGTCCAGTCCTGGTTTAGTCCTGGGTTACTACTACTCCACAGCCATTGCCTCTCCAAGTCCTTCAGTCGTGCCACATTGCTCTGTCTGGTTACCTCGCTGTTCCGCCGCTGTCCGACATGGCTCTCAAGTTCTCCGTCTCACAACTCCTCAAACTCAGTAGCTCCTCAATTCCACCATGCATCCCAATAATTAAATAAAAGGAAAAATACATCCAAAGAAGCTTGCATCAGAAGTTTGTTTACGCCGGCACTCCTCAATCTATTCTGTCTCAAAACATCATCAAAACAAATCACACGTGTCCTGTCTCCACCTCCTTCCAAAAGCACCTCTGTCAGTTCCTATAATTAAATCCGTTAAATTCACACTGCTAAACACCCGTTCCCTTAACAATAAATGCAACATTTTCCGGCCTCTCCATATTGAACCTCTCCAGCACTGATCTCGCCATATCCAACCAACTGGCCATCACCTTGACCTCTGACATCCCCATCCCTCATCCAAAACAGACACGCTTGCTACTTTTCCGTAAACCCAGTTCCAGCCCCGTCACCACTCTTTACAACGACATCCCCCTCCCGAAAAATCGAAACTGTCTCATTTAATCACTCCTGGTTCACACCTCAACTAAGTCACATGAAAACCAAAGGATGTCAGCTAGAAAAACTAAACAAAAAGTCTGGGCTTATTATCCACACCCGACTCTACAAAGATCATCTGCAACAATACCTGGACCACTTACTATTCCCTCCTCATTCAGTCTGACTCTGGAAATCCCCCCCCAAAAAAAATTTCTCACCACCATTAACAAACTGCTCAATCCCCTGGACAATAGCTCATATTCATCAGCCCATCACCTCTGCTCCCACACCTACCCCCATCCTCATGAAGGAACCCAGCCCAGTGTCTCTGTGTGAAGGCAGCTGGAGAAAGTTAACCAAAACAAGTCTCCTGGATTAGACCAAGTCAACCCCTGTCTGCTGAAGCCATGTGCTGTACAGCTCACAGGGATCCTGCACTTTCTCTTCATCCTGAGTCTGAAGCTTGAAAGGATCCCGGTATTATGGAAGACCTCCTGCATTGTACCAGTGCCCAAGAAGCCTATTCCATCTGGACTTTTGGCTCAGCCCAGACCTCTGGTGGAGCCATCTCTGGATCCTCTACAGTTTGCCTATCAGTGCCATTTAGGTGTTGAAGATGATGTAATCGGGCTCACTCACACTTGGATGGTGTTAAGAGCTCTGTGAGGATATTATTTTTCAATTTCAGTGTCTTGACAGGATGAGTGTCAGCTCCTCCATTGTCTCCTGGATCACTGACTATGTGTCAGACAGGCCTCAGTACATGCTATAGGGAGCATCCTGCCTGATACAGTGGTCAGTAATATAGGAGCTCCCCAGGGTACAGTCCTGTCTTCGTTTCTGTTCACTCTGTACACCTCTGGGGTTGGGTGTATCAGAGATGGTCAGTAGCTGGAGTACAGAACACTGATTGCAAACTTTGTGGAGTGGTCTCAGGCAAACAATCTGCTCCTGAATGTTGACAAGACCAAGAAACTGGTGATTAACTTCAAGAGGAAGAGGACATCAGTGGAGCCCGTCACCATCCAGGGCCATGACGAGGAAATAATGGACTGCTACAAGTACTTCGGCGTCCAGGTAAACAACAGATTGGACAGGAGGAAAAACTATAATGTTGTGTACAAGAAGGACATGAGTAGACTCGACTCCCTGAGAATGCTCAGGTCTTTCAGTGTGTGCAGCAAGTTACTGCAGATCTTCTCCCAGTCTGTGGGGCCAGCACCCTGGACTTGGTTGTGGTCTGCTGGGGGAACAGCACCAGGAAAAGGTACATTGGGCGGATCGACATTGGGCGGATCGACAAACTGATCCGTAAAGCTGCTCACGTGATTGACTGTGAGCTGGAGACATTTGTCGCAGTGAAGGACACAAGGACACTGGAATAACTGCTCTCCATCATGGACACTCCTGCTCACCCACTGCACTAGACTACAGAGGGACAGATAATACTTGGATTATAAGGAGTTCCCCAAGGTTCAGTTCTTGGCCCACTCCTTTTCATACTCTACGTCCTCCCGCTTGGTCATATAATCCAATTCCATTGCTTTGCAGATGACATCCAACTCTACCTGTCCACCAAATCCATAACCCCGGCCATACCTCACCTACACAAACTGCTCCTCTGAAATAAAATCCTGGCTACAGTCTAACTCCAACCTCCAACTCAACTGCAAGAAAACCGAAATAATCATCATTACCCCCAAAACGCTCACCAGAATGGCTCCTCAGTCCCCTCCTCCCAACTACATAAACTTGGCATTTTCTTTGACCAGACCCTCTCCTTTGAACACCACATCAGACACATCACCACAACTGCCTTCTATCACCTCCGGAACATCGCTTGTGTCCGCCCATCCCTCTCGCCTCAATCTGCTGACACCCTCATCCACGTCTTTGTCTCCTCCCATGTCGATTACTGCAATAACTCCTCTATGGTTCACCCTCTAAACTCCTCAGAAGACTCCAGTACATCCAGAACTCTGCTGTCCGCCTCCTGATCCGCACCTCCTCCTCGACTGCAGCTCCACCTCACCCTACACACACACACCTACTCCCGTGAATACATCACCCCTGTCCTCAAAGATTTCCACTGACTCCCCATCCCTCAGAGCATCCAATTTAAACTCCTCACCATTGTGTACAAGTCCCTACCTTCTTATCTGAGCTTCTCCACCACCATATCCCCACCCGCACCCTCTGCTCAGCTGATGCCAACCTCCAACCTCCTGTCTCCCTCCACCAGGACTAAACACAAGACCTGGGGGGACAGGGCCTTCTTCTGCTGTCTGCACCCTCTGGAACTCCCTCCCCAAACACATCAGAGACTCATCCACACTCCCCGTGTTAAAAAAGACCTAAAAACCCATCTCTTTCATTAACTGTCTTATTTCTTTTGTTTCCCTTTGTCTCTGCATGTAAAACATGTTTGAGTATCTTGAAAAAGGTGCAAAGTATTAATACAGTCTATGGTGGAACACATTTATCTAGAACATTAGATTAGATGAACAGTGATGTTCTGATGGAGCTCTGAGCAGCAGAAGCATGATCCTCAGAGAAGATAGATCATTTTACTGTGCCCATGATCAGAGCATCTCAGTTTAGTTCCTGTTTAGTCAGTACATGTGTGTGTTCTGTGTCACGGTGTGTGTTACTGTGTGTGAGTCCTGCTCCCTCTGCAGGACAGTAGGTAGCGCCGCACTTCCTTGCTCTGTAGACCGTAGATGATTGGGTTTAGAGCTCCAGGCACAAGGTCTTTGAGCATAGCAATGACCTTCCTCTCCTCCACCAGCCCCTGGACCCTCTGGAGCCCCATGACAAAGAGGCCGGAGAGCAGCAGGAGTAGGTACACCAGCAGGTGTGTGAAGCAGGTCTGTAGGGCTTTTCTGTTCAGCTTGGAGCTCTGGTTTCTCACACAGACCACAGTGATCCTGAGGTAAGTGAAGAGCATGACACTGATGGAGCCGGCGAGCAGCAGAGCAGTGATGATCAGAGCCAAGATGTTCTGGAGAAAAGTGTTTTCACATGACAGTTTATAAAGAACCGGGTTTGAACAGTACAGCCCTTCGATCATTGAGCGACATTGACTCAGCCGCAGCGTCACAACAAAAACGATGCTCACCACCACCACAGCCCCGCCCCACGCTAAAACTGTTAACAGCACTATCATGCGGCCGCTCATGATGGTGGTGTACCGAAGCGGGTTACAGATCGCCACATAACGGTCAAATGCCATGATCACGAGAACCGTGTATGAAGCCATAGTGCTAACGTGCACCAGGAACGCCTGCAGGATACACGCTGACAGGTGCATCACCCGGTGCTTTGGCGGGCGCAGCAGGTCCACCAGCACCTGTGGCATGATCACCGAATTCAACATGATGTCATTTAATGTAAGTTGCACAAACAGCAGGTACATGGGTGTGTGCAGCGCACGGTCACGCACTATGACCACGGCAACGCTACCGTTGGCCACTAGCACTACGATGTACAGCAGCAGGAAGCAGACCAGCGCCACAAGGGACCAGCCTCCAGAGAGAAGGAAGCCCTCCACCTGCAGCCACGGCCCCACAGAGGAGAGGTTCTGCATCTGTAACACATGGACACAAGGGTTTAGACTTTGTCACATCAGGAAGGAGACACAGAGTGCGTTTACATGTACATCAGTATCCCGGTTATAATCTTTTTTTTTTTTTTTTTGAGTATCCCGGTTTCATCATGGTGCATGTATACGCAGTATCCTGGTTTCAATATTAGATCAAAGGCAGTATAATAGTTATGAGAAACCGGAATACTGTAGTTGGGATATTCCGATAGTAACCGGGATACTGTGTTTTCTGTGATAGTGTTTTCATCACAACAGTATCCAAAATAAATAAAGTGACCAACATAAATAAAGTGAGTGAAATGAAATAAAGAACTACGCTAAACCTGCGCACACACACAATCTGCACTCATATGACCTGCACACGTATGAGCTCTAGTCTGAAAAGTTAAACATGAACCATCTCCAACTCGATACACGCACAGAACAGACTCACCATCAGCAGCACATCCTCTGTCACAAAAAGAACACACATATTCCACTGAGTCATGTCCTTTAGTCTGACAAAAGTTGAAGCGTATCAGCGCACAAGAAACAAGCTGTTTATTTCAGCACTTACACTTTATGCAAATGAGCCATGCGGTTTTCAGTTTTGTTTCTGTAAAACGTAAACAAATGTGCACTAAGTTAAATTATAATATCAAATGGGCTGATGTGGCTCTATAGTGGTTATAGTTTATATGTTGTAAAGTTGACTTTATTTATGCATCCATCCATCCATTTTCGTCCTGTTATCTGGGGCCGGGTCGCGGGGGCAGCAGCCTAAGCAGGGACTCCCAGACTTCCTTCACCCCAGACACATCCTCCAGCTTCTCCGGGGGGACCCCGAGGCGTTCCCAGGCCAGCCGAGAGACATAGTCCCTCCAGCGTGTCCTGGGTCTTCTCCGGGGCCTCCTCCCGATGGGACATGCCCGGAACACCTCCCAAGGGAGGCGCCCAGGAGGCATCCGGAACAGATGCCTGAGCCACCTCAACTGGCTCCTCTTGACGTGAAGGAGCAGCGGCTCTACTCCGAGCTCCTCCCGTGTGACTGAGCTCCTCACCCTATCTCTAAGGGAGCGCCCAGCCACCCTGCGGAGGAAACTCATTTCGAGAGCTTGTATCCATGATCTTGTCCTTTCGGTCACTACCCAGAGCTCATGACCATAGGTGAGAGTAGGAACGAAGACTGACCAGTAAATCAAGAGCTTTGCCTTTCGGCTCAACTCCCGCTTCACCACAACCCAGGAGGGGTTTTAATTAAGAATCTGCTGCAGTGTAGAACTTGTACAATAGTGTCTGGAAACGTTCAGTTTGATCTGCACTTAAATTAAGTAAATTTTTGCGCTTGCACATTTGTTAGATTATGTCAAGAAACCAGGATACTTCATTTGATCATGTACACAGGGATATGAGTATCCCCGTTTCTCAGCGTGCATGTAAACACAGTATCCTGAATACTGACATAACCAGGATATGGCTAATAACCACAAAACTGATGTACACGTATACGCACTCACTGACGCCCCGTTTCTGTTCAGAAGCAAAAATTACAACAAAAAATCATACTACTGAAGTGACAGAAAAAAAAAAAACATTCCCACAAACACTACGTTTCCAGGAAGCTCGGAAAACTGTCCAACTCTGATTTAAAAGTACAATATGTCACTTTCTGGAGGTGACACGTCACCTGCACAATTCCATGGAAAATTAAAGCCATACATTGGAACATTCTCCACAGATATAGATACACTTTATGTCATACTGTGGAATATTATTATAAAGGAACACAGCTCTTTGACCTTTGACCTGCGTAGTGGGAGTTACTTGTGCTGGATATAAACGTAATGACTGAGAAAACTCCAGACTTCTCTCCTACTCCAAACACTTTTTTACATCTGACTTTGAAAGAGATGGACTTGAACACATTTAGTCCAGAGTTTTGCTTTATTCTTCCATATTTAGTTTTCCTCCTCTGTTTATGAACAGAACACAAGAATTATCCTCTTAAACCTCGTTCACCTCCACTCCCTCAGAAGTACAACATGTGTCTGTAGTGTGTGTTTTAGGTTAGTTCATTTGACATTTGTAATTAAAAACTACATTGCAAAACATTTGCATCGAACTGAAAGTGCACCAGGAGAAATTATATTTATTTAAAGTAGCATTCATGTTGCCTACTCTACTCTTGTGCTCATATATGTGATGGTTAAGGTAGACCCACAGTGCTTGTGTCTGCTCTATAGTCATAATCTCAGACACTTGTGGATTATCACATTATAATTTGCACATTTTAAATCACAGTATTGATCTAAAACAACTTAATAAAAGACCGACATCACAACAAAGCACCACATGCTGTTGGTCCCCTGCATATCACACTAGCAAGCAGTAGATTTATATATATAATTTTTTTAAAAAGTACCAAAATTACTATGCAACACTGCTGTGTATCACCAATTAAGAAAATTAAATTGGTGAATGAAGTACAGAACAGTGGGTGTATGCCAGAAATCTGGAGATTAAAGATTGTTCAAACATGAATGAATCACTCCAAATACAACTTCAGAGGGTCAGTGTGAAGGAAACAACTATAACGTGGTTAAAACTCTGAAAAGTCGACTATGCAAAATAGGTCTGTTGTAAGGAATCCTTCAAAGAACTGACAATGAAAAAAACATGAGAAATACACGACTGGATCAGCAGCTCGTCTGTCAGTAGAAGGTGCAGACAGAGCAGAGTCAGTGTGTCTTTCTCTGGTGTTTTCATCAGAAATCTACAAGAATCACATTCACAGGTTTCTATCCCCCTGATCATTTCTATATTTCTCCAACCACACAAGAACATCAGAGAGCATCTGACAAACCACAACATCTGCAGATTAACTAGAGACATTTCATTCTAACACTACAAGGATACAGGAGGATGGGAGGGCATCTGACACACAAGGGTACAGTATTTACCTTTGTCTCCAGAGTGTGTGTGTTAAACTGCAGCTGTGTTTTTATAGAAGAGCTTTGAGGAGATGTGACGTGTTTCTGTTCCACTTCTGTCCTCGTCACATTAAAGGGCCCATGTTCAGGGCTGTTCGATGGGGGGGGGTTAACCTCGTGTCACGCTCTCGTACGCCGGTACAATTTATTGCTGACAGCAGCGGCCATAATGAAATATGATTGCACTTGTCGAGTGTCCAAGCTTGAGAGACCAGATCGAGTCCAAACTCAGTCGAGTCCGAGACAAGTACTACGACACTGCGATCTACCCACACTGCCTCAGCAATCGACTGGTAGATCGCGATCGACATACTGGGCATTATGTGTTTTTGAATATATATTTTAATTGTTTTATTATTAACCTACATTGTACCACATTTTATGAAAATAACCTATATACATGTGTAAATCAGTGGAACATAGACTACACGCATGAAATGACAGCTTCAACCATTTGTACCCATGAACACTTTGGCGGCTGCAGCAGCCATTATTCTCAAAACAAACAGCTTCAGGGTCTAGATTGTGTTACAACAGCTCAGATAAAGTAAAACACCTCAAACAGAACAGAGCCTCCTGAACATCTCACCCCCAGAGAAAGTTGATGACATCTGGTGTAAAGTATGAATACAGTCTATAGTGGAACACATTTATCTAGAACATTAGATTAGATGAACAGTGATGTTCTGATGGAGCTTTGAGCAGCAGAAGCATGATCCTCAGAGAAGATAAATCATTTTACTGTGTCCATGATCAGAGCATCTCAGTTTAGTTCCTGTTTAGTCAGTGCGTGTGGGACCAGTAGTAATAAGCAGGCACAGTTAGTAATGCTGTAATAGAATGGTAATAGATTATAAAGCACTACCCACCTCATATTCTTGATTATTTTACATAAGATTTGTGTAAGAAACTTTTTTTTAAACATATTTAATGTGCACAAGAAACAAATAAGATTTTAGACAAGAGATATGCTGGGGACGCACACAGGCAGGTGAAGGCAACTCGGCGAGGCCTCGCAGGTCCTAATTGTAAATTGTGGCCACACATGAAGAGTGTGGTCATAGATGTGTCTCTTGTGTTTCAGTGCACACGGAAATAAATGGAAGTAAACATACACTCTCTGAAGTCTCTTTGTCCGACCACAAGTGCTGCAAGTGTGTGTTCTGTTTGTGTGTGTTCTGTTTGTGTGTGTTCTGTTTGTGTGCGTTCTGTGTGTGTGTGTTCTGTTTGTGTGTGTTCTGTGTCATGGTGTGTGTTACTGTGTGTGAGTCCTGCTCCCTCTGCAGGACAGTAGGTAGCGCCGCACTTCCTTGCTCTGTAGACCGTAGATGATCGGGTTTAGAGCTCCAGGCACGAGGTCTTTGAGCATAGCAATGACCTTCCTCTCCTCCACCAGCCCTTGGACCCTCTGGAGCCCCACAACAACAACGGTGGAGAGCATCAGCAGCAGGTACACCAGCAGGTGTGTGGAGCAGGTCTGTAGGGCTTTTTTGTTCAGCTTGGAGCTCTGGTTTCTCACACAGACCACAGTGATCCTGAGGTAGGTGAAGAGCATGACGCAGATGGAGCCGCCAAGCAGCACAACAGTGACAAACAGACCTAAGATGTTCTGGAGAAAAATGTTTTCACATGACAGTTTGAACAGAGATGCATTTGAACAGTACATCCCGCTGATCACTGAGCGACATCGACTCAGCTGAAGTGTCGACCCAAAAAGGATGCTCGCCAGCAGCAAAGCCCAGCCCCACGCTAAAACTGTAAGTGTCACTATCATGCGGCCGCTCATGATGGTGTTGTACCGAAGCGGGTTACAGATTGCCACATAACGGTCAAACGCCATGGTCATAAGGATCGAGTATGAGGCCATACCGCTGAAGTGCATCAGGAATGCCTGCAGGATGCACGCTGACAGGTGCATCACCCGGTGCGTCGGCGGGCGCAGCAGGTTATCAGCACCTGCGGAACAATCACTGTGTTCAACATGATGTCGTTTAACGTAAGTTGCACATACAGCAGGTACATGGGTGTGTGCAGGGCACGATCAAGCGCTATGACCAGGGCAATGCTACCGTTGGCCACTAGCACCACGGTGTACAGCAGCAGGAAGCAGACCAGCGCCACGAGGGACCAGCCTCCAGAGAGAAGGAAGCCCTCCACCTGCAGCCACGGCCCCACAGAGGAGAGCTGCTGCCAGGGCCCCACAGAGGAGAGGTTCTGCATCTGTAACACACGGACATCAGGGTTTAGACCAGGGGTCGGCAACCCAAAATGCTCAAAGAGCCATACTGGCCCAAAAAAACAAAAACCATACCTGCCTGGAGCCGCACAAAATGAAAAGCCTTATATAAACCTAATTTGAAGGGAACACAGGCTGTCAGTATATTAGCTGCATAAACTGACTATTAAAATGACTAAGTAGGCTACAAATACAAAATGAGCATTCATGATACACAAACCCCTTTTGTGACCCTCTCATACTCGGTGCGCCATCTGTAGCCACTGAAATCAGGTGGTTAGTGTTTATTCCTTTGTCATTTAGGCCCCTGTTTACACGTACACGGGTATTTTTAAAAACTGAGACATTTCCCTGAGTTTGTTCACATCGTTTACACGTTAATTCGCCTCTGAAAACAAATCTTTCTAAAAACTCCGGCTAGAGTGGAGACTTTGGAAAACTCCAGTTTCACGTTTGCGTGTAAACTGAGATAAACGGAGTTTTAGGAGCTGACGCGTTGAAAGTGCGACTGACGTTTACCTGTTGCTTTGACGACGATGATGGAAGCATTCAGAGCAGCAGTCGCATTTCTTCTGATCGTGCATAGGAGCACTCAGAAAATAAACCCGGAGCAGAAGCTCTGAACTCGGGCAGCAGCACTAAACACATGGGCGCAGTCAGCGCGCAGCCCCTCAAGACGGGGCTGGGGGTCCAGTGTTGGTCAGATCGGTCCGGAGGCTTCGTCCTCCATGTCCTGGTTCCAGACGGGGGCGAGCAAGACCAGCGCGCAAAAGACTGGGTCCGAGTGCTTCAGTGCAGTCATCTGTGCGCTGGTTCCGTGCTGGAAAAGCGAGAATGTTCTGTGGACCACAGGTCCGGGCTGCTCTGGTCCTCCGCGCTCGACCGCGGCTGGTTTCGAGGTGGTGCAAAGCATCCGGACAGAAGCGTAAATCCCGTTTGGTTCGTTATATGTTGTTCTGAGCGTTCGTCTGCGCACGTGTTTTTTGTTTTTTTTTTTCAGGGAAAGCGCTTCTCAGGTGGAGGCACCGGACACCACCCCCGCTTCAGCTCATCTATTTGTTCTGCTGAAACACTTTTCATGTGTTTGCATTTGCACACAGCTGATGGATCAGATCCACGACCAGAGATGAACGAGGGTTTTACCCCTAAAGAAACCAGATTAAAACAACAACCAAAAAAATCATTCCTTTTCCATTTTCACTCATTTTTGAAAAAGCTCCAGGGAGCCACTAGGGGAGTACTAAAGAGCCGCATGTGGCTTCGGAGCCGTGGGTTGTCGACCCCTGGTTTAGACTTTGTCACATCAGGAAGGAGACACTGACGCCCCGTTTCTGCTCAGAAGCAAAAACAATAAGAAAAAAATAATGGTAAGAAAGTGACAGAAAAATAAACAAAAACATTCCCACAAACACGTTTGTTTGTTTCCAGGAAGCTCAGAAAACTGCCCAACTCTGGTTTAAAGGTAAAATATGTCACTTTCTGGAGGTGACACGTCACCTGCACAATTCCATGGAAAGTTAAAGCCATACATTGGAACATTCTCCACAGATATAGATACAATTTATGTCATACTGTGGAATATTATTATAAAGAAACACAGCTCTTTGACCTTTGACTTGCGTAGTGGGAGTTACTTGTGCTGGATATAAATGTAATGACTGAGAAAACTCCAGACTTCTCTCCTACTCCAAACACTTTTTTACATCTGACTTTGAAAGAGATGGACTTGAACACATTTAGTCCAGAGTTTAGATTTATTCTTCCATATTTAGTTTTCCTCCTCTGTTTATGAACAGAACACAAGAATTATCCTCTTAAACCTTGTTCACCTCCACTCCCTCAGAAGTACATGTGTCTGTAGTGTGTGTTTTAGGTTAGTTCATTTGACATTTGTAATTAAAAACTACATTGGAAAACATTTGCATCAAACTCAAAAGTGCTCAGGAGAAATTATATTTATTTAAAGTAGCATTCATGTTGCCTACTTTACTCTTGTGCTCATGTATGTGATGGTTAAGGTAGACTCACAGTGCTTGTGTCTGCTCTATAGTCATAATCTCAGACACTCGTGGATTATTATGTCATAATTTGCACATTTTAAATCACAGGATTGATCTAAAACAGGGGTGCTCAATACGTCGATAGCGAGGTCGTGTGGGTAGATCGCCGTGTCTCATCTCGGACTCGCGTTTGGACTCGGTCTTGTCTCCCACTCATGGTCTGACACTCAACAAGTGTGATCATATTTCATTCCGGCCGCTGCTGTTGGTAATAAACTTGTAGCGGGTGCAGGAGCGTGTGGGGCGTCTCAGTGCGGCCTGTGTGCTCAGTGCAACCCGCAGAGACTCTACGACACATCACAAACACACACGTTCCCTATTCACGGCTTGTCTGTGACAGCGTGTGCCCTCGTGTACCAGCGTGCATCACAGGGCAGGTTCAACTTCCTAAACATCCTACCTGTCCATCTGCCTCACGTCAGCACGCCGCCCCTCGCCTTTTCACGCTCTCGCTCCTTCCTGTGTACAGCCAACACAAGCCCCTCCCACAGTGCGGCTGATTAGAAGAGCAAGACCAAACGTGAAGCAAAAACCAGTCTAAACTTGTGTTCCAGTGTCGGCACAAAGCAGGTCTACAACATAGAGCGGATCTACAGAACAGACCTACTGCCACATTTGGCTGAAGTTTGTCTAACAAAAGTGACAAATGCATCTGCGTTTGTCACAATGTGCGTTTGGTTTGGTAAACGTGCAGAGGCTGGTAAATATCACTGCAAAACCAGAAAAGAATGTAACTCCAGTTTGGAACTTTAAAAAACAGGTTTAAAAATCTTCCTTCACTTTTTCCACAGTTTTGTGTAAAGTGCCAGAGGAAGTTCTCTTAAAGAAGAGGTTCTCAAACTGTGGGTGAGGGTCCAAAAAAGGGGCACAGAGTGTTTCAGTGCAGTTTGTTTGGCTTTGTATTAGGTAGATCAATATGACTTGGTCATTTTGTAAGTAGCTCACATGCTGAAAAAGTGTGAGCACCCCTGGTCTAAAACAACTTAATAAAAGACCGACATCACAACAAAGCACC